GACAATCATTATTATCATATCTTTATTCGAAATAGTATTTATTTTTATTTTTCATTTTTATAATGATTTTCCAATTAATGAAAAAAAAAAGCGAGGGAGGAATTGAAAAACTACAATGGAATCCCTATTTCACCTATTATTCTATTATTACACTTATTACAGTTTATTACAGGGTTATTACAAGGTATTACGCTTAATTACCATAAAATACTACTCAGTATTACGAAATATTACAGAAACACAGTGCTTCATACACTTTATTGTTTAAAATTAGTAATTGTTATTACGATATTATTATTTATTAATAATTATTTATTAGAAAATTGTTATTCTAATCAGTGTATTTTATAATATTATTGAATGCTTTATCGATACCAACATCAATCTCCATAAAACTAATTTCTTTAAACTAAACTATAAACAAAAAAATATACTTCATTCCAGATAGCACGTAAGCTTGCAGCAACCTTGCGGCAAGCTTGCCGCGCAATATTGCCAACCTTGCAGGGTAAACTTGCCGTAAGCTTTAAATATCCTACTTGACCGAAATCTTGCATGGTGAACTTACCGAAAGATTGCAATGTAAGGTTACTGCAAGATTGCACAATAAAATTATCGCAAGATTGCTCAGTAAACTTGAACGGTAAGTTTGTAGCAAAATTGGTGCAAGGTTGCCAAACAACATTGCTTTGAACCTAAAAAAATTTTTCTTTAAATGTTTCATCTAATTTATATAATAAAACTTATATACTATAAATATATAATATGACGAAACATTTTAAAAATAATTTTTATGTTTAAAGCAAGGTTATTTGGTAACCTTGCACCAATCCTGTTACAAGCTTTACCGTGCAAGCTTACTGAGCAATCTTTCGATAATTTTCTTATGCAATCTTGCAGTAACCTTACACTGCAATCTTTTAGTAGGCTTACCATGCAAGATTTCGGTCAGGTGGAACATTTGAAGTTTGCAGCAATCTTGCGGCAAGCTTGCTTCGCAATGTTGCCAACCTTGCACGGCAAACTTGCTGCGCAATCTTATTGCAAGATTCAAATGTTCCACCTGATCGAAAGTTTGCATGGTAAGCTTACCGAAAGATTGCAGTGAAAATTTACTGCAAGATTGCACAATAAGATTATCGAAAGATTGCTCAGTAAGCTTGCACGCTAAGTTTGTAGCAAGATTGGTGCAAGGTTGCCAAACAACTTTGCTTTGAACCTAAAAAAATTTTTCTTTAAATGTTTCGTCTAATTTATATAATAAAATTTATATAATATAATTATATAATATGACGAAATATTTTAAAAATAATTTTTAGGTTTAAAGCAAGGTTATTTGGTAACCTTACACCAATCTTGCTATTATCTTTACCCATGCAAGCTTACTGAGCAATTTTTCGATAATTTTCTTGTGCAATCTTGCTGTAACCTTACACTGCAATCCTTCGGTAAGCTTACCATTTAAGCCTTCGGCCTGGTGGAACATTTAAAGCTTGCAGTAAGCTTGCGGCAAGTTTGCCGTGCAGGGTTGGAAAAATATTGCGCGGCAAGCTTTCCGCAAGGTTGCTGCAAGCTTACGTGCAAGGTTGGAAAAATATTGCGCGGCAAGCTTGCCGCAAGGTTGCTGCAAGCTTACGTGCTATCTCGGATATAAAATTTGCATACACCTATAAAAAAAATAATAATAATTTTTAACAATTTTTTGTATTACTGTATTAAATTTAAATATACGTTACTTCGCGTCATTGCTCGTTATTACAAGGTATAATATTATAATTACACTACTACAGAAAAAGTGTACAATGGACTAAATTCACCCTCGAAAAAAAAGTAACAAATATCACTTCTTTTCAATCAATTTTGTAATATATTTGAAAATAAAACATAAATTTGATTATAAAAATATGATATTTTATATTATTAACGAGAAATCAATTTTTGTTGAGTGAATTATTTTTAAATAAATAATAAGAAAAAAAGTTGACTATATTAATAAATGACATATATATTATGTTTTATAAAAAGTTATACATATAGAGATACTAAGAAACAATTACGTTAATTGGTAAGACTTCACAAGAACTGTTGATTTAATCATAGTAAGTGAACTGGATGACAAACATAAATATATATATATATATATATATATATAGTATATATAAACTACTTATAATAAGAATTGATTGCTTTCGAGTTGTCCTGATATATCTCGAATGAATATTAAACAGGTGGTTTTAAATATAGACCATGACAGTACTAAAGAAGAGAGAGAAAAAAAAAATAACTGGGAGGGGAAGAAAAGTTTGTATCTTTCGAAATATCTTTCAATAATTTGAAACATTTCCAATTCAGTCCAATTTAAAGAAATTCTCATTTTGCATTTTAACGTTAGTCAGTTATTCTTACAAATGGAAAACGTGTACCAATTTCATTCACGTCTTTACAACAAACTTTTTCACCGCGAAAAACGCGCGGAAGTAAAATAAACAATTTTCAAACTTTCTTTTTGCTTTTCCTTTTTTTTTTTTTTTTTTTATTCAAAACTGTAATCCCTTTTTTTCTTGTTCCTTTAGAATATTTTCTTTTTCAATTTCTTATCACTATTTTTATATTCATTTTTTTTTTTAATTTTTATTTTATTCTTTGTTTGAATCAATTAATTTTTTTTTGTAATTTACATTTATAGCAACAATTTTTTATATATTTAACATTAAAAAATTTATTTCAAATTAAATAAATTTTCTTTTCAATGTAATGAAAAATTTTTTAAAAAAATTCTTATTCTTGATAAAAATGATTTTCCCCTTATTTTTCTATAGAGTTTTTTTCTAACCACATGTTCCAAATGACTTTTCTTCTAGAGATGATGGACTGACGATATGAATATAATATTAATGACTATAGCACTTTTCAAAAAGGGAATATATATATATGTATATATAGAAAATTCCTTATCTCCGTTTTTATACATCTCTCAAGTTCTAGAAACGATATCGATTATCTTCACATTGCAAACTATACACATAATTCTATATATAAGCTAATAATAAATTATCATAAATTATCTTTAGTTCCATTGAATAAATAAAAACTTAACAATAGTTAAATTATTATTAATATTTCGAATTTATTAAGTAAAAACAAAAAGGTTAAATTTTTAATTTATTTATATATATGTTTAAAACTGCCTCAGGTGACAAAAGTTGAGTTACAAAATAATTAAAAAACAAAAAAAAAGAAAAATTAATTATAAATTTGATTTCAACAAAAGTTAAGCTCTAGAAAAAAAGGATTTGACAAGTTTTATTAAAGTTGTAAGTTAATGAATTTTATAGAAAGTTTTGATATTTCTATGAAGAAGCTTTGACGTTTCATAATTTCTTACTTATTCTAATTTTAAATATAAAACTTAGTGTATATACAATAGTTTTTATAGTTTCAAATAATTATTTATTCTCTCTCTCTCTCTACACTGAATTTATTTAATTCAAATAATCGGTTAGAAATAAATTTATTTTTACAATATATAGTAAAAACCTAAAATGTCTGTAACTTTTGAGCGTCTCTTTGCTTATTCGGAAATAGTGAAATTCACTCCGGAAATAGTATCTCTACTATTTGCAAAAAATTGTCAGAAATACATAGAAATTTCCGTCATAGTTTAGAATTTACTTTGACAATTAAATATTACTTTATTTTTGTTTTACATGTTTTTTTTTCTCCATATTTAATTTTCACATAAAAAAATTACAAGGAAAAAAAAAAAATTTCAACCAAAAACAATGATAAGTTTCATTGAATTAGCGATATGTTTTACTAAAATAGGGAAATTTTTCATTATTCTAGAGAAACATATCGCTGTTTCATATAAAGATGTAGTGTAAAATATTTAGCCATTGGCCAATGTTCTAAAACATTATAAAAATGTCATAAAATTTTAAAGTGTCTTAAAATAAGAAATTTTTTTGCAATTAAGAAAATATTTAAAATATTTTTTCTATTTGTCTATGATCTAAGACACTAGAAATGTCTTAAAATGGAGAAGTGTCTTAAAATAAGACATTTTTTTGCAATTAAGAAAATATTTAAAATATTTTTCTATTGGTCTATTATTTAAGACACTAAAAAAATGACTTAAAATTGAGAACAGTGTCTTAAAACAGAACAGAGTCTTAAAACTCGATTTTTTTTTTGCAAAAAAGAAAATATTTAAAATATTTTGCTATTGGTCTATAATTTAAGACACTAAAAATGTCTTAAAATGGAGAAGTGTCTTAAAATAAGACATATTTTTTGCAATTAAATTAAAACTCGATTTTTTTTCCAAAAAAGAAAATAGTTAAAATTTTTTTTTCTATTTGTCTATGATCTAAGACACTAGAAATGTCTTAAAATGGAGAAGTGTCTTAAAATAAGACATATTTTTTGCAATTAAAATATCTAAAATATTTTACTATTGGTCTATTATTTAAGACACTAAAAAAAATGACTTAAAATTGAGAACAGTGTCTTAAAAACAGAACAGAGTCTTAAAATTCGATTTTTTTTTTTTTGCAAAAAAGAAAATAATTAAAATATTTTGCTATTGGTCTATAATTTAAGACACTAAAAATGTCTTAAACTGGAAAAGTGTCTTAAAAAAAAAGACATTTTTTTGCAATTAAAATATCTAAAATATTTTTCTATTAGTCTATGATGTAAGACACATAAAAATGTCTTAAAAATGGAAAAAGTGTCTTAAAATTTTTTTTTTTTTCCAGTGAAATATTAAAATAGTCATGAAAATAAAACCTTCAAAAATTGTGTTTTATTCACACTTATTTATAAAATATGGAAAAAAAAGAAGGTGTACTGTTTATAAATATAAAATCAACATCGATATAAAAATTCACTCTGCTCCACTGATCCATTTTAATTTTAATTCTAGAGACAGTTTAAGGTTTTAACCTTAGCCTTAAAATATCATCAACGGCGTCTTAAAGTCTAGTAAAACTACTTACTTGGTGCATCGACTGTTTCAATTAGAAACTCCGAATTGACAATTCCAGCAAAAAGAAACATCAGAAAAAAAAGATGACAATGAAATTTCATCTTGTAGAAATAAATTTCCTTTCTCTTCGTTTTTTTATCATGAGAATATGAAAAAAAAAGTTCTTCTTTGCTAATTTTTTTTCCTTTTGAAAAAATGTTTTTTTTTTTTTGTCTAGTTATCGCATTGTTATTTCCCACTAATTTTTGAACTAATTCACTCTCGCGTCCCTGTAAACAGCCAAAGCACAGATCAGCCAATCAAGCTTTAAGCTCGAAACATTTCCGCGCACGTACAAGTTACACGTCGATCTTGATTAAGGCAGGGTTATGTTAAACAGGGGAGGGGGAAATGATCTATCGACGTATTGGCCTCTGTGATCGTGTCCACATTGCGCTTGAACTTCCGGTTTCACACGGACCACTGAATGGGAAATGCGATTTACACTTGCGTTCTGATTTTCACAAAATATATCTATATATGATAAAAATATTCTCAGATGCATAAAACTTATATCAGACGATAATTCTGATAAATTGGCAACTTTTTTTTTTTTTTTTTTTTTTCGATAAACCCAATTAAAGTGTGACACAATTTTTTTTTTTCGTAATTGGAAATGCAAATAATTGTCGAGCGCTGCTTGGTTTTAGTTTGAAAATTATTTTCCTCTATTTCCTTTGATGATATATTTTTTTCTTCAATTGGATTTTATGAATTTAAAGGTGTTTATTATTTTTCGACACTTCATCAATTTTTTGTCAATAAATTTTTTCCTTTCTTTGAAAAAATGATTTTTATAATAAAAAAAAAAAAAATGAAATATCAATTTCTAATTATTTTCTATTTTTCCAATCTCGAGGATAATTATGTAATTTTCTTGATTTATTGCATAAGAATTTCTTTGTATGAAGATATTTTGTTTTTAGAAAAATTAATTTCAATTTATTTAGTCGTTTTTTCGATTTAAAAATATATATATATATTATCTTGATGAAAGGTAAATTTCTTCTTTTTAAAACCTCGAGAATATTTTCTTATTTTTTTTTTTTTTTTTTTTTGAAGTAATTTTTACATTTTCTTCATGAAAAACTTTTTTTTTTATATCAATATCTTCAAAAATATGTCACACATTTAAAAGATTAATTTCTCTCACAAAAATATGTTTAGTTCCACAATAATTGATTTTTGCACTGTTTTTGATTTTTCACTCTTTTTTCATTTTCTTACACCTTTTTTTTTCTTATATTAATTTTTAACACTCAATATATTAATTGTGAAAAGTTATCTTTTTTTTATATATATATATATATATACATCAATTTTTGAACACATACATTATTCATATACATTAATTCTCAACACAAGTAAAATTTTTTATATTTTATGATTAAATTTTCCCGTAGAATAATATATTTTATTTAAAAAAAAATCTTGGCAGGAAATGTTTTTTAAAAAATTTTTTTTATTGCTGGCAAAAAAAAGTTTTTTTGTCATGAAGAAAAGTGAGGGAAGATGAATAAATTTTTTTTAGTATTAATAATAATAATAATAACAATAACAATAATAATATTAATAATAATAATAATAATAATAATAATAATAATAATAATAATAATAATAATAATAATAATAATGGACTAAGTTTGAAAAAAAAAATGTAGCGAAAAAAGAGATCGAAGGCGTGAAAGCTCAGAGGGATGAAAAAGCGCGCGCACTGCTGCGTTGCGGCAGGCCTACTGACAGGGGTAGCTGAACATTCGGATTGTCCCGTCTTTGATCGGTTATTTCCGTCGAGGTTCGGGATGCTTGAAGAGCATCCCACCGAACACTACATTCATCCCCTGCGTTGTCTCAGTGACTCCATAGCTTTTCTATATACACTTGCAATACAGAAACTTGTCAGATAAGCAGTTGAACCCTTTTGGGTGATGGAAAACGAGCCAACGACTCAGTCACACCCTGATCAGTATCAAGATTTAAAAAAAAAAAAAAAAAAAAAAAAAAAATGAAAAAAAAAATTTTTTACCAAAAAAAAAAGTAATTTTCAAAATAATTCCAGAGTTATAAAGATTATATAAAAATTACAAAGAGAGATGCAAAATTTTTTTGTTAAATGAGTTAATATAATTTTTAAATATATGGCTGACTGAAATTGACTTATACTACTGATTTTATCATTCCAAGAAGTTAAACTGTTTTGTCTATCTGGAAATTAATTTTTCTACTGAATTAATTTAACCCTACCAAAAATTACGAGAGTTCACTCCTGGCGCAGTACTGGTACCAATATCGCGCCAGTACTACCATTAGTGGCGCTGTAATGCACCAGTAGTTAATTTTTAATAGGGAATCAGTAGAAGAAGTAATTTCTCGACAGACAGAAGAGTTAAAATTCTTGGAATAATAAACTCAGTAGTAAAGGTTAATTTTAGTCAGACATGGTAAAAAAAAGTTATGTTAGTGGTCAAAGTATGTTTTCAGTAGAAAAAGCAAATTTCTAGACAGACAAAACAGTTTAAATTCTTGGAATTATAAAATCAGTAGTAAAAGTCGATTTTAGTCAGACATCTTAAAAAAGTCATATTACTCGTAAAAGTATGTTTTCAGTAGAAAAAGTAAATTGAAGTCAGACATCTTTAAAAATTATTGCAAATTTTCATGAGTAGTAAAAGACATTTATAGTCAGACAAAATTTTCTTTTTTTTGAAATATTTTTTTAGTTTCAAACATAAGTGTTATAAACGAATTTTAACTGTTAAATCATTTAGTTTTTAACACTTATTTTAAGAAATTAATAACTATGACAAAAAAAGAAATTTTTGTCTGACTATAAATGTCTTTTACTACTCATAAAAAATTTAAAAAAATTGAAAAAATGTCTGACTGAAATTTCCTTTTTCTACTGAAAACATACGTTAACGATTAATATGATTTTTTTAAGATGTCTGACTAAAATTAACATTTACTACTGATTTTAAAATTCTATAAAATTTTAACTCTTCTGTCTGTCTAGAAATTACTTTTTCTACTTAAACTATAATTTTTCTAATTAATATGAAAATTTTAAACTTTTTTAATTTTTGTCTGACTAAAATCGATTTTTACTACTGATTTTATAATGCCAAGAATTAAAACTGTTTTGTCTGTCTAGAAATGAATTTTTCTACTGATTTAACAGTTAAAAATCGTTTTTAACACTTATGTTTGCATTTAAAAAACTATGCCAAAAAAAAATTTGTCTGACTATAAATGTCTTTTGCTACTCATAAAAAAAATTACAATACTTTAAAAAAATATATGTCTGAAATTTACTTTTTCTACTGAAAATATACTTTTACGACTAATATGCCCTCTTTTAAAGATGTCTGACTGAAATTGACTTATACTACTGATTTTATAATTCTAAGAATTTTAACTCTTCTGTCTCTACAGAAATTACTTTTTCTACTTAAACTATAATTTTTCTAATTAATATGAAAATTTTAAACCTTTTTAAATTTTGTCTGACTAAAATTGATTTTTACTACTGATTTTATGATTCCAAGAATTTAAACTGTTTTGTCTGTTTAGAAATTAATTTTTCTACTGATTTAACAGTGAAAAAATTATTTTTAACACTTATGTTTGCAATTAAAAACTATGACAAAAAAAAGAAAAATTTTGTCTGACTATAAATGCCCTTTACTACTCATAAAAAAAATTACAATAATTTAAGAGAAAATGTTCCCTTTTTTACTTAAATGAAACTAGTTTTAGTCTATATTTTATGTCATAACTGAAATTAGTTGCATAATATTCAATCGAAGGATATATTCTCCTATATTCAATACAGTGAAGAGCAGATCTTTCAGGAAGATTAGAAAACTTTGCGAACGAAATATATATATATATATATATATATATATATATATATATATTTGTATTTTGCCGTGACTTGATTGTTCTTATCTTCTCGATTCTTGCTTCGCTTGTCTATTTATAGATTTTAGATATAACCGCTGGATGTTGGGTTACGAGGTAATTTCATTTTTTTTTTACCCACATTAAATTTTCCTTACTCTCCAAACGCTCTTCAATTTTTTTTTCTCTTTCTCTCACTCCCTCTACTCTTCGAAATAAAGTATCAGAAAATAATATTAGAAATATCGGTTATTTATTTCAGGAATATAAAAATTGCATGATATAGTAATTAATTAATTACAATTTAAATAATTAACAATAATTTAACTACTATTATTCTACTACTAAATAATATTTGTTTCATAATATAAATAAATTATAAATTGTAAATAAAAATTATTTTAAAAAGCAAAAAATTCGAAGGAATTTTATAAAAAATTCAATTTATAAATTGAAAAATTTATTAAATTGCAAAAATATTTACAGAAATAATATCGCGGAATTATTATGACTAATAAATTTTCACCATTGTGTAGTAATTTAATAAACCAAATTTTTTTATTTTAAATTTAAAATAGAAAAACAAGGAGTTTAAATTTATTTTCAAATGATGCGTCAGTCGCGTGCCGTCCCAGTAGTAAACGTCGACTTTAGTCAGACTGAATCCTATTCAATATAATATTTTCCTTTTTCTCTTTTATCTTCAAAATATTTTACCTTTTTTTTTTTGCATCTCTACAAGTTAGAAAATATTTTATTATAATTTTTTCATTTATTTAAAATCATTTCTTTCCAAAGGAAATATTCAATTTGTTTACGATTAAACAAAAAATTTTTTTTATAAATAATTAATAATTAAAAAATAATTAAAAAATAATAAATAAATAATTAATAAATAATAAATAAATAATTAAACATGTTTTTCGACAAATAATGATTTTTTCCGCTTTAGAAAAAAAACGAGTATCGATGTTCAAAGAATAAAAAAAAAGAAAAGTAGTGGAAAATAAAAGATGAAATTAAGAAAGGTGTCATAAACTAAAGACGGAAACACCATCAGCAATGACATCATATTAGGTTCTTTTTTTTATATATCGGTCTCTTTTGAAGAATTTTTTTTTTTTTTTTGCTTTCACTGCGCCATCGGTTTACCTTTGTTCCGTGCAGAAAGCAGCGTCGTTCTTCATTATTTCCAACCGGAAATGGAGATTTTCTTCTTTACTCGGTGTCGGAACAAGGTGCTTGACAATAAACGAAGCGAGTTCTTTCCTTTGAAGAACAGAGAGAGAGAGAGAGAGAGAGAGAGAGAGAGAGAGAGAGAGAGAGAGAGAAGTCTAAGAGAAAGAATAGAACAGACGAACCTTGAAAGCTAAATCGAAAATGGAAGCAAATGTCGCATTCCCTTTATATACTGTCGTTGACTTGGTCGTTCAATCAATTGTCCACTTATTGACGATCCCAACATTCCTCAACTTTATTTTTTTTCCCCCATTTTTTTTTCCTTTCGTTCGCGAAAGAAAATTTTACGATATTTTATCTACTTTTTTTATATATATATAAAAACTGTTTTTGAAAGAAAAAAATCGAAATGTTAAAAAAAATGATTTAACGAAAGATGACTTTTTTTAATAACTATTGTAAATTATAAATAGTAAAAGACATTTATAGTTAGACAATTTTTTTTTTAATTTTTATAAGTAATTGTCGTTTTAAGTGTAAAAATATTTGTTAAAAACGGATAGTAATTGTTATATCATCAGTAGAAAAAATAATTCTTGGACAGACAGAACAGTAAAAATTCTCGAAATAATACAGTCAGTAGTAAAAGTCGATTTTAGACAGACAAAATTTTAAATATTAAAATTTTTCATATTAATTAGAAAAATTATATTTTAAGTAGAAAAAGTCTACTGTAGTTCACTGTAGTTCACTGTAGTTCACAAAATAAGTAACGCTTCTAGAGGGGAGGAGGGGTCAAGCTATTTGTTACGGTCAGCCAAAAAAATGGCGCTAATGTATGTAACTGTGCGGTACATAGGGGGAGGGGGGGTTGAAATTTTCCAAAAAAAGCGTTAAGTATTTTGTGAGCAGCCCCTTATAATTTTCTATGTGTAGTAAAAGACATTTATAGTCAGACAATTTTTTTTTAAATTTTTATAGGTAATTGTCGTTTTAATTATAAACATATTTGTTAAAAACTATTAGTAATTGTTGTATCAGTAGAAAAAGTAATTTCTGGACAGACAGAAGAGTTAAAATTCTTGGAATAATAAAATCAGTAGTAAAGGTTAATTTTAGTCAGACATGGTAAAAAAAGTCATGTCAGTGGTCAAAGTATGTTTTCAGTAGAAAAAGCAATTTCTAGACAGACAAAACAGTTTAAATTTTTGGAATTATAAAATCAGTAGTATAAGTCAATTTCAGTCAGACATATATTTAATCAGTAGAAAAAAATTTTCTAAACAGACAGAAGAGTTAAAATTCTTCGAATTATAAAATCAGTAGTATAAGTCAATTTTAGTTAGACATCTTTAATTATATTTTTATATTCGTGGTAAAAGTATATTTTCAGTAGAAAAAGGAAATTGCAGTCAGACATATTTTAAAAGCATTGAATTTATGTGTAGTAAAAGTCATTTACAGTCAGACCAAATTTTCTTGCGTTTTTATAATTGTCCTACTAATCGTAAACAAAAGTGTTTAAAAAAAAGATTAGTAAATGTTTAATCAGTGGAAAAAGTAATTTCTAGACAGACAGTACGATTTAAATTCTTCGAATTGTAAAATCAGTAGTATAAGTCGATTTTAGTCAAATTTGCAACATTTTTTGTTATTATTAACGTAGTAAAAGATCGTTTTAAATATATTAAAAATGGTTTTAGTCATATCAAGTAGTAAAAGTCAATTGTGGTCAGACATCATTTAAAATCATTGTAATTCTGATATTATCAGTAAAAATAAAAATGTTTGTAGCCAGAAAAAATTTTTTGTAAGTAAAATTTATATTTTTAACCAACTAAAAAGTTTTAATTTTTAATAATTTAATATTAAGTAGTAAACGACAATTATAGTCAGACATTATTTTAACACTATCTCTCGATTCTTTATATACAATTTAAGCTTCATGAAACAAAATTCGGGTTAAATAAAACAGTTATATTAATGAAACACTAATATCAGAATCGTTTCATTTATATATAAAATATATTGACCCGTAAAAACAGACGTGCATAAATATTATTAGCGTTTCAACGGTCAGATAAATGTATTAACGGGAGCAAAGTAGATTTGCAATGTGAACGAAAATCCCGAAAATGTTTGCTGTTCGTATTTTATATATATACATATATATATATATATATATATATATATATAAAACAATCAATAACGCAGGACGCAATGCCGTTTTTAATAGCAAATGGATTTTGCGGGGATTGATACGCATAGTAGCCGCAGAGTTGTGTTTTGAAGGATGAGAGTCGACAATGTAATTGAACCAGTCGGGCAAATCAAATTGTAAAGGCAATTGTTTGAAACCCGATTATTGCCCTATGGTACAATTGTATATACATATATGTATATATATGTGTGTGTGTGTGTACGAAAAGGGGTTGTACACAAGGGTCCACTCGGAAGTGGAATAAGCCGCGTAGTGAGCGGCGGCCAAGTGCCGCATGTCCGGAAAAGAACCGCATGTACTGAAACCGAGCTTCGTTGATGGAGGCGCTGAAGAGACTATAGTGTGTATACTATATATATATATATATATAGGATATATATATATATATATATATATATATATATATATATATATATATATATACATGGTGTTATATAGGAGGGGGCAAAAGTGGACTATGTGAATACGAAAAACGGGATGCTTGGCGAATATAATGAAAACAGGTCACGTTATGTGCGCTTTGTGGCTGAATGCCAATGTTAACCACCGATGAGGTATCCTCTGTGGTTTGAATTCTTCGCGATATACAACCTTAAATTCTCAAACATAAACGCTTCAATGTTCATATAATTTATATATGTAAAAATGAATATTTTTCGCACTTTACAAGTTCTTTTTTCATATTTAATAATAATAATTTATATTTTCGTTTAATATATATTAAATAAACAAGATTTTTTTTTCATATTTCTTGTTTAGATTCAATTAGGTAAAAGACAGTTGCAAAACAGAGAAATGCAGATTTTTTTGAAATTTTCATAAGGTATATAGATACAGTGAAACCCATTTATATTGAAATATAAAAATTACCGACACAGAAATCTACCTTACCGACTGATGGCAAAACAGTTTTTTTGAAAATGAAAATATAAAAATTACCGACACAGAAATCTACCTTACCGACTGATGGCAAAACAGTTTTTTGGAAATGAAAATATAGAAATTACCAACACAGAAATCTACCTTACCGACTGATGGTAAAACAGGTTTTTTAAAAAATAAAAATATGAAACATTACCGACACAAAAATATACTTTACCGACTGATAGCAAAACAGTTTTTTGAAAATGAAAATATAAAAATTACTGACACAGAAATCTACCTTACCGACTGAAGGTAAATACCGACCGATGGTAAAACAGTTTTAAAAAAGTTAATAAAATTTCATCAAAAAAAAAATTATTTACCATCAGTCGATAAAGTAGATTTCTGTGTCGGTAATTTTTGATATTTTCATTTTTCAAAAATTTTATGTACCATCAGTCGGTAATGTAGATTTCTTTATCGGTAACTTTTACATTTTTCATTTTCCAAAAATCAGTTTTACAATCAGTCGGTAAAGTAGATTCCTGTGTCGGCAATTTTTTATAGTTTCATTTTTGAAAAAACTGTTTTACCATCAAGCGGTAAAGTAGATTTTTGTTTTGGTAACTTTTATTTTTCATTTTTCAAAAAAAAACCTGCTTTACCATCAGTCGGTAATGTAGATTTCTGTGTCAGTAACTTTGATATTTTCTTTAATAAACCAATTTCATTATCATCAGTTGGTAAAGTAGATTTCTGTGTCGGTAACTTTAATATTTTGATTTTCCAAAAATCTGTTTTACCATCAGTCGGTAAGGTAGATGTATGTGTCGGTAATTTTTATTTCCAAAAATCTGTTTTACCATCAGTCGGTATGGTTGATTCCTATGACGGTAATTTTTATTTTTCATTTTTCAAAAAAAAAACCTGCTGTATCATCAGTTGGTAATGTAGATTTCTGTGTAGGTAACTTTAATATTATCATTTTCCAAAAATCTGTTTTACCATCAGTCGGTAAGGTAGATTTTTGTGTCGGTAATTTTTATTTTGCAAAAAATTGATTTACCATCATTCGAAATTATATTTATATTATATTAAATTAAACTAAATTAATTAAATTAAATTACATTAAATTAATTCAATTCAATTTAATTCAATGAAATTTAATGAAAAATAAATTTTCCAAAGCGGATATTTTGTAACAATTTGTTAATATATTCAGTTTATATATGTATATATGCTTTTGGGAGTGAATGACATTTCTGAAGGACTTTGATGAAATCAATTGAAAATTTACCTTCACTTAACCGGAAGAGACAAGCTTATCAGAGATTAATGATTGATTTCCAAAATGGCATTTGTGACATGTAATGATCAATGCTCGATTATTGAAGACAATGCGTGCGCCACGATAGCCGCTATACTATTAAACCAATTCAGAAATTGGTCTCATATTGAATGACATCGGTGACTATTGTCATTTACCATCTATTTCGATAAGCAATTTTGAATGGAATTATATTTCCTTTTTTTCTATTTTATTTATTATTATTATTTTTCTTTTTTTTTATTTTAATTCATATCATTTTTCTATTTTTATTTTATTTTTTAATAATTCCTTTGTTTTCTTGAATAATATTTTGTTAATGTAATTCTAATGAATTAATTAATCTCTCAAAAATGTTATTATAATAAATTTTAGTAAAGTCATATATTAGTAATATAATTTTAATTTATTTATTTTTTTTTTCATTTACTGAATTATTAAATTTATTTTAAAAATTATTAATATAAGAATTTTTGTATTTGGGAAAATATTTTTAGAAAATTCAAAACGATCTTTAAATAACTGATGAACGTTGCTATTAAATTTGCAAAGAGTTAAAAATATTCCTGTCAACATAAAATCGTAATGTGTCCTTAAAAGTTGTTACATATGCTAATGGAACATTCAAAAACTAAAAATACTTAAATTATATTGATTAAAACGAACTTTTTTTTAATACGAATTGTTGTAATTCTAAAAACTCTAAATTTTTATTTTTTTCCAAAATTGCAAATTAGCAAAAACAAAAGAAAAATTCCACCAAATAAAAATTATTTAAAAAATTTGTTTAAATAAAAATTCGTTTAAAAAGAAAATCTAATTTGAAAAATGAAAATTCGTCTAAACAATAATTCTATCTGTGAATTTTATTAATTTTTATTTTTATTATTTTATTATTATTTTATAAAAAGCAATTTCAAAGGCATTTTAATTTAATATTATTTACACGCAGGTAATTGTTTCAATTGATATAAAAAAAAAAACAAGAGTTTATAGAAAATGAAGAAATAAAAGAAAAAAAAAAAGAGTAACAACTGCACGAGCGTCTCTCGAAAATAATGGTCTCGAGGATCGATTAAGATGTCTGCCTGAGATGTCAAGCAGAAATGCTTTAAATACAAGACACTTGATTAATTGCTGCTTTACGTGCCAAGTCACTTTCGACAAAACCCAAAAGATACATCTGAGAATATCTAATTAATTAAATTATGTGATGCTTCGTTAAGACCCGTACAAAGATTTCAATTCTTGTTACTAATCTAAAAGCCATTAATTGAGAAGAGGCGCACGTTAAAAGCGGAAACTCCTATAGAGTTAATTAATCGAGTTTTTATAGTAACAACAAAAAATAAACAACAAAAAATTTATTAAAAATTAAATAATTAAAAAAAAATTTCAATTATTAAAAATTAAAATTTATTATTTATTTATTATTATTATTATTATTAAAATTTATTATTTAATTTTATTTATTATTTTAATTAAAATTTTCGTTTTCATTATTTTTCAACATCTGTGGAATTTTTTTTCTTTCGAAGATCGCCACAATCAGCTTGACAATCATTAATCCAACAAGGATCCTGATCAATAATCATTTGATAGTCAAAATTTAATTTCTTCTGATGTACCATATCTTCAGCTAATTGAATCAAATGAAGTTGCTCTTGACGAAGTGATCGTTTCATTTCGTTCATTTTTCGTGAAGCCTCTAATTTTTTTTCATCAATATGCCTTTGAAGTGCAGCAATTCTTTTATTAACTTTATCATAATCTCGTTCCAATGGATTATTTAACATTTTTGTTGTTTGTTGTGGTTGATTATCGATAAATTTCCCTTCAGGTGTAAATAAATCATTGTCCTCTTCAATTATCGATGACGTTTGATGACAAATTTTATCATGAACCTCAGCTAATTGGCTCAATGTCAATGACTGCAAAAAAAAAAATTTTATTTATCACATTTTTTTCAGAAAAGAAAATCATTTTTTTTTTTTTTTTTTAGAGAAAAATAATTGTTCCATAATATTAAAAAACGTTATTATTAAATTATTATAATTAGATTTTTTTTCTCGATTTTAATAATTTAAAAAGATCTTTTTCGAAAAACACAAAAAAAAATTGAAAAATTAAATTTGCAATCATATTTCACAGGAAGAATATTATTAAAAGATAGAATCAAGATATTAAATAAATAAAAAACTGAAATGTATAAGAAATTAAATTAAAAGTATTAAATAATAATTTTAAAAGAATTAAATTGTCAAATATTTCTACAAAATGAATTGAAAATTAAATTAAAAATAAAATGGCATAAATATTAAATAATTAATTTACTTTCAACCACGAATCACTGTCAAAATCCCTTATATCTGAATCTCCAATAATCTAAAACAAAAATATTTATTCATTAAAAAAAGAAAAAACAAATTATACTTCAATATTGACAATTATACCTTTTGTTGAAGAAAAACATTGAGATTTTGTATTTCCTGTTCAGTATTAAAAATATTTTCCGATAATTTTTCTGACTTTTTCATTAATTCATTAACTGCTGGAATTAGCCAATTACCCAACTCATCATCTGATTTAAAAATTTCTCTCATTTTTGGTTTTATTTTATCTCTATCTCCGATGAATTTTATAAATTCTCTTATACGATCGATAGCTATAAATATGTAGAAAATTATTTCAATTTTTTTTTCCTCTTTTTTTCTATATTTTAATAAATTGATTTAAATTAAATATTTTGTAATTTTTGGTTTTTTGTATAATTAAAATTATTTTCTGTTTTTTTTTTTCAAATAAAACCCACCATCATTCTGTGTCTGAATTTTCATTTTTAAAAGCTCATTGAATTTAAGAAAATCACCAGATTTGTCGCTATCTGCAAAATGAAGAGAAAAGAGAAAAATATTCGCGAAAAAAAATATTATTAAATATTTTGGTATTTAGAAAAACATTGAAGAATTGTTTATTTGTTTATTAAATTGTTTATTAAAATAATATTTTCTAATTCTTTTTTTTCTTAAACAAAGCTTTTAGCCAAATACCAGATGAAGTTTTACTTTCAATTTTTAATTTTTCAATTTCTTCTTTTAATTTTTCATTGTCAATTCGTAATTTTTCATTTTGTTTCAATATTTGACAATCGAGTTCTAAATTTTCATTTTTTGTTTTATTTAATTCTTTCATTAAATTGTCTAATTCTTGTTTCATTTTTTTTGATTCGCCACTAATTTTATTGAATTTCTTTTTTTCTTCATCGAATTCTTTCTGTAATTTTTTATTTTCATTTATTAATTTTGTTTTTATTTTTTCAAAATCATCTCTATCCAATCTGTATTTTTCTAATTCTTTCTTTAATTTATTAATTTCAACTTTCAATTTTTCATTATTGTCTTCAATTTTTTGTAAATTTTCCTGACCCTCACTCTTCTGTCTATTGAATTTTTTCTTGAAATTACCATTTTCCAATAGTAATTTGTCATTTTCTTGATTAGATTTTAAAATTTCGTCTCTTAAATTAGCGAAAGAATTTTTTAAAGCCTCGAGTTCCTTATTAGCGGCATCTTTAGCTAATGATTCAGCTGTTAAATTTTGCATCAATTTTTCTAATTTTAATTTAACATTTTCAAGTTCTAATTCTAAATTTCCTTTTTCCTTCTGAAGATTTTGAAGTTGATTTTCAAATTTTTTGGTTTTTAATTCACAATCTTGATGATATTTTTTTAATTCATCGTTTATTGTTTTTAAATTAATTATTTCCTTTTCAATATCAGTTTTATCAACTGTTACTTTATCTAAATTGGTTTTCGAATTTTTTAGTTCTTCATTTAAATTCGAATTTTCTCCTCTTAGTGAAATTAAGTTCTTCTCTAATTTCTCGAGTTCAAGTTTCGAAATTTCATTTTCACTTTTCAAAGTCTTTAGATTTCGCTTCATTTCATCAAGATCGGTTTTTAAACGTTCATTGTCTGCTCTCGTCTTTTCCAGTTCACTTCTCATTGCTGATAATTCCGATTGAAGATTAGTTACATCTTTCAATGCCGTTTCTTTAGTATTTTTATCGAGTATCAATTCTTTTTTCAATTTCTCTATTTCTTCCCTCAAATTAAACAATTCTTTTAAAAGTTTCATTTTTTCGGATTCTAAGTTAAAAATTTGATTCTTTAATGTTTCATTCTCAATTTTCAATGTATTGAGTAATTTCTTCAATTTTTCATCTTCTGCTTTGAGATTATTTATTTCTTCATTTAAATTCTTAGAATTTATTTTTAAATTATCAATTTCTTTTTTTAATTTTTCATTCTCGGTTTGAGTATTAATTAATTGTGATTTTAGTTCTTTTTTTAGATTTTCTTCTTCTTCAAATTGCTTGTCATGTTCGTTTTTTGAAATACCAAGTTCTTTTTGCATTTTTTCATTATCTTCTTTCATATCATTATTTTCTTTTTTCAATTTATCGTTATCTTTGAGAATTTTTTCTAGTTCAAATTTTAATTTTGATAATTCAGTTTTTAAATTTGATTTCTCATCAACAAGACTCGATAATTCATTATCAAGATCATTTTTTTGTTTTTCAAATTTATCAATTTCTGATTTTAATTTAAAATTTTCGTTTTTCAATTCATCGAATTTAATTAGAAAATCTTTTAATTGTTTTTTCAAAGCATTTAATTCATCTTCAATAGCTTCTTTTTTTATTTTCATATCTTCTAACGCTGACTTAATTCGATTACCTTCTTCTTGTAAAGAATTTATTTCCCCTTTAGCTTTATCAAAATCACGTGACATTTGTTCATTTTCTTTTTTTAAGAATTTAATTTCTTCATTTGCCTTTTCTTTTTCTTCTTTTTCCAAATCGCCTTCATTTTTTAATTTCAAATTTTCACTCTTTGTGGAATTTACCACATTTTTCAGTGTTTCATTATCGTGAATAATTTCATTCAATTTAGACGTTAAATTTTCATTTTCTATTTTTAATTTTTCAAAATCTGTTAGTTTTGATTGTAATGAATTTTTCACATTTTTCACATTTTCCATTTCTTGGGATAAATTTTTTAAATTATTTTTCAACACTACAACTTCATTTTTTATTTCATCTAAATTATTTTTCATTTCTTCATTTTCTGTTTTCATATTTATATAATCTTTGTTTAATTTTTCTAAATCAACCATTGATTTATCTAAATTTTCTTTAAACTTTATATTATCATTTCGTAGATTATTATTTTCATTTTGTAAATTTGAATAATCAGTTTCTAAATTAAGATTTTTATTATTTAAATTTGTATTTTCATTTTTAAGTTTTTCCATTTCTTTTTGTAATTGTTCAATAATTTTTTTGAATCTATCATTTTCGTCAACTAATTTTTCTTTGACTACTTTTAAATTATCAATTTCTGAATTAAAATCATCAATTTTTGCTTGTAAATATTCATTTTCTTTTTTCATTTTCTGCAATTCAGTTTCAATTAATGTATTTTGATTCTTTTCTTCATCTTTTTGTGCTTTTATTTCTGAAATTGATTTTTCTAAATTTTCTTTTAAAAATTCTTTTTCCATATTTAGCTGTTTCAATTTTTCTTTAAGATGATCAATTTCTTCTTTTTGTTTATTATTTTCAAATAAAATTTCATTCTTTTCTGATTCAATTTTCTTCTTCTCTGCAAGAATATTTAAATTCTCAAAATTTATTTCCTCGTTCACTTCATTTAAATTCTTCAATTTTTCCTCTAATTTTTGAATATTATTCATTAAATTTTCATTTTCTGATTGTAAATTTTTATTTTCCAATTTTGTTTGATTCAATTCTTTTAAAATTTTTTCAAATTCTTTAGAAACATTTTCCTTATCATCTTTTACAGTTTGTAATTCATTTTTCATTTCTTCAATTCTCAAATGCGCTGCCTTCAAATATTGCAATAATTCTTCTATTTCAGATCTAAGATAATTAAATTGATTTTTAATATTATTCATTTCACTGAACATTCCAGAAAAATCAGATTCAACTTTTAAACATTTTTCCTGTAAACTGTCAAATTTCTTCATAAGTTCTTCATATTCACTACTTTTTCCTTCTAATTCAATAATTTTATTTTGAGTTTCATTTAATTTATTATTTAGTTCTTCGTTTAAATTTTCCAATTCTTTTATTTTATTTTTATAAACAATTTCCTCATTTAATAATGCATCTAATTTAGTTTTAATGGCAATTAATTTGACATTGCATTCGTCGCCAATTTTTTGTTTTTCTTCAAAAATTTCCATAATTTTTTCATTTCTTTCAGAAACAATGTTACGAATTTTACCCAATTCTTCTAACAATTGACTTTTTTCTATTTCAAGATCATACAATTGTGGTTTCAATATTTCAATTTCATTTGACAATTTTTCCATTCCCAAACGTTCCACAGTTGATGCTCTCAAATCTCTCAAGAGTTCATTGACCTGAAGATAATAAAATTAAATAATATAGATAAACACAAAAATATTATGTTTTTTTTTTTTGTAATTAAAAAAAATTATTTTACCTTTGCATCTTTTTGCATCAATTCATTTTTCATTGCATCAACTTCATTTATCAATGCTTTGTGACTGACAGTAATTTTATCTAAATCAACTTCCCGTTGTTCAGAGGTTTTTCGTTGATTGTAATTTACGTTTTCCAGGTCACTGACAACTTGATTCTTATCAATAAGTTCTTTTTTCAAATCAGCAACAAGGGCTTCGAATTTTTCAAGTTTCTCATGACACTCGGAAAAATTTTCTCCATCCGGACCTAATTTTCTTTGAAGGGCTTCCAATTGAGCCAGAAGGTTTTCATTTTCCGATTTTAAATCCGAACAACTTTTCGAAAGTTCCATCATAGTTTCTATAGATTTTTCCACCACCATCGAAACTTCATGGTCAGTTTTCTGGCCTCCTTTCATCAATTCTCGAAGTTTTGCTCTCAAACGATTTAAAGCTGCACACGATGTGTCATCATCCATTTCAACAATTCTCAAATTTAGCGCCGCTATTTTTTCTCTCAATCTAAAGAAAATTAAAATTTTTTTAATTTCATTTAATCTTTCAATAATAATTTTTAATAAAAAAAAAAAAAAATATTATTTAATTAATTATTTCAAATTAAATAAATAACTGCTTTTTCTCTTGGGAAAATTCATCGCGAAGGTCTTTGATCTTTTCTCTTATGAACTTTACAGAATCACATGGATCATCAGAATAATCTCGTTCAGCCAAAGTTTCTGTGAGGTTCTTTACTTGATCCTTCAATTCGTCATTAAGATTTTCAAGTCTCAAATTCTCTTCTCGATAGTGAATAATCAGAGGATCGGGTTTTAACGCCTCATTAATATTAATACCTTAAAAACAAAAAGAAAATATTTTAATAATTATGACCAAGAAAATTAGAATTAATAAAAAATAATTAAATAATAATTACTAATAATTAATAATAATTAATTAAATTAATAGAAATTTTTTTTACAAATAAAAAAATAAATTATAATTAATATTAATTACCATATTTTTCGAGAGCCTGTTTCAAAGATCGAGTTTCACTTTCCAATTGGAGTCGTTCCATTCGCCATTTTTTCATTTGACACTTCATGACCGTTAATTTACGAAGTGCAAAGGGGAGATCGTAAATTTCTGCATCTTTTGAATTATCACTAAATGGATTATAATCACAACAGCAGCAAGGCTCGTTTGGTGATTCCTCTTGTTTAAATGTCCCAGGAGCATCGCAACCACAATGACAAAAAACCTTCGATGAATCGCTCATGATTGTATAAATATATATATATTTTTTTTTTATTCTACCGGGACAAATTCAAAAATCACAATTTAGTTTCTCGTTCATTACAAAATTATCGACCTAACAAATAAAATAAATATTTACAAAATTCTCTTTTTAAAAAAAAGAAAAAAAAAAAACAATCTATCAAAATAAAAATGAAATTGCTTCACTTGCGACAAATTTCATGGGATTCTTATTATGAAATTAAAAACATACAAAGGCCTTTAAAAAAATTTAATTTGTGATTTATTGAAATAAAGAATATAAAATTACGATGTTGAAAGTCAGAAGTGGCAAATTTATCGAATATCAAAAAAAAAAAAAGAATGAACTCAACGATCTGGGAATGCAGTTAACGAAAGAAGCCAGTGAACTGAAAAGCACGTTCGATGTGAATGATACGAACAAGGGTGCAAATTTTTCTCCACGCTACAAAAAAAAAAAAAAAAAAATTCGCCCTCAATAAATTGATGAAAAAACTCTAGAGTAAATTAAATAATGATTACGAGGCTTTGATAACAGCTGAAAATCTCGATTTCTCCAAGTATCTCAAGCGAATTACCGGTTTAAATGTTTTTTTTTCCCCCCCATGTTAAATCTCAATTGAAAATCATTATCAGAAAAAAAAGAAATAATTGTTTTTCAAAAATTTGAAGAAAATTAATTTCTCCACAAAAAAGAGAGAAAAAAAAATTTCTTTTAAAATTATTATTTTGACAAAATCCAAAAGATCTGAGAATACTATTATTTTTCTTTTTTTAGTAAAAAAAAACCAAATTTTCTTTCTTAAAATTGTTTAAGAATAAATATAATTAAGAAGAATTCGGATAATTTTTCGAATTATCAGAAATATTTTTGCCAGGTCACTAAAGAAGAAGTGGGCTTTTTTTCAATTTAAATCTGAACAAAGACCATAATATTTCAAGAAAGTTAATGAAAAAATTAATTAATAAAATGAAAATCTCAATTGAAAAATTGATCCTTACTGAAATTGTAAAAAAAATCGAAGATCATTGTGACGGATTTAGAAAACAATATAATGGAACAAATGAAATAAGTTGGAAAAGAAAAAACAAATCCACGAATTAGAACTCGTCTCGAAGCGATTGCAATTCGGGATTAAGAAACTCCACAAGAAAGAGATAGTTGTGGCTTCCGGGGACAATTCACGTCTGATTAAATGTATCGAATTAAAGAATTCGATTTTGTTCATCTAAATTAGCTGCGCAAAAAAAAAGATTTGCAAATCTTATTCACTAAATCGAAAATAACAAATAATCGACTATTAACAAATAAATATTTACCAAATAATTTTTTTTGAAATCAAATAATTGAATTAAATTAATTGTATAAATTTATTTGAATCAAATTCATTTTTCTTTTTTTTTTTGAGACTTATAAAATAATTATTGAACAAAAATAAATATTTATTTGATAATAAATTATTTGAATCGAATAAATTTTTCTTTTAAATTGATCAAACAATTTTACGCTTGGATTGAAAAAATTTTCCAAAAATCAGTGATTTACAAAAAGAACAAAGTTTTACAGGAAAATGGATAAAATTTGTAATTTTCTATCATAAAAAGTCCTAAGGGGAAAAAAGTGCCGCCGAAGAAGCTGAAGAATTGAAGGAAGAAAATGCTGAACTAAAATCGACTATATGCAACTTGTATAAGAAAAAAGAGAAAGAAGAAAAAGGGAAGGAAACTTTTTAGAAAAGCGATAAACAGGTCAAAGAGTGCGGAAACTATGGTCCAGAGGATCTAATCGAAAATGTGGAAAAGAGAACAGGAATTTCAAAGTTTTTTTTCCCCCCTGAAAAACACGACACTGACGATTCGGAGACAATCAACGTTTTAAAACTGAGTTGGAATTTCGAAAATTTCCACAATTTTTTAATCTCCTTCACACTTTTCAAAAAAAAAAAAATTTTTTTTAATTTTTAAATAAAATCAAGAATATAAAAATGAAATAATTGACAATTGACAATAGTCGAAGTTAGAAAAATTGGGAAAATTCGTCGACATTCGATAAATTGTGAAGAAAACGAGAGAAATGAGCTCGAGGAGAAAATGAAAATCCTTGAAGATGAGAATAAGTAGGCAAAGATTCCATTTTGTTGGAATCAATTCGAAAGTATCAATGCTTTCCCGTCATCATCAGGCAAAATACACGACGATTCTTTCATGCGAACCAAAATGTCTCGTCTGACAGAGGATAAGTTACTTGCGACAAGAAAAGGATTCAAGGCGCAGCAAACTTGAGAAAGACCTCTCTTTCTCTCTTGTTGAAGACTTGAAATTAATCGTATTTCGTGACGAAGTGAATCTCGACGAGATCGTTTGTGGCATAAATTGAAGAAAACGCAAATTGAACGACAGCCGCTTGTCATGGAATTAAGTCAATGGAATAAGTCGCGATTCAATGAAATACACTCGAAAAACTAGAACGCGCGAATTCAGAGAAAAAAAAAATCGAAATACTGAAAAAGACAACTTCACAAATTTTCCTGCTGGAAAGCTAATTATATTTTTTTTTCTCCTCGATTTGGATATGATTTTGGAAAATGGAAAAAAAAAATACTCGAATCAACTCGAAAAACAGATTTTTTTTTTCTTTAAAAAGCAAATTCTCATCAGAAATTATAGAACGCTCCATTTTTAAAAATCGAACAAACTCGAGAGTTTAATTTATCTCAGAAACGATACGAAAAAAAAAAATAGAAACTTGAAAAATTAATTAGAAGAAATTGAGAATATTCTCAATCCTTCAATATTCTCCTTGAAGAATCTAAAAAGATTTTTATTAAAAAAAAAGAATATATTCTTCAATATATTGAATGATTTTTTAATGATAATGATTTTTTTTCCATTGAAAAAAAAAGAATTTCTTTTCACTTTATAAAAGAATTTTTTCTCTTCTCTAATCCCAAAGAGTGTTCTATTTTGTTATTGTTATCAAAGACATGTTCTTTGCTAATACCATCAAGTCTCCTCGTTGCAAAGATAACAGCTTTTAACATTCTGCCCAGTCGAAGTCTTTGAATAGAAGTTTCTAAAATAACTTCCCTGCTTGGCAAGTAGAGTATTTGTTTAAAGTTTAAGCAAACGACAGAGAACTCTTGAGATGGATTGCTTTGTCTTTGCAAAATGTTCGACTATACACTCCAAATTGTTCTCTTCAATATATATATATATATATAGAAATTTGAATTTTATATTCTGAAAATAAAAAAAAAAAGTTAATAAAATTTTTTTTTTATAAAATAACTTAAAAATTTTATTTTTCACATGTAAAAAAATTTTCATCTAACATCTCATAATATATATATATATACGGTAAAGTGACTTTTCATGTTTAGAATAAATTTTATTTTCTGGAAAAAAAATTATGATTGAAGGTTTATATGAAAAATGATGCTTAGATAATATATGACGGGACCCATCGTCTTTCATAAGATTCATAAATAATCTTGCAAAAGACTCTTTCCTTAAAATGCTCCTTGAGTAAAATTTAAGAACACTGCTTACTACACATACTTTCGAAGAAAAAAAAAAAAAAAAACAAAAATCATCTCTTCCTTAAAAGACCAATTCATATGCGAAAATTTCATAAACTATATACATCCTTTCGTTTCTATATAAAAATTTGCCTAACATGAAAAATTTTGCTCTAAACGTAAAGATGTGCTCTTTTTTTGTCCCTTTTTATTTTGATATTAAAATAAATTTTACCTTCATTTGGAATTCTTTTCATTTTTATTTTACAAGCCATCTTTTATTTATATAAATTCGCTGATTTAATGTTGAGAATAATAAATATTAGAATAGATTAAATAATAAAAAAAAATGGATAACATTCGGACAAATGGTTTTTTTAAATAAAATTTTCTCCAACGTTTTGAAATCACATTTTTTTTTTCAGTATATTGATTCTCCCTAAAGAGAAAATCAGATTTCAAAATGTTGGAGGAAATTTTATTTTAAAAAAATCCATTCGTATTCTACGCGAACGTTAATTTTTGATAATTATAAAATTAATAATTACCTAAAAACAATTTTCAATTTTGAAAAGAAAATGAAATTTCTTCATTTGAAACAAAAACATTTTAAATCGATAATTTAATAATTAAAAAACAGGATCGTTTTTGTTTAGAAGGATTTATATACAATATCATGAGAAATTCAACAACTTGAAGGGATTCTAAACAAAAGTTCATTGTTCTGTTAGCATTGAACGAGCAACCGGTTCCAATTACTAGTAATTTAGATCAGGATTCAGCACAAATCTCTCCATATATAGCAAATCGTCAAGAGATTCCTCACAGACAATGTGTACGGGCTTAACTCAAGTATATATATATAGAGAGAGAATCAGGATAGAACTTGGATATAGAGAGAACGTTCTTGTCCGTCCTGATGCGATTTCAGAGTCGGAAGTTCGGTTACCCAGTGATATGGTTACAGCCATCTTCGATGATAGAGAGGTGCAAATATTGCCATCTTAGCCTTTGCTAATTAGTGGCGTGTTTACCTCTCAGCATAGACGAGATATACTCTCCAGCTTTGTTGAAGTGAGGTCACTATATACTCCCATCAGGTAAACTGAGAATGAACACAAAACACAATTACATCCTAATTATTGATTAAAAAAATCTGTAATTAAAAGAAAAACCTCTTAAAAAATGAAGAAAACAAAATTATAGCAAAAATTATTCCAATATAATATGAAAAGAAAATTTTTTTTTTCAATTTTTGTCTCAGAATTTACATTCTAAAGTTTGCATAAATGTGGAATGTGTAAGTACACGTGTCAACATACAGCATTGTGTGTTCTTGGTTCGTGTATAATGTTTTTGTGTCACCAGTACCTGTTTCCCATATATATATATATATATATACAAAACTAAGCATCATATTATCTCCATGGCTTTGGAGATACGCGAGAATGTACACGTCACGTTCGTCCATAAAAACTAATCAAGAGGACCGTCTAGCCGACGCATGTTACAAGATACAACACAAAAACAATGCAAACACGTGCCAACTAAATGGATTTTAATTGTTGGGATAATTCCAAGAAAAATTGAAATCTTTTCATTCTAAATTTCACTTTAATTCAAATTAATATTTTAATCAAAATTAGTATTAAAAAAAAATTTATATGTATATTTTCCAATTAAATATAACATTGATAGTTGAAAAATTTATTTATTTGCTATTCGAATATCATTGAATTCAGAAACAATTCCAGGAACATATTTCATTAATTCTTCTTGATTTAATTTAAAATCATTATCAACCCAAATTTCTTGCAATGATGTAATTACTTTACCAATTAATTTTGCATTTTTTACATAAGGTCTAATTAATGTTCCATTAACGGGAAAATGTGGAATATTCCAATTTTCAAATTCTTCAATTAAATGAAATTGTCCATTATAACGAAACAATTCTAAAATATATTCACGTTTATCTTTAACTTTACCTTTATTAACGATTAGAAAAAGTTGAAATGATTTAATTGATTTATCTGTAAAAATATCGTTCTTATGTTCGACAATATAAAATGCTAAATCGCGTTCAAATGCAGAAAATTTTAATCTTCCATGTAAATCAATTACTTCTTGTTCATTATTTAATAATGAAGCAAGTAATGTCGATGGTTTTAGAAGAATATTTTCAGCATCCGCACGTTTTGTTATTTTTATGAAATTTTCAATATTCACATTTTCCGGTAGACCTATATATTTACCCATGCCACATTCTAACATTTTTAATAATAATTCACGATAAAATTTGCCTGATAATATTTTTGACAATTCATTCCAAATTCTCTCTCCTGATATTCTTTCTAAACCATTCGTATTCTCCTTTATTGCCTTCATTGTACTCTCATCATGATTGTCCGGATTGTCCGCAATTCTTCCGTAAAATCGAAAATATCTGCAAATATTAATTTAAAATTAAAAAAAAAGAATTTTAATATTAATCTTCTTTTGTAAAAGAACTAAATTGTTTTTCATTTACAGTAAACGAAGTTTAGCTTTTGAAGATTTAAAAAAAAAAAAACTTATTTAAAGTTAATTAAATATTTGTTGAGCAATTTTGAAAATTTAAAAATAGTTTACATAATTTACAGGTATATTACATATTGTAACGCCCTATTTATTATTATCACATGCAATTCATCACTGTAGACTAATTACGCGAAAGACGTTATTGCATGCAACAATTTCTTTTTTCCAACCATCGACTAAAATAGCGGATGTTGCATGAACAAAAAATTTTTATACTTCTAAAAATTCAAAAAATCATTTAATTCTTTTTAATTCAAAATTTTAATTTAAATTAAAATTTTTGAATCTTATTAATTAAATAACAAACCTTAAAATTCGAAGATAATCTTCTTGAATTCGACTAACGGGATTTCCGACAAAGGCAATTTTTCTTATTTTAAGATCATCGTAACCATAAAAATAATCATAAACAGTACCATCAAATCCAAGGAACATGGAATTTATTGTTAAATCACGTCTATTGGCATCGAGTTTCCAATCTTTTGTAAAAAGAACTTCTGCATGTCGTCCATCAGTTACAAGATCTACTCGTAATGTTGTTACTTCAAAGTTTTCCTTATCATTAATTCTTGATGTTATTGTGCCGTGTTTCTCGCCATTTGAATTTACCATTCTTATATTTTCTTTTATAAACATATTCTTCATTTCTTCAGGTGTTGCAGTTGTCGCAAAATCAAGATCCGTTGGTGTTTTACCCATTAAAATATCACGTACCGCACCACCTGCCACTCTTATTTCGTGATTGTATTTTTTAAATAAATCCGCAAGTGCATTTACCTCAGGTGTTAGAATCGAATGAAATTCAGGTGTATCCAATTTCATTATCACCGGATCACTTCTACTAATTGGAAATGAATCATTTGCCATTTTTCTTCTTCTCCAACGTTCTTGTAAATTATAACGTTTTGTAATCTAAAAATTTTAAATAATTATAGAAAATATTAAATTACGTTCAACAATTTCTAAATAATCATAATTTTACTATATCAAATTTTCAGGTTATGTATAAGAATTGAGATTTTTGTTCACATTAATATTTTTTGATTTTTAACTTTAAAAACAAAAATTTATTAACTAATATAGAAAAACAAGTGAAAAACAAAAATAAATGAACATAACCTCCAATTATTTAAAACGTCAGAAAAGTGGAAGAATAACCACTTACACGTAGTGGAAATTGACTAAATATATTTTTAGAATAACGAACAATTGTTACAGTTAACAGCATTATCAATCATTAGTCTTTTTTAATAATAAATATAATATTTATTCACTTTTTATTGAACGCACATGCTTGACATTTTGACAGATTCTTTATAATATGAGACTAAGTTCACATGTTGCAAATATTAGTCACGTGATTTAAATTCACATTGATTATCAAACTTTTGATTTTTAAGAACAAGATATTAAAAATTTTGATTTAATATATTTCAATTGAAAAAAATTATTAAAATAACATTTATATATTTTCTTTTTTTAATTATTTTTTATTTGAAATAATTTTTGAGAAATTTTATTTTGAAAATCCCGCCATATGACGTCAATAAATGAGACTCTGTAGTGAACGAGACTTAAGCTTAACGTCATTGCATTTGTGGTCGATAAATACATGGAGTAACGTGATATTTTTCTCATAAAATTTACTCTTTACAAGTGCTTCAAAAAAAAAGGGAGTTACTGTATAAGTGATTGATACAACAATTTCTCCTCTTGAAAATGATATTGTGGTGGCATTTTTAATATTCAAAGAAATAAAATCATCGACAAAATAACATAATGCCGCTGGCTACTTTGACACTTCCCTGGAGTCAAAATCATGTAAGCAAAATACTTTATCAAGAAAAGATATTTATTTTCTTTATTTTTTTTTTATCATACAAAAGATAATTTTCCCTTTTGATATATCAATTTATTAAATTTTTATTAAACATTTTTAATTTTATTTATAATTATATTATTATAATCATAAACTTTCTATATTTGCAACAGAAAACAAACAAAATTGTCTATTTATTGACTTTATTGGGACCTTGTGCTATTATCTGTTTATTCATCTGTTTTGATAGAAATCGATTTTCATAGTTTACTGGTCTCTACTTTGATAATATAAAGTGTTTTAATCTAAAAGTAAACGTCAAATATGTCATGAAAACTTATCGTACAAAAGTTATTATGGATTTTAAGGCTTTTTGAAAATGATTTCTCAATTTTTTTTTTTATTAATTTAGTTTTGAAAGCTGTTGAAAAAATCTTTTAAAATAAATTTTAAGATAATTTTATAATTTCTTGATATTGGTTTTTTTTTTTTTAACATAAAATTATCTTTTCACGTATTATTGGCTTTTGTATATATTTATAAATGTCTTTATTCTCGAAAATAAAAAAAAAATAAGTGAATAGAAATAATTGGATTTAAATTGTAATGGTTTTCAAAAGGAAATCAATAAATGTTCAATGAATATGACATTCTAGTTTAATTGAACGATCACAGGAATTACATTTCCTCCTCGTGTGTTGTCATTAATAAGAGAAATAAACATCTCAATTGTTTTACTCACTTTTTTAAATAGTCCAATACAAAGTAATCAAATTCCTGACATTTTTTATTTTTACCAATTTATCTAATTTTGTTTTTTCATTTCCTTTTCTCTTATGTAGACAATCACGAATCATAACAAGGTGAGATACATTTCATTTCATTTTTTTTTTCCTATTTCATTTTCCTTTAATTTGTTTTATTTTCACGATCGCTTGATTGCTCATAATTCCTTTTTAATTAAAAAAAATATCTTGAAGAAATTTAAATATATTTTAATTAAATAAAAAGTAAATAAAATAATAATAATAATAATAATGTAGCAAGAACACGTGATGTTACCATCTGAAGGCGAAGATGCGGAAATGGTATCGGAAAATCATGAAGAAGTTATATGTAAACAAAATTCATTGGAGATACAATCAAACGGATGTTCTGAATCACACGAAATTGAAGTGCGTGAATTAGTTCGTGATGGTCATGAAAAAGCAGAACCAGGACATTTCGAATTGCTTAAAGTCCTCGGTCAAGGATCTTTTGGCAAGGTTGAGAAAACATTTTACTAAAAAAAAAAGAAAAAAAATTATTTTTCATATTATTCAAATATTTAAATTAATTTCAATATAAAAATTTATTTTTTATCTAATTTTTTCGTTTTCAAAAAGGTGTTTCTCGTGAGAAAAATTTTTGGCAAAGATGTTGGAACTCTTTATGCAATGAAAGTTTTGAGAAAAGCAACTCTTAAAGGTGAAAAATTTTTTCTATATATATATTTTAAATTAAAAATATTTCAAGTTTAATATTTGATTTTATTGCAGTTCGCGATCGAGTTAGAACAAAAATGGAACGCAATATTCTCGTTGATGTGGAACATCCATTTATCGTTCGTTTACATTATGCATTTCAAACTGAAGGAAAACTCTATTTGATTCTTGATTTTTTACGCGGAGGGGATCTTTTTTCACGTTTATCTAAACAGGTTTTCTTCATTTAAATAATATTAAATTTATTTAAAAAATAATTTTTTTTTAAATTTAAATTTAAATTAAAAATTTTATTTTTTTTAAATTTCCATTTTTTAAATAAATAAAATTGTTTTAATTTTTTTTTTTCAGTTAATGTTCACCGAGGAAGATGTAAAGTTTTATTTAGCTGAATTAGCATTAGCATTGGATCACATTCATAAATTGGGTATTATTTATCGTGATTTAAAACCGGAAAAGTGAGTTAATTAAAACTCTCGAATTTCGTATGAAGAAATTAGAAAATTAATAAATTTATTTTTTTTTTAGCATTTTATTAGATACGGAAGGTCATATATCTTTAACTGATTTTGGACTGAGTAAACAACCATTAGATGATACAAAAACCTATTCATTTTGTGGAACTGTTGAATATATGGCACCTGAAATTGTTAATCGTAAAGGACACTCGTTTGCCGCTGATTGGTGGAGTTATGGCGTTTTAATGGTTAATTAAATTCTTCTTTTGTTTATAACAAAAAAAAAAAGGTTTTTCTAATAAATTCTTTTTCAGTTTGAAATGTTAACGGGCTCACTTCCATTTCAAGGAGACAGTCGAAAAAAAACTATGACTCACATTTTGAAAGCAAAAATAGGAATGCCGAATAATCTTTCACCGGAGGCGCAAGCTCTTTTGAGAGTTTTATTTAAGAGGAATCCTGTCAATCGTCTTGGCTACGGTAATTAAACAAAATTTAAATTTTTTCATAATAACAAAATTAATTAAATTTTCTATCAGGAGGAGGTGAGGAGATAAAAAATCATGTTTTCTTTGCCACAATTGATTGGGAGGCATTGTACAAGAAACAAATAAAACCACCATTTAAACCAGCGGCAAGTCGCGAGGATCATGCATTTTATTTCGATAATGAATTCACTTGTAAAACACCAAAAGGTAAGAAATTTCAATACTATTTGAAATTTATGTAAATTATTGAATTCTGAAAAAGAAAATTTTGTACAATATTTAGAGTAAAGATTTGATTACAGATTCGCCGGGTGTACCAGTAAGTGCAAATGCTCATGAATTATTTCGTGGCTTTAGTTTTGTTGCACCATGTCTTCTTGAGGATAATGCAATAAATCCGGTTACAATAAATAATGAGTGTATTACAAGTACATTTCCAACTTATGTGAATCACAATCAAGTTCTTGATGAATATGATTTTTTACAAGAAATTGGCAAAGGTAGTTTCAGCACTGTTTATCATGCAGTTCATAAAACAACAAAATTTGAATATGCAATAAAAGTTATTGATAAAAGCCAACGGAATCCAACTGAGGAAATTGAAATTTTGTTACGATACGGTGGACATCCACATATTGTTTCACTTCGTGCACTTCATGAGGATGAAAAGCGTGTTTATCTTGTTTTGGAACTTTTGCGAGGTGGCGAACTTCTCGATCGTTTATTGCAAAGGAGCAATTTCACCGAAAGAGAAGCCGCTGAAGTTCTCTATGTCATCACAAATATCGTGAAATATCTTCATGAAAATGGGGTATGTAACGATTTTCTTTTTGTAGAATTTTTCAATTAAAGAATTTCAATTATTACAAAAAAAAAAAAAAAAAAAAATGAAATTTCGATGTCGATTATATAAATTAAATTTTATTTTAATAATATTAAATCTAAATGGAGCGCACGATTCTCCCCTCAAATTTTACCATATCGATTACCCTCAATTCTAATAATTCCAAATTTTTTTTCCATTAACCTAATTTTTTTTCACTATTGATTTTTTTTTTAATATAATTACAAACGTCGGATTATACGACTTTTTTTTTACAAAATTTTTAAATAAAATACGTCTTTATTTCAATTAAAAATCACTTGAACTTATTCCCAGGTTGTTCATCGTGATTTGAAACCATCAAACATTTTGTACGCGAAACCAGGAGGTGATCCATCGACATTGTGCATTTGTGATCTTGGATTTGCAAAGCAGCTTCGTGCTGAAAATGGCCTACTAATGACACCATGTTATACAGCAAATTTTGTTGCACCGGAAGTACTCAAACGACAAGGATACGATGCAGCCTGTGATATTTGGTCACTTGGTGTTTTATTGTATATCATGTTAAGTGGTTACACACCATTTCCAAATAGTCCTGGTGATAGTGCAAATGATATTTTGGATCGTATTGGCGCTGGTTATTTGGACGTTGAATCAGGCGTTTGGACACAAATTACAAGAGAGGCCAAGGAGCTAGTTAAAAGAATGCTTCATGTTGATCCAACAAGAAGACCAACTGCTGCTTGTATATTAAAATATCCCTGGATCGCTAATCGACAACATCTTCCACCAAAAGCCTTGCCAATTATCACCAAAGATCGCGATTCATTGAAGGTAAAACAAAAAAAAAAAAAAATTTCTTATTTCTTCTAAGATATTTTTAATAATACAAAATCGATTTTCGAATTTTCAGAGCGAGGTTGCAGCAACATACAGAGCAATGTCAAGCAGTCCAAGAAAACCTCATATTGGTCCAGTGGCTCTCTCGGAACTTGCGAGACGTCGAACACAAGCCAAACCTTCCACAGCTGTTAAGGTTTAAATTTTTCCCCTTTTTTTTCTCTCTCATGTGCCAGAATCCAATCAAATGAGAATAATGCAAAAAAAAACTGCATAAAACTAATTTTTAACTGAGAATTCCATTAGAAAATAGTTCAATTTACAAAAGAAAAAACAATAAGAACACAGTCACTTTTAGTAAAATCAATTATTGTTTTGATTGATTTTTGAGTAAAAAAAATGACTGACTTGAAAGAATGAATGAAAAACAAGAAAAGTGCAGTCATTGCCATTGTTACAATTATTATACACATCATAATGTACAAAGGAAGGTTTCACCAGATGGTGAGGACAATGTGATATTTACTTTTATTTTCCATTTGTGCTTTATCAATGCATACGCTAAAGTAGAACGCACATGCAATGCCTAAGAAAAAAAAAAACACTTTGGAAGTAATGAGCATTTAAAAACCGCGTTTGTCAAAACATGACGCGAATCATAAATCTTAATAATTGTAAGATAAAAATGAACGCAAGTCAATGTCTAGAGTATTATCCACTTTTTTTTTTTTTTATTGTGTCAAATCAGTAATTTCAAATTTGATTTTTCATATTAATCAAGCGATAATACTTCCTGACGGAATTGCAATTTTTTAACCATCACAACAATTATTGTTATTTTCTTTTAATTTTTATTATTTTTAGTTTTTAATTCGAAAATTAGAAAAATTCATTTTTACCCCAACAAAAGTTAATGCTGGAAATTTGGAAAAGATTGAAAATTTAATGACAATTTAAAAAAAAAAAAACTTTTAACAAATAAAAATTAATTAACATTAAATTTTAAAAATCTTTCCAAATTTTAGAATAAACTTTTGACAGTCGCCAGTGAATGACAATTTTTTTTAAATTATCGATTTTTATTTGTCAAGATTTTATATTAAGATTTTGAGTAATAGAAATCAAAATTTTATTTAAAATTAACGATCAACATTTTTAATTAAGTTTTTGGTAGTTAATTTTTAAAAATTGAATTTTCAAAAATATCAATTTAAATTATTATTTATAAAAATTGTAGCTGCAGATATGCACAAGGAAATTGAAAATTGCACACGAGTTGGAAAATAATGCACAAACTTGAAAATCGTACACAAATTGAAAATTAATAAAAAAAAAAAAATTGTGTACAAATTCGAAATAACAAAAATAGTTTTGATTTTCTAGTTAAAAATAAACTTTTTGCACTATTCAAACGCTTCATGAAATTCTCGAGAGAAATTTGCAGTTGTCTCGTTAATTGTTGTTAATTGCATTTAATGCTTGAAAAATCGTCTTCAACATTTTCATAACTTCATCAAAGTGTCAAATCGATATACAAGTTGTTGTTTATAATCGTTGTTAAATTGATAAAAAAAAAAAAAAAAACTTGAATAGTACAATCATGCAAAGTAATTTACAAATATGAACTTTTCAAGTCCCAAAAAAAAAATATATATATATTAATCGTAAGCGTGAATTAAGTGGAGTGAATAATTGTTGTTTCCGGGGCGATTGTAATATCATTAAATTATTATGTCTAAAAACTGTTATCTTAAACAGAAACAGTAGAATTTTATATTTATATTACATTTAATGTCTAAAAAAAAAATGTTCAAATTATGACTATGTATGTGTCTCTCTTGCACCGAGTTAACAATGTAAAAAAAAAAAATTTAATTTCTTTGAAACATTTAGAAAAAAAAAAGATATTGAAAAAGAATAATGTTTCGTACTGGATAATAAAATGCCTTCTTAATGCAACAAAGGACTTTCGTCTCAGGAAAGTGTAGAGCATTATGAGACAAAACTATACTATGATCATTGTTTGTTAATTTTTATGTGAAAATCTTTAAAACGATATACAGATTATTTGGAAAACCACGATAATATATTTATAAAAGTAGATTTATTTTTTACAGAAAACTGTTTTGGCTCCCTATTCTATAAAATACAATTTCAAATTTTAAAAAATGAAAAATATACACATATAAAAATATTATAAATCAAGAGACTATTGATTTTATTCCTACTTGAAGAATTGACTAATTATAACTAATATATAAAAATAACTCAATTTCAACTGTATATATATATATATAATATATATATATATATATTTATTATATAAATGTTTATAAATTTGTAGTCATGAATACCATGAACTTTAATTATATCAAAAACATCTCCTTTAATATCCTGCTCTCTTAATAAATATTTTTAAACATAAAACTAATTTTTCGCTTTGAATTTCTTTTTTTTTGTTGAACTTTTAATAGTTCTTTCTAATTGAACAGAAAAAGTTTTCAAATGTAATAATTAAATAATTTCTATTCGATTTATGGCCTTCATTATTAAAATACGTAAAAATGCTAACGAAAAAAAAAAAAAAGATAAAATTACAGAAAAAATACCTTTTTAACAAAGTTTTATCAGTCAGAAGTTGTAAAAAAAGTTTTTATCAGCTGATATCCACTTCTGTGACGAGTTCCTTAATGTTCGCATAATCAGGATCACTACTGAAAATTTCTAAAAGATCTTTAAATGTCGGACGAAGTTCAGGTTCATAGGACCAGCATTGTTGCATTATTTTATAAACATCATCAGGACACGTTTCAGGTTTTTGAAGTCTTTCACCTTTCTCCACCAATTGAATAACCTGAAATTAAACATTTGTTTTAAAAATTTATTATTAATATTATAATTAAATTGAAAATTTTTCTCTTTATTTACATCAACACCACGTCGATCGCCGTATGGTTGCTCTCCATAAGAAAACATTTCCCATAATGTCACACCATAACTCCAAACGTCGCTTGCGTGAGTGAAATTTCCAAAATTATACGATTCCGGTGAATACCTAAAATATTAAATGAAATTAAAAATTTTCTTACTATTATTAAGAGAAAATAATACTGCAATTAAAAAAAAAACATTTTCTTAAAAGTACTTTATTAATAAATACCATTTAATCGGCCATTTTCCACCAGCTGTTGCTTTATAATAATCACTAGAACCAAAAGTTCTCGACAATCCAAAATCACTGATTTTCGCTTGATTTCTCGAAGCTAGTAAAATATTTCTAGCTGCCAAATCTCTATGAACTAGACGCATTTCTTCTAAATATTTCATACCTGCAATATTTTCAAATAACTTTTTATTCTTACAATTATTTTTCATTTTTTTTTACTTACCACAAGCAATTTGAGAGGCCCACAATTTCAATTCATATTGTGGACTAACACGATCAGGAAATTCTAAAAGATACGCCAACATTGAACCCAATGAAACGAGTTCTTGTACCTAAAAAAAAAAAAATAAAAATTATTTCTTAATTATATTCTAAAAATAATAATTAATTTCAATGAGACAAATTATTACCATCATCAAAGGTGGTCCTTCGGAGAATCCAATTAATTTAACAATACAATGATGATTAAGTGTCATCATTAGAATAGCTTCTCTTAAAAATTCCTCCCTCGTCGCATTATTGTAAGAATCGCGAAGTGTTTTAATTGCCACTGGCTCTTCTATATTTGGTGCTGATTTATAAACACCTTGATAAACCGCTCCAAATTCTCCCTCACCTAATACTTCGCCAAGAATAAGTTTGTCAACAGGAATAAAACCTATAAAAATTGATTAAAAAATGTAATTAAGAAATAAAATTATTATTATTATCATTTACCTTTATGATTAGTTTCAATTTCCGGTTTTGGTGAAACAGCCCCAGGTGACGATCGTCTTGGTAGAGTCGTAAATGCCGCGTGGGGAAAATTTTCTTGACGCAATTCTGTTGTTTCGGATTTACTCTGATGCAAACGTTTCGGTAATGTTTGACTCATTACAATATCTGAAATTCCTTTTTTTACGCTAACCTCTTTTTTCTTTTTCAAAGTGCTCTATAAAATATAAAAATCAATTAAAATTTTTTAGAAACATGTAAATAAAAATTGATTAAGATTTGTACGAACCCCATTAAATATTGAAGGTGGCATCTCGGGAATTGGTGGTTTTGGTCCAGGTTTCATTGGATTATGTAAAGGACAAGGAAGTCCATCTGGAATGGAACGATAATACTCGACAACATGTTCTAATGATGAGAGATAGGGTCCATTGTCAATAAACAAAAATTCACCCTGTTAAAAAAAAAAAAAAAAAAAGAAAAAAAAATTAATATCTAAAATGAAAAATGAAAATTCATTTTATTCTTACCTTTTTTTGAATTTGAAAATGAAATGCATGCTTGTGATACATAACAGAAAGAACGTACATTCCATTATTTCTCGAACTAAATCGAACTAAAAATGAACCATCAACTTCACCGTTTTCACGTAACATACGAATTGCTTCCATTCTGTCTAAAGTTCCATGATACCAATCACTTAATTTTTCTTTTGGAATCGGTGGTTGATAATTACCTAGAGAAATATTTTTCCTATATTTTAAATATCTATTTTTTTTTTCAATGTACAATTTTAAATATTCTTACGTAAAAACTTTTCACATTCAGAATGGCTATTTCGTTTAGCAAGATCGGCAGGAACATCGTCGGCGAGTGTTCTTGGATTAACTGGCGCATTCAGAGAAAGAAGAACTTCAATTACCTCCTTATGTCCTCTACTTGCTGCCTCGTGCAAGGGAACCATTCCTTAAATTATAAAATTAAAAAATAACTAATTTTCTTAATTTCTTTTTTTTTTTTTTATTTACCAGTTTCAGTGTGACGTGCCTGAACATTTGCTCCTCCCAAAATAAGAATTCGTACCGTATTCGGAAGATTACTTTGACAAGCGTACTGCAAATTAAAAAAAAATACAATTAGCTATGAAAAATAAAATTCAATTTTCAAAATTAATTTTCCCTACCTCATTTTATCACAAAAAAGCTGCATTGAAACAAATTATTATTTTTCTATTATCACCAAAATTTCAAGTAATTAAAAAAAAAAAAAAAGAATTCAAAATTCTTACATGAAGAGGCGTATAACCAGCAGAATCTCGACAATTCACACTGGCTGTATTTTGAATTAACTTTTTGAGAATTTCATCAGCTCCATCCTTGGCTGCTAAATGAACGGCGGTCTGTCCTAATTGATTTTTAGCTTCCAAACTTCTGTATCCACATTTTAATAATTCCGAAACAATCGTGTAATTTTGCTGTAAATAGAAATATAAATCTTTATAATTTTAGATATATAATAAAATTATAGTTACCAACGTTGATTCAACGAAAAAATAAAATGTAAAGATTTTAATTTCCATCAATGAAATTTGATTATTTTCAACCCTCTAAAACTTGAAATAAAAAAAAAAACCAATATTTATCATTGTTTTGTCCCGGATTTTCCGAAAATTTCGAAATTTCAAGAAAATTACTATTTTTCCCGTCCCGAAAGCAATTTTTCTCATTTGATAATTATTTATTCCAATGCTAGAATCATTTTAAAAAAAAAAACAGAAAAATTGCTTCCAAGTCGGAGAAAGCAGTGATTTTGATTTTTTTGTCACGGATTTTCCGAAAATCTCCAAATTTCAAGAAAATTGCTATTTCCTCGCCTCGGAAGCAATTTTTCATGTATGATAATTATTTCAATGCTAAAAGCCTTTTTTAAAAAAAAGAAAATTTTCTTCCAAATCGGGAAAAATAGATTTTTTTTTTTGAAATTTCGGGATTTTCGGAAAATCTGTGAAAAAAAATTGAAAATCACTCTTTTCCTTGACTTGGAAGCAATTTTCCTTTTTTTTAAATGCTTCCAGCATTGAAACAAATAATTATCAAACGCGAAAAATTGCTTCCGAGGCGAGGAAATATTAAAATTACTTGAAATTTCGGAAAATCCGGGACAAAACAATGATAAATATTGTTCTTTTTTTTTTTTTTATTTCAGATTTTAGAGAGTTGAAAATAATCAAATTTCATTGATGGAAATTAAAATCTTTAAATTTTATTTTTTCGTTGAATCAACGTTGGTAACTTCAGTTTCATTAAAATTATCTAATAAAATTATATTAATTATAGAAATTAATCAACGTGAAAATTGAAAAATATTACTCATACTTGAATTGTAGCTCGATGTAATAAATTTGTTCGACCGTGTCTTCTTGCATCGTGTGGCGGAGGAACACCTTTTATTGGTGCCTTTAATTTAATCTCTAATTCATGATTATCTTCCTGATAGTACTCTATTAATGTATCTAATCCATGAATTGTAGTTTCATCTCCTAAGCATTAATAAATATTAAAAAAAAATAAATAAAATTGTACATTTATTTTCAATTTCAATTCTTACCTATTGAAAAAAATGCATCCTCTCCATGTTTTCTAATTTGATAATGTATTACTTGTCCTTTATGTATTACCGATAAAACATAATCTCCCGATGATGAACTGCTTTCACGAACTAAAAATGTTCCATTCCCACGTTCATCTTCAAAAAGAAATTTAAAAAAAAAATTTTGTTACCTACTTTTCTTTATCGTAAGAAAAAAAAGAGTTGTTTACCTTCTTGTAATAATATTTCAGCATCTTCACGAGAAAGATTTTCATGATACCAACAAACGTCATCCTCTGAAGCCATGGTAATTTATTAACAGTTAAATTATTAGACCTTGCGAGAACAAAAGTTCATGGCTGTTATATTTAATCTTTCTAAATTAGAATGTTTTTCAAATAAACTTTCACACAACTGATAATGACAAATCGTAATTCTACTGAAAATGTAGATTTTTTTGTTTTATTGTCCAATTATTAAACTGACACATTACAATCGTAATAATAGGCAAAGTACACAAAAGTATATATGCGTAAATTGATTTTAATATGACTAATAAAATGTTCAAGAAAATAAGGTTATGTTTTTTTTTTAAATATGGCACTATTTTTATATATTCCCGTGATTCTATTGTGAAAAATTTCTTCTATGACTCAATTTGCAAACGCATAATTTGCACTTTCTATTGTATTAGTTTCACTGCGTTCAAGATAAGAAATTTGTTGTTCCTTTTTTCTCAAAAATAAATATATATAACCTAAACACCGACCTAACCTAACGATAAAATTACGTCACTGGTTCTTTATCCCGCGAGTTTTTGAATTTAAAACCTAATCAATAAAATTATATAAAAAGTAATATATATAATTTATATTTAATTATTTTATTTTTAGATAAATCGTTACATAGATTTATAAATTCAAAACTAATATTGGAATAAATTAAAATATTTTATATTAATTTATTCTTGATTTAAATAATGAAAAAATGAATAGAATACTGTTTTTTTTTTTTTTATCTTTCAACTGTTTCCAATGGAATAACATTACAACCAAGAAGGCCTTTTCCACTCCAAGGTCGTGGCGTTAATGACAAAACAATTGTATTAGCATTTCGTTTAACTTGAACAATTACATTCTTATTAATGCTACTTTCCACGAGAGAACCAACATCCTTTAATGATTTAAAATTTTTAATATTTATTGAACCGAATTCCATTATAAGATCTTCAATTTGAATTCCCTGAAAAATAATATTATTTCCAATTAATACTATTGTTAACAAAAACATGGTTTTATTTAAAAATTTAAAATAATACCGCTAATTCAGCTGGCGATCCAGGAGTGACTAAATTCACTCTTAAAAATGGTTCAAAATAAACATTTTCCTGAATAGAACTTGGAATTGATGTTGATGGCGATTCCTGGGGATTATTTCCCGTTAAACCATGAACTTTATGTAATCCATCCTCAATTTTTTTCATAATATTCTTGTGATCATTCTGAAGACCTAATAAAATTATACATATATTTATCAACGAAAAGATCCTTTAAAAAGTAATTTTAAAATTTCTCAAGAGGTTATGTACTCACAGATAATTTTATGACGAGCATGTCGAACCTGATAAACATCAATATCAGTTCTTGGAAATCCTTCTAAATCAACTAATTCATCGCTCATTCCCACATGATTCTGAAAAAAAAACCAAACAAATGAAAAATACTGAAAAAAATAATGACGTACACAAAAAATTGACAACTCATTCTATATGCAATTTGCATTTTTCCATAAGAATTTTTCTATAGAAATTAAATACATACACATTCCAAAATTGCACTTGCTTCTTTTAAATCATTTTCAATTTTTTCTTTTTCCTTCATTAATTGTAAAACAGCTTCTTTTGACGCTTCTAACTCCATATCGACCACCATTTTTTTTTTTTACAATAATAACAATCAGTAACGTATACAGTAAATTAAAAGCCCTTTTCTTGAAATTGAATTTTTATTTACTTTTTTGAAAATACAATCAAAAAAAAAAAAAACTTAAGACATTTGTAATTTTAAAAATAAAGCTTTTAAATATCTCGCTTCATAGGTAACTGTATTTTTTCCCTGGGGAACTGCATTTATATCTTGTATATCAAATGGTTGTTCAACAATACTTTGTACATCTCGTCCATAAACTGAAAATAAAAAATTTACAATTAAAAATAACAATTAAAAATAACAATTAAAAATAAAAATTTAAAATTTGTTTAATTAAATTTAATTACCTTCACAGTGTTCTAAAAATTGTATACATTCTTGTAATGTTGAATCTTTTAATACAACAAGTTGTTTTGCTAATTGCTCCAAAAGAGATAAAAAACATCTTTTCGCATAAAACCATGTATCGGTACCCAATTTTTTACTATATGGTTCAAGACTCTTCATTACTCGTGACACACCAAATTCATAATTTCCCTTTGAACAATATAAAGTGCCAATAACTAAATTAACAATACACAAATGAAATAGCTTTTTATCTTGTTCTTCAAATGCAATTGTCTCTTCTTCTTTTTCAATTTTTTTCATTAATTCTTCAGCTTCTGTATTTTGAGTTGTCATAATATAACTCACACATAAATTTGCTAAAACAATTGCACTAACATCTAAAATCTAAAAATAATTATAAATATTAGCAAAAAAAAAAAAAAAAAAAAAGAATTAAAAAAACAATAAATTTTTTAATACTCACATTATCATATTTTTTTTTCACAATTGGTTCATAAAATCCAGTTGCTTCTTTAAATTTATTTTCTTGCATAAAAAGTGTATGAGCAACATTCAATTTCCAAATATCGTGTTCATTACAAAATTCAACACTTTTACGAAAAATTTTCTCAACCTGAATATAATTACCCAATTCCCAGTAAATTTTTGCCTGTGCCATTAAAACTGGTATATAACGTTCCAATGCTTCCTCATAATCATTAACAGCTTTTTTCACTGCATTGTCATCGTGATTTAATCTTGCCTCCTGTACTTGTTTTGTTGATTTTCTTAAAACTTCTGTATGCTTATTAGCAAGGTCGTCGAATTTTCTATACGCCTCTTCAGGAGACGTTTGTTGTGTTATCAATGCGTCCAAAAAATCGTATAAATACTGAAAAATATTTTATTAAAACAAAATTGTCAAGTTTAAAATTAAAAAAAAAAAAAGTGCCTTTAATAACCCCCTTTATCGTCGCCCCTGAATCAATAAATGTTTTGACAGTTCTAACCTAAAATTAGAAAAAAAACAAAACGAAAAATGGAAAGATTATTATATTACTTTGTACTAATAATAAAATCAAATTTTTAACAATTAAATATCTATAAAACTATCAAAATGTCAAATTGTGAGCTAAATCAAATATTTCTCGGAGAAGTTGCATCCGTACAAAATTACGGAGCATTTGTTCGCATACCAGGATGTTCTCAACAAGGACTAATTCATCGAACTCAGGTTTGTTCACAAAACAAAAAAATTATTAATAATAATAAAAAAATAATAATAAAAAATTATCAATAGATAAGTACATCTCATGTGGATGATGTCGGGGATATTTTACAAAAAGGCGAACGTGTTTGGTGTAAAATAATAACAATTGGAGAAAATGGAAAAATTGCCCTATCAATGAAATATGTAAATCAAGGAAATGGTAAAGATTTAGATCTAAATGGAGTGAAACAACAAATGGAGGAGCAAAAAAAAAGAACAATAATACCAAGAGAACGAAAAGCAATTCAATTGGAAGCTGTATTAAATACCACATGTTCAAAATGTGGAACAATTGGACATTTTGCAAAAGATTGTTTTATGTCACTTGATGGTAAAAAATATGAATTAATACCAGAAATAGAAGATGAACATGTGACACTGCCGGAAGTAAAAATTTCAACGGAAAAAATTCATAAATCAAAAAAAACAAAGAAAAAGAAAAAAAAATCACATAAATATTCAACAGATTCGGATACTGATAATAAAAAGAAAAAAAAGAAACATTCAAAAGATCACAAACGAAAAAGAAAACAAAGTTCAAGTTCATCAGATGAGAATTCAAAGAAAAGAAAATTCATCACTGGCGAATATTCCGAGAGACATTCTAAAAAGTGTAAACGATCCAAATCTAAATATTCAGACTGAATTTTACAATTACAATTTTTTATTTTAAAATCAATTAGATAATTAAATTTATAAAAAATAAATAACTTACGGGCGTGAGATATTTGTAAGTTAAATGAACATTTTCAGCAAGAACATCAGCGGCAAGATCATAAAATTGATATTTACAATATAACAACAATAAATTAGCAAATGTCTCCGGAGGAAATGGATTTTGTTGCAATAAAAATTGAAGTTTCTCAAATCCCTCGCCTGGTTTTATATCCATATTAATTAATGCCTGATTATGTAATGTTACAGCATCTAATTCCTCCTCCGATCTTGGTGGCATATCCGTTAATGCCTCTTTCGCTGCTTCATCTGTAAAAAAAACCCCCAAAATTTATTTACAATCTAAAAATAAAATTCTATTAAAAAATATTACAATTTTTCAATTGAAACTCAATAGCCGCTTTAAGATTGAAAGCCTCCGTTAATGCTGTCTCATGTAGTGTTAAAGTATTTCCCACACTACGAACTTCAATTCCTTCAGTTGTCATTCCAACGCTAAGTTCCGGATGTTCCCTTATTCCCTGTTCGATAATATCAGCTGAAAAAAAAAAAAATTCAATTTCTTTTCAATAAAAATTCAAATAAAAATATAAATACCTATATGCTTAAGAGAAGCTGCATATTCTTTCAATTTATAAAAACATAAAGCAACATTGTACGATAAATGAGGTTTAAATCCAACCACTTGGAGAGCAGATGAAAATTTTTTTAACGCCTGTTCGTATTTTTCTTCCTAAAAATTTTTTTATAAAATTTTTTTATAAAATTTTTATATATTTATTTTTTTTAAATTAATAAAAATTAAATTACCTTGTACAATAAACATCCTAAATTAATATCTGTATCAATATCATCGGCAGGACATTGATCGACAAGATTTTTAGCAGCCACTACATCCTCTTGTCCATATTTAATTGCAGACTGAAGTTTTTTCACTTTATTTTCTAAATTATTATTATTTACAAGTCCCACGCAAATTGTCCACGCTTCTTGATACATACAAGCTTGATGCAATGATTGAGCATAATAAAGTTTGTACAATGCTTCATCTGGACAAATTTGTACCAATTTCTCATAGCAACTTGCTGCTGTTAAAAAATCTTGAGTGTAAAAATAACAATAACCCAGTAGAGAAAGACACGGTCGTGACTAATGAAGAAAAAAAAAAAAAATTTCACAATCACAAAAATTGAAATTCAAATTAAAGAAAAAAAAAAAAACTCACCTCAGGATAAGACTCAAGTAAATTTGTTAAAACGTGTATTGTTTCAATATAACGTTGTTCCTTTATCTGAAAATAATTATTAATGAAAAAAAAAAAAACTAATAATAAATGTAAAAAAAAAAAAAATTACCATATTGTAAATAATTTTTGTATATTCTCCATCCTTTATTTGTATGTTTTGTATGAAATTATTCATTTTTATTAAATCACAATCACGTGTTGTTTTTGACAGCTGTACAGTACGTTGTCATAGCAACTAGAATGACACATATTTTTTTTCAAATATATTTTTTATCTAAAATAACAATATATAAAAAAAAATTTAATTTCAATAATCTTTTTTTTTGATCGATAATATTTGTTTTAAAAAAATAAAATTTCAAGGACTTTTTATACTAAAACAATTATACAACCTGCGTAGATGAATTGTTTTGAATTTTGTCACTATAGTTACGAGTTATATATACTCTTGTTACATTGTTGACGTGCACATTTATTTTTTACTTTCTCACAATAGCTCACGAAAATTTTTTTCAATTCAATAAATTTAATTAATATTTTCATTTAAATAATAATAAGAATAATGCAGGAAAAAGATGATAGTGCGTGGGTTTTTGATTCCTTAATTGGTTTCTTACAAGGACCAATTTGGTCATCACCTTTAATGACTTTTATAGAAGAAAATTCACTCAGTAAGAAAATTATTTATTATCTCTCTCAAAAAAAAAAAAAATAATATTTTTGATTTTTTTTCACCTCTAAATTGCAAAAAAACTTTTTTTTCTTTTTTCCAGTTTTCGAACCTGATACAGAAGACTGCAAAGAATATAGAGAAATTTATCAGGAATATAAAAATTTAGTTGATTTACTTCTTGGATGTTATATGGAGGACATTGGAATAACTTCTGAACAATTTGAATTGGCTTGTGCAGTAAATACAAATACAAGAATTCCAATTCAATTTCAACAAGTATTAATTCCTAAAAATTTAATTGTATTATCAAAAAGATAAAAATTTTTGAAATAATTTGGACATTTTTTTCAATTTTTGTATTTCTCTTGTTTAATTAAATTTTTCTTTTATTAAAACAGAAAAAAAAATTGAAATTCGTTTGTAATTTACAGAAATTGAAAAAAAGTACCTTTTTTTGTAAATTAAAGAATTTTTTCTCTCTAACTAAAATACAGGCTATTTTGCAGAATTTATTCGAACAAATTTGGGCGGCGAATGAATTTGAAATATTTAAACGAATGATGATTCAAAAAAATTTAGAACTTCAACTTCAAGCACTTAATATGATTGAGCAAAAATATGGTCTAACACCTGCGTCATTAACCTGTGGCAATGATAATTTTCCCGATGACGAAATTGTCATGGAGCAAATTCTCAAGTATTGAACAATTTCTATTTTTATTGAAATATTTGTATTTTTTTTTTTTTTTTTACTAAAACTGTTATTTCAATTTCCAGCCGACGTGATAACAAAGAAGAAACACAAGAAAATTCAGTAACCGAAGAAGAAGAAGAAGAAGAAAAAGAAGAAAAAGTTCCATTGAAAGCAGAACGAGAACGTTTAGCACAGAAATATAATAATGAACGTGCTCGATTGGCAGAAGCTTTAAAAAATCCAGATAATTCTTCTTCATTAAAAACAAGTGATTTCAAAAAAGAGAATTTATTTTTGGAAACATTACCTGAATCATCAATTGATGATGAGACAAAAATTCCCGAAGAACAACAATCTTCAGTCTCTTCAAAACTAGACGAATCATCTGAAACCAAACAAATAGTAATAAAATAAATTCGTTAATATTTTACATTATAATTTAAAATAATTTATTTATTTAAACATAAATTTGAAAAAAAAAATATTTTTTAATTTCATAAAATTTTTAATTTATTTAATAAAGGTGGAAAGAATAAGAGATGAGGATATAAAAAAACGGCAAAATTACCTCAAGGCCCAACGTGATAAATTAGTAATTTTAAAGAAAAAAGCACGAAAGGAGAGGCTCGAAAAAAATTCAACTCGTCCAAGTTCTGCTCGTGTTGTCGCTGAGGCTGCAATGAAAGGTGAAAATGACCTGGATCTTCCACAATCATCAGAGCCATCATCGATACTTCAATTACGAAAAGCTCTCGCTGCACGACTAAAAGCTGAAGTCGTCAATAAATAAATTCATAAAAAAAACCTAACAAACAAAATAGGAGAAAAAAATACGTTTCAAAAAGTAAGAAAAATTTCTTTCAATATAAATCTACAAAAGTTGATACAATTTTTTTTTCAAAAATAAAATTTTTCTATTATCAAAGCAAAAAAAAAAAAGAATGCAATAATAAAAAAATATTTTCACATTTGAAAAAAAAACTGTTTTTCTATACAAAATCTATTCTAATTGAATTAAAAACACTTCTGAATAATCTTTATAGTATTAAGAAAAATTAACTGTAAAAATTGAATTGCAATAAAGAAAAACTAGAATGAAAATTTCTATCACTTGCTTTTTTTAAAAAATCTTTTGGTAAAATAATAATTATTTTTCTTTAATCGTTTTATCGTATTTAATGCTAAGAAAATTGCCTTTACAGAAGTATAATTAAAAATATCAGTGGATATTGTTTCTCGCTCTCGCCTGTTATTCGGTTTTTTTTTTTTTTTCCAAAAAGTATCCAAAAAAAAAAAAAAATTCCTGCTTGCACATTGATTTGTCTAGCTACAATAATAAAAACTTTGTACAGCTGTCCTTATCTTCTGTCGAGAGAATTTCTCCGAAAACAAAAATTGCTTTCATTTTTTGGTTTATTTTTTTTTTCTAATATTTTTTTTCCAACAATTTTAAAATAGACATTTAAATATATAAAAATCTACATTTTACTTTCTCTCTCTCTCTCTCTCTCTCTCTCTCTCTCTCTCTCTCTCTCTCTCTCTCTCTCTCTCTCTCTCTCTCTCTCTCTTTCTCTCTTTCGCAAAAATTCACAATCAGCTAAACATTTCTCTGTAATTATTGCATTTATAAAATGTACAATGAATTTTTTTTTCTTTTATTCTACTGGACAATCGATTTTCTTTTACAAGTTATTTATTTATTTATTTTTTTTTTTTTGTTTTAAATTCGGAGAAATTCTTTCCTTTGGATTGAGGAGGCTTCACATTCAATTACCATTTTGTTTGTTATTTTATTTTTTTTTTTTTAATTGGTGATTGACAATCAAATAATGCCCTTGTTTACTGTAAAGCAAAGTCGGGTTTTTGTGATGTGTCCGAAAATAGTCGATTTTTTTTTCTAATTTTATGTTTTATTTAATTAAATATTCTTTTTCGCTCTACAACACACTTTTATTCATTAATAGCATTCATACCACCATCATTCTTAACAGCTCTGCTTCAGAGTCAAAAACGAATTTAGATTCGCAGCAGAAAAAACTGTCGTCGATTGAACGAGAGAACAAAACAAGAAAATAATAATTGAAAAAAATAAAATAATAATATATATATAATTTCTAAATGAACTATTGTTTCAAAAAAACAATTTTTTTTCTTTAATAACAACTAACAAAATTAAAGTGTTATTTTCACAAGCGAACTACATATAAAAAATAAGCTACTTATAATTATAATCACATTTTCCGTGTAAAAAAAACAACTCATTTTTACTATTTTTATTTTAAGTATCGCTGATGAAAGACTCACTCTGACTCAGAAAAATTATTTTCCTTTTTTTTTCGAAAAAAAAAAAAAAAACAGAAAAATGTGACTCAGACTTTCCTTAAAATTATTGCAAAGGATTTATAATTGAGATTAAAATAAAATGAATTAATTAATCACTAAATAATTAGAAAATTATGATTTTAAAGAATTAAATTTTATATTTGGTTTTTTTTTTTTTTTAAATGAAAATAAATCCATTGAAATAATATCAAGTCTGATACAAATTTTTCAAGAATTTTTTTTCTGAGTATTGTTAATGCAATAAAAATGAGAGATGATCCTTGACACAGCCCAACTTCTTAAAATCTACGACTTGAATGTTAATTAAAAAAAAAAAAGTAATAACAAAATACACCGAGAAAATCAACGTTCAATCGTCGGCTTTTGTTTTCCGGCTGCAAATCTCAGTGATTGTTAACTTTGAAAATTCTTGCCGATTGCAAAAATTTGAAAATTCAGAGAATCTCTGTATTTTTTTTTTTTTTTAAATTGACTCGCATTTCGAATTTCACTTATATTTTGTTTCTTCATATTTTCTTTGTTTCTCTAATTTTTTTTTTTTTTTTTTTCAAAGTTTACAGAGTTTACGAATTATATTAATTTTTTTCTTATATATCTGTTAATGTACTTTCTTATAAAATGATAAGTGTTAGAGAAAAAGCTGTCACAGTTCCTTGGTATCATAAAAGTAAAATCATGTCTAAATCATGTTATATATTACAGTGTGTGAAGGAAATTTCCCCTCTCGGCTTTTTCATTTTCTTTTTAAACTTTTGCTATCATATTCGATGTGTTGGCTCCGAAATTTTTAAAAACAGCTCCTTAAGAGCGTTCAGAATGTTTTAGAATTGTTCATTTAGGTACAAGAAAAAGTGATTTCAAAAATAATTCATAAAAAAGCGATAAAAAAAATTTTTTTTTTTGCAAAAAAACGGGAATTACAAATTTTTCCGAAATAAGAATTAAAACAAATCTATAAGCTATTATTATGTCTCAATTTGAGAAAAATTTTCAAAAATATAAAATTCACATTCCAAAAAAAAAAAAAAAAAAAATATTGCAATATTATTCGAGTATTACAATTTTTTTTTTTAAATTAACGTTTTAATTAATTAATAATTCATTATTATTAATCGAATAATATCGCAAATTACAAAAATGAAAATTATTTATCAAATTCTTAAAATTTACTTACAATTAAAAAGATTGTATAAATTATCAATTTAAAGTACTTTCTTTTAAAATATTATTTAGTTTTTTCTTTAAATTTAATTAATTAGTTTTTAACTTAATCTTCCTAATTACTTTATAGGAATTTGAATTTTATTTTATTAGATATTAGAAAATTTTTCAATTAATTTTCTTTTTTTTTAATGATTAATTTATTGCAAAGAAAAAAATTTGATTTTTAGAATGACAAATCTAAAACATTCTGTATATTTATATATATTTATATATATAATATATACGAACTGTATATACACCAAATACATTCAGAGCAAGTACTCGTCAGTACTTCATTTATCACTTAGTTATTAATTTATAATTTTTTTTTTCCATTTTTTTTTTACTTACACTCTTTTCCCACCCTTTCATAGTGCTCTAGTCTTAATAATAGGATTTTTTTTTCTCATTACCGAATAAATTGTAAATACAGTAAAACACATGGGGAACAACGTTATCAATTAACTCGTTAATTCTTTAACTAATTTTATATGGTTAGCCTTTATTACAACTTTCTGTGGTCAGTTCAGGTTGCATTCTCTTTTGTTTTCCACTCACCTCTATCAAAAAATTTCTTCATTCTTTTTTAAGAGAAAAAAAAAATTTTTCGTTTCTCAGTGAAAATTTTTCTATTTAAATGAATTGTTTTTTTTTTTGTAATTCATATTTTTTTAAAAAAAGAAAATTTCTCATAAGAGTAAAAAAAATTTTTTTTTTTTAAATTTATTAGGATTTTAATTGTAACAAAAAAGAATTTCTATTTTATTATAAATTAAAATCGTGATAATTTAGAAGTTTTTAAAGAAGAAATATTTTTTCAAGAGCTGAGCGCACGTGAAGTAGAAAAAATTCTTTTACAATAAAATTTTCAAAACGGGAGTCGATCTTCTATTTTAGTTACATACTGTTGACATATTAAATTTGGTGATTTTTCACTTATATAGCGTTATAGTTCGGTAGAAAAAAGACGATATAAAAATGTTTTTCCCTTTCTTTTTATTTTTTTTTTTCTTTAGTAAAGAATTTTTTGTTTTTTTTTATTTCCTTTTTATTCTCTTGGAGAAACGAATGTGATTTTGAAAAAGAATAAATTACGCACATTGAACGAAGAGAAATTGTATCACCGTTATCCAATAACCACTGTGTCCATTCGTCAATTCGAATGTCGTTTCTCGATTTTTTAGGCTAAAGAAGAAATTTTAATTTCAATTGTCTTCTTCTTTTTTTTTTTTTTTTTTTTTTTTTTTTTTGTCTCACAACTTAAAACCCACTGAAATTTACATGTCCCGAAATTCTCTTGTCTTGAACATAGAGAGAATTCGTCGTCTTCAAATTTCTTATCTTTTTAAAACAAAGTTTCTTTAAAAAAAAAAAAATTCACATTAACAATTTTTGAGAAAAGTCTCAAAAATTTTCTTTCTCGAAAAAAAATATTCTTCATTTGAATATTATTTTTGACAAAAAAATTCAATATTAAAGAATTTAAAAAAAAGAATCTTTCTTTTTTTTGTGAATATATATATATATATATTTTTTTAATGTAAACGTGAATTTTTATAAAGAAACTTTTCTTTTTAATTTTAATTAAAGAAAAATCACCTTTTTTTTAAAGACTTGTCAATAAACGATTAGTATTTGACATGTGAAGCCGGCCGATGATTGTTACACAAATAAAAGAATTATTGTACAATTTACGCTACTTACAATAATAATAATAATAATAATAATAATAATAATTATAATTGGAAATTTTATTTGAAAGCTCATTGAAAATATCTCAAAGGAGATAAGAAATTCAGGCAGAGCGTACATATAAATATATATATGTATATATCTTTCACACGATTCTCGGCTCTACGTGTTTTTATATTTAAAGGGGGGGGGGGGGGGTAAGAGGATATTTCGTGCCAATTTTTTTTTTTTTCCTTTTTTTTTTTGTTTTTGAGAAACTCCGGGGTGCAATACGTATGTATAATATGTACAAATGAAAGTCGAATAATCTCACAGTTTTACTGGATACGAATCTACAATTCGTCCTCATTCAAAAATCGTCTGTCACGACCGGAAGTGGTTTTTCTTTTTCTTTTTTTTTCAAAGCCAACCAACAAACACGCTCGAGAGAGTCGATCGAAAATACACGGGGTTCGAATTCGTAGATAATGTTTAGTCGATAAAAAAAAGCGTTCAGCTTTTAGTTTTATTGAAAAAAAAAAATTTAAATAAAAAAATAAAATTATATATAATCTTACCGGAAAAACACCCACGAACTTATCCCGTCTCTTTCATTTTTCTTCTTCTTCTTCTTTTTGACAAACGGATGGAAAATCTTTTCTTGTAAATAGGCCCTTAGATGATTGTTTTTGCTCTATTTTTCTCATACACACACATTCTCTCGCTTCCATTATTTTTTCGTCCCGATAAACTGTCACTCAATAAAGAGTTTTCAATTAATTGTGGGGTCATTATTATTATTTTTTTTTTTTAAAACCACTGGAATGAATTACAATTTACTTACTTTCTTTCTCTCAATTTCTCTTTTTTTCTTAATCGAATACAGACGTTTAAATTCTTATCTCTATCTTACGAAGATATCAAGACAGTTCCGTATAGTTCTTAACAAAATCCACTATCGATGTTCCCGCGATTTCTTCACTTTTTCTCTTTCTCTCTCTCTCTCGATAAAAACAACCCCCTTGGAGATCTCTTACTTGTTTTTTTTCCATCATTTTCTCATACTGTACATAATAATTCTGACAAACAGTTTAAACGTCCATCATTCACTTTTTTGTTTTTAAATACCTTCCCATCTTTTTTGCCTACCTGCCTTTCTTTCTTACTTTCTCTCTTCTTTCAATTATGGATTTTTTTTTTCTTTAATATATATATTTATATTTTAAGTATCCCGCATTAATACGTTATCTCTATCTCTCTTCCTTTCTTTCTCTATCTCTCTCTCTCTCTTTCAACCTCACTCACTTTAAAAAAAAAAAAAAAACGATGATGATGACGACGAGTTCCTCGACTTTCGGGTTCTACTCCATTTTTAAGTGTGTAGATAAACGAAAGATGAAAATTTGAACGAGAAGAACGATCCGTTTTTTTTTTAATCGCGGGGGTACTTAATGAATACGGCAACTAAATTGTCACAGCACTCGTGTTACCGATTGACAGTTCGCCTACTATGACATCCGTTGCCGTTTTGGCGACGGACTCAATTCCGAGTCATCCTCTTCTTCATCTGAATCGCCCTCATAGTCGACAAGACCCTGTAATATTTCACAATTTGTACAAATTTCAATTTTTTTTATATGGCCCATAAAATAATTAAGAATTTTATAAGAAATAATTATTTTTTAAACGATTTTTCATTTTTCAAATTAGAATTTAATAGATTTTCTTTTTATACAAATTTTTAATTAAAAATTTTTGTAAATAATTGAAATAAAAAAGATCTGTATTGTATAGTAAAAAAAAGATGTATTTTGTTTAAAAATTTTATAAACAAAATAATGCCACTTGAGGGGAAAATAAATTTTTGTTTTTTTTTTTGATAAAATAATTTTCATTTTTTCTTACCTTTTTGAAAATATTTGCGCCTGCTTTATCAGTGGAACTGACAGCGGTACTTGGACTATTATCCGCATTGACAGGTGATTCACTCGCAATTGGTACACTATTGTTGATCGGTGTTTGTGGTGTGGTGACAGTATTGCTGGAAGTATTATTATTAAGAACAGTCTGTTGTTGACTTTTCGAATCAGCCGGTACTGGATTTGGTGATGAATTCGGTGATGGCGGTTGCTTTTTCGCTGATGCAGGTGGCACTAAATCAGCGGCTGCAGCAGGAACAACAGCTTCACTATCATCAAAATCTTCCTCTTCATTAAACCACATTTCCTCGTCCTCGTCAAGTTGTCGTTGATCTCGTCGATATCGGCTATTTCTCAATATCGATGGTACACTATTAAAAAAAAAAAAGAGAGAACATCGATTTACAAAATATTTTTATTTCTTTTTATTTTCCAATGTTTTGAATATAGTTTTTAAACATATTTTCTCACCTATCAAGCGTTGATCTATCTCGATCCTTGAGTTTGGCTTGATGTTGATCATGCCTCAATTTCAATGCCTTAAACGTTTGAACGTAATTTATAGTTTCCAATTGTTTCGAGAAATTTTCTACAACGTGCGAAGATAATGATCTTATGTCCTCCTGAAATTAAAAATAAAATTTTAAAAACAAAAGTTAATTAAAATTTATTTATTTCTTTTTTTTTTACACTCACCAATTTAATAAATTCGAACATTTCCAGTATGGCTGAATCAAGAAGATTATATCTTCCATTATTCCTGACGAATGCATCAAAAACAGGTGCAAATAGATTTCCTTTAATAATATGTCTATTATAAATGTCATCCTTTAATGCAATTATTTTCCTCATAAACCTCAATGCGCACAATACAAGAAATGTATGCGTTGATTTCATAAGAACTAATATTCTTCTGAGCAAATCTTTATTCATAATGCAATTTTTTATATGATACGAATGATGTTCAACGCAAAATGATAATAGCTCAAGAATTAAACCAAGCAATTGTACTGTTCGATAATCTTCTTTTGCTGGTTTTTCATCGACAGTATTTGCCAATAATGGTGCAATTAATGTACCAATGCTGTTTTTATAAAAATAATGCAAAAAATCCGCCTTCTCTGATTTATTTACAGAAGCAAGCATATTTTCTGGATCAAGAAGAAGACGTAATACACCGGCTAATTGTACAGCACCACCTAATTCAGGATCATTATCATTTACCAATTGTGCAACAACAACATTAACCAACATTTGATCTTGCTCGGTATTATTAATTTGTTGTAATGTATAATCACGCACAACACTTGGTGAATATTCAACAATATAAGTGAGAATATCGATACTCGCCGTTTTTGTTTGTGAATCATTAATAGCAAGTGTAATTTCAAGTGCCGGTAAAATACCAAGAGCTGTTAATGTTTTATAAAAACCCTCTTTACCCTGGGGTTGTAAATTTTGTGAATAATTGCAAAATTCTTTAAGAAAAAGAACAAGATCACGTCGTTTATTATCGGATGTTGCCTCATCAGTTAATTGACGAAATAATTCAGTGAGAAATTTCTCATCATCCTGAATTAATGTGACAATTTCAACTTTATTAAAGAAAATAAAACTACTCAATGTACTGAGCATATTATCCTCAAAGACACTTGGTGTTGGTAATACAACATCTTGTATATATTGAACGCGATAGGTTTGATGAATTTTTGCCAATAATTCAGCGTTTGTTATTGGTATTGCCTGTTTAAATCTTGCTAATTGTTGAAGATATTCACGATGCCTTTTACGTTGTGGTAATGTTGGCTCATATTCAAGACAACCAACAACATCAAATATTGTATCATCGCTAAACATCACTTCAAAAAGTGCATTTTTATTGAGAAGAAAAATATTTTTAAATATATCATAAAGATGATGTAGACCCTCAGTATTCTCTAAATCCTCGCATGTATGAAAAAGATTTAATAATTTTTTTATATAACCCTCTGATTCAAGTGCCATGGCCAATTTTTCTTTTCTCACAGGTGATGGTAAACAATTGCCAATTAATTCATTAATATCCTCAAGACGCGCCAATTCACATGGTGGTAATTCAATTGGTGGCGCCGAATCGGACATATCGTCAAATCTTTCATCTTCCGATTCCTCAACAATATCTTGAGTAATTTCCACCGATGGATCCTTACCCTGAACTTGACAAATTTTCTCCCATATTTCATCGCAACCGGCTTTCTCCTGAAAACTCAATGCCAAATCAAAGTTGTCACCTTCCGACCATACAATCAACGTATCCTGAAAAAAAGAAACAAAAAATACCCACTTTTATATTGCTCCACAATTTCTGAAAAATTTAGAAAACGAAATTTTTTTTTAACTACTTTCTTAATAAAGACAAAACCTTTAAAAAAAAATACAAATTTAAAAAAAAAACAAGCCCAAGCATATCAAAATTTTCTCTCAGTGACTCAGAATTTCATCACTTAATTGGTTTATCACTTAAAAGAATTAACATCCAACAATGGATTTTAAAACTAAAAAAAAAATTGTAAAATAAACGAGATTAAAATATAACAAAAACGTTGAAAAGAAAATAGAAAAAATAACAATAAAAACAAAATTAAAAATAATGCACAAAATGGAATTCATTCAATAGAAAAAAAGCGGATAGAAATATAAAAAAAAAAATTTTAATAGAAATTAAAAATTTCAAGGCCAATTGGAAAATAATCTATGAGAAATAAAAGGAAATTTTAACTCTTCTAAAAAAAAAAATCCATCGATGACCTCATATAAAAATTGCCCTTTAAATATCATTATCCCTTCTTTTGTCAATTTTCTGTTAAATTTGACAATTTCATTCTTAATATATAACTATATCTAATCCCCCAATAAACAAATAAACAAAGATAATGGTCCTATAGTTATTTTACCCCATGAATGAAGCATCCTTTCCCCTAGAAGAATCATCTTGATTGGTTTAAATCTAGTGATAATTCCTACTAGAGATCTAAAATTTTCTATGTTTGAAACTTTAATATAAAAATCTAATTAGTCACTATTTGCTTTTTTTTTATAATTAATGCTATTTTTTTTATAAATTAAAAGGAAGTTTGAAAATTTTCATCTAAATTAATCAATAAGGGATGATGCAAGAAAACAAAATTAGTAAAAAAAAAAAAAAAAAAAAAAAAAAAAAGACGAAATACTCACTTGTTGTTTTTGATATGCAGTATCCGGTTGAATTTTACTTTCAAGTAAAACGGATCCATCGCTTTCGGCTCTTACTAAAAGGGAAATTCCTTTTAGTCTATCGACATACGATGAGGAAACGTGACCAGTACCACGATCGTCCCATTGCCTATCTACATTTAGTGCGTACAATTTAACTCTTCTACGTGTGTCTGTCATGGTGAAAATGATATTCTATGGGTTCAATTCTACCCTAAACTAAATATCATTACTTTTTCACGTTTATCACTTATTTCAAAGGGATCTTCTTCACTTTTTCTTTCAATTCACTAGGTGCCGCAATTGTTTATTTATTATTTTTTTTTTCACCAATTCATAATCACACTTAATTCAATTATCATATTTGCAAATTTATTTCAACTTTCAATAACTAATTTTCCACATTTAAACTAAAAAGTGTCTATGAATCTTCGCCGAGGAAATCATTTGTACATTTCACCAAAAAAAAAAAAAAAAAAAAAAAATTGTTGATGGCCAATATTTTTTTTCAGACAGTAAGTTAAAAATAATATACACTCCAGAAATATTTATGATGAAAAGTTTTTTAAACTCGTTTTCAAGGACTTTTGTTTTTTTTTTTTGCAAAACTTTCAAATACGATGATTTTTGAGAAGTTTTTTGATTACCTGAATTGCATGTTCAGACATGTAATATAGGGGAGAGAAAGTTATCCTTCCAGAGGGTGTTTACGTGAAACGTTGCATAAGGATACTCTCCAGGTAAATATAAGAACGCGGGAAACAAAATTGTTTTTTTTTGTGAAAACTTGAAAAATTCGACGCGACTCTTTTTTTTAATATGAAGGATGAGGGGACGGACGGGGCTTTAACGGTGGGTGAGGGGTATTGTCGTCGAGATCCTTTGCGAAGACGAATTCTCCTGTGCCTTGGTGTATATCCTCGGGGTTTCGCGAGAGTTTCACTCTGTAACACGTAGCACAATTTCGCGACACAACTGTCTCCGTTAATAAATCTACTTTCTACGAACTCTCGACGATTTAGAAGCACTCAGCATCGTTCTTTCTGTCTCGTGTGTGCTTGATATCGCGCTAAAATTGACGTAGACACAGAACAGCAACAACACTACTCTCCGCCATGTTAGATCACAACAACGCGCCACGGGGTTCACATACTTCAATTCATGGAAAACGGCGCGTTTTTTTAAATTTAAGTTTATTATTTAAAAAATTATTTTCCAAAAATAAACATTAAAAATTAATTATTTATTATTTAAATTTTAATTTATTATTTTTAATTGAAAATAAATATAAGGGAATGTATTTTTAATTTATTTCATAAGAATTATTTACAATGTCTATATTGTCAAGTCAAAAAATATTGTTGAGGTTATGTTTGTTAAAAGAGATTTTTGTTTTGAATTGATAAATATTTAACTGTTAAAAGAAATTTCCGTGTATGGCAGATCATTTTGTAGTTTATTTACAGTTTCGTCATACGTGATAAGATTTTCCCAAAAGATAAGAAATTTTGCAAAAAAAAAAAAAAATATATGATAAGGAATAAGTGAAATCAAATGAATATATTTGATTGACGATTTGTGCTTGATATTAATATATATTATTAGAAACAATTGAAAGAATCATTGAAATTAAATATAGGACATTGTTTATCAAAAAAGATGTATTCTTAATTATTTTCTATATTTATATATCAGATTTATTTTGTATTATTGATTACTAACTTTTGTTTTTTTTTTTTTTTTTGTTCTTTAATCGTACTCTCTCTTTCTCTCTCTATATATATTATTATCTATGTATAGAGAGAGAGATAATTTATACATCGTTTACACAATTTCTAAGCGCAATTATACAGAATATTTACATCAAATATACACCTATATAAAGGAACAATTACATTCAATAACATGATTATAGTCTGTAAACTAGGATTTTACATCTTTTTTTTTTTGTATAGAATTGTCTCGTTTTTTTTTTTTTTTGTTGCACACCCACATTCGTTTTTTCTCTTTATTATCACAATACCAAGCTATATTTTATTTCTGCTGCGGACAAATAATTATTCAGAAATATTTTTTTATGTATAATAAAATGGGAAATCTTACAAATATTTATAAGGAAGTAGTTTCAATTAATTTTGGAATGGAAAAGTAGTCATGTTTTTAGAGACGCGTGAATATTGTGCCTTAAAAAATTTATTACATATTTAAAAAATTTTCAAATGAAATAATAGTTTTTTTTTTTTTAATATTCTCAAAATTTAATTTCGATTAATTAAAAAATTTAAGAAAAAAAAACAAATTTTTGTTAATTTAATTAATAATAAAAAAAATTACTATTAAAAATAATTTTTAAAAAATTAGTTTTCGATATTCATTTTTTATTTTCTTTATATTTCAATTAAACTAAAATGGAAAATATAATTATTATTTATAAGGAATATTCAAACGTCTCTATTCTTTTTTTTGTATAAAAACATTCGCACAATTATATTATAAATTTTGCGACTTTATCATTTTTAAAAAATCATTTCGCAGATTCGCCGCTTCAGTCTCTGTCAAAAATAAATGCTCGAATTCAGTAAAAATTTCATTGACAAAATAGTTTGAAAATAATAATTTTCGTATTTGTCAAAGTAAAAATTAATTTTTAAAGAATATTTACTTATTTTTCTGAAATAATTATTAAATTTAATATTTTAATTAATATAGTTTCATTTTTTTTCTGAATTCCAAGCATAGACTTTGATTAGAAATTGTGGCGCTAATAAAAAATATTTCATGTGCGTGATAATTATTGTTTTTCTTTCTTTTTTTTACACAAAATTTGATTGTATCGTAAATATTTCAAAATAAAATTGCACATTCGAAAATTTCAAAGAAATTAATCTTATTTGACTAGAATTTCACAGTTTTCCAAAGATTTTGATTTTTTTTTCCTATCAGTTTAGAAAATTGTGATCGTTATAATTTTTTTTTTATATATATATACAAACGTCGAATTTTCGACGTACAATAATAATTAACGAAATTTCATTTTAATTAATTTCTTTTTTCAACAAAAAATAAAAAGAGGAATTAATATAAAGCTATATATGTGTCTCTCACTAACGATGTCGTCAAAATTAAAGACTAGACTTAAAAATTAATTTTTGTCAATAATTATTAACTAAGTACATAATTATCAATAAAATAAAATGTAGCTAAATTTTTTTTCTTTAATTAAATAAAAATAAATAAATAAATTAATGTTTAATTAAAGAAAAAAATTATTTATTCAATTAGAAAAAAAAGTGATACTCATTATTTAATTAAATGAAAAGATAAATTATATTTGTTATTTAATTCAAATAAAAAATTTCATCGATAAAATCAGTTCTAGTGAGAACAGTTTTATATCGAAGATCAGATTTCAATAATTTTCTGAATAAGAAAAGATTCTTACAAATATGTATACAAGAATCACTTTTTTTTTTTAACAAAAGATTCGGAAACAATTTTTTTTTGTCATTAAAGAATCGAATTCTTTTGAGAATTGTATTTTTATTTGATTACGAAAAATATTTTGTATTGTTTTTTTTTTTTAATTATATACATTTCGATAAATCTAATTGATAACGTTTCCGAATTATTATTTAGTGCTTGTTAATACATTTTTTTAAAAAATTAAATTCGATTCATTTGTGCATTGATTCCGAATCTTGTTTATATTATTTTTTTTATGTAAGTAACACAGCAGGACGCAAACAGCAAAGTGGATAAAATGTGGTCGAAAAATTACATATCGTAAGAGATATATATATATATATATATATATTTTGTAATATTCAATTCACGAATGTAATTTAATATTTTTACGTACAGTTTTCTAGATTTTGAGCTTAAAAGGTAGATTAATATTTTTTGTAATTATTACTTTTTTGTGTAAATTATTATTTTTTTCTTTTTATATTATATAGACGTGTGTGGTTTCTTTTCACTTTCAGACTTGATTTTTGTGTCGTAAATCGCTCGAAACATTTTTTCTGAAACGATAATCTAGCGGAATATTCTATTATTATACTTTTTCTTCCAGTTTCTTTTTATGCTATACGATTCTGTAATTTATATCTCTGAACAAGCTCAACATGTATACTTTTAGTTCTCTTCTTTTTTTTCAACAGCGAATAAAAATTTGCAATTAAATTATTCAAAAGAATACGATTTTTTTTCTATAGAAAATAACATTCCTGTACATATCGTTTCTTTTTCTTCTGGTATCATTTCTTTTTTTCAAGAGAGACATTAAAAGATATTTTTCATCAAAAACAAAAGGATTTTTTAAAAATTTTTTTCAGAATTAAAAAATCATTTTTGAGATGAAAAAAGTTTTTTTTGAATTTGAAAAATTATTAAAATATCTCTCTAGATTGCAATAATGTGTGATTACATTATTATAAATTGAAAAATAGATTTCAAAAATATTGTTTACAAAGTTTCGAGGAAAAACGTTTTTTTTCATCTTTTTTTGTAATATCAATATGATTGTAGTTTTTCTTGGAAAGTACAATCTAATTGTGATATTAGATGTTAAAATTTACTGTTGTTGCTGTTTTTTTTCTTTTTTTTGTGCTTATTGGAAAAGCTCGTAAAAAATCTAGATATATAATAAAAGATCTATTGTTTCACGTTAGTGCTTTCAAAACGTAAGTACCGTGATTTGTTGTTGTTGTTGTTATTATTGTCTTTTAAATTTAAGCTTCATGCTCGCCACTGTTCATGCCGATCAATGATTCGGTTTGTTCAGCTTCCAAATCTGGTATTCTAATTTAACACAAGGAAAATCGTTTTGAATTTTCCATTTATAATTTATAATATTAAAAAGTCAAAAACAATTTAATTAATAAATAATAAAAAATATAAAATTACCTTATTGCTCTGCTCCTGCGACAGATCCAAATGTAAAGTCTTTTTAACAGATCTAATACTGGATCCCAATTATCGTAATATGATAAAAGGGATATTATTATAAATGCCAAAATCATTGGAATAGTTCCCAGGTAAAAAATGCAGGAAAATGTATGTTTTTTTAAGAAAACATTTAACATCATTGACATTGGCACTGTCAGTCCAAGAGCCAATGTTGGAATAAGGGACGAAGTAAAAAAACAGCTCCTAAATGTACAAAAATCAACTTTTTCATTAGTAAATTTTTTTTTTCCAACTAAAATTGACAATTCTTTGCATTAAATAAATTATTAAATTAAAAAAGAAACAATTTTTCTTGTAAAAATAAAATTAAAATTTTATTTAAAAATTAAATATTAATTTAATAAAGAAATAAATTTACCAGAGCCAAATAATTTCGCTGAGAAAGTTAAAAAGTCCATTAACAATAAGAACAGTCCATTGATGATGAGAGGGCCATTCAAATTCTTCCCATCGTCCATAATGAAGAATGAAGAATAAAGGCCACAATAGGGTAAGATTGAAAAATCCAACAAAACCAAAGAACATTGGTACATCGAGCTTTTCTTCATTACCCGCTTTTCTTGTTAAAAATACAATGTAAATTGCATACGTTAATGTACTGACTAGAGCTAAAATTATACTAGTTGGTATTCTACTTGTCTCTATTGTAAAATCGGAAAGTCCAACTAGAATCTGAAAAAGAAAATTCCATTTACTGTTCTTTTTTTTCGAAATTAAATTTTTTTTTCATAATAATAAAAAAAATAGTGCTTACAAGACCAAAAATGCTGATTGAAATTGCAACCAATTTTGATAATGTGAATTTGTCACCCGCATTATTTGGGAAACATGCGGCAAGAAATAGGATAAATAAACTAGATAATGAAGACAAAATAGTCACTATTCCTGTTCCGGCTTCATTTAATAACAACTGGTTCGTGTACGTTGCGATGAACCACTGTAAATAAACAATTAACAATTATTTCCTTTCAATAAAAATAAAGAACAGTATTTAACAATTAAAATCAATTATCAAAATTAAATTAAAATTTATAAAGATAAATTTTTTAAATTAATTATAAGTTATTAAATTTTGTTATCCATTTTTTTGAAAATTAAAATAAATAATTAAAAATAAACCCTGCTTCAATTTCTATAAAATAGAACTCGTCTCACGTTACTTGTTGCCAATGGTAACAAATTATTTGTTCAATAATTATCTTCTAGATTATATTCAACACGAAACCTTACAATTTTCAAACTAAAATCAATTTTGCATTTAAATGTACAAAAAAACCTATTTTTCAAAATTAATAAATATTACAAAAATAATATATAAAATTGTTTATAATTATAAATTTAATTAATTGACTAGGATTAAAAAAAAATTATTCATTTATGCTGTAATAATTGGTAATTAAAAATTTATTTGAAAATAAAAATTATAAATAAAATTTAATTTTTAATTCAAAAATCCATGTTATTTAATTAGTAAGTAGTCTTATCAGCTCACCAAGAAGCAAAATACGAGTGCGATCTTGGCAACTTTCTGGGCAGAAAATTTATTCGCCTGTCTTCTTGCATATTCTCCGGCTCGAACACTCGCCTGATAACTCAACCTCGCTAAAACGGCTTCTGTTGCTACAGTTTCCGACATGTGACGTACTTCAGCAAGTTTGCTAAATCTCACTGACCTTATTGAGGAATCATCACTTTCCGTTCCCGACGAACGATCACATTGATCCGGAGTTTTTATCGGCACAAATGTCGGATCGCTCTTAAAAAAAAAAAAAAACAGAAAAATCAATTTACAATTTATTAGACTATTAATATATTATAAATATTAACAAATTTTTTTTATTTTATTATTATGTTATTATTATTATTATTATTAATTAATTAATTATTAATTAGCTATTATTTTTATTAGTATTCAAATAATTTATTCAGTAAATATTTACTTATTTTTTACTATAATAAATAATTTAACTTTTTCAGAAATTTTATTTACAAAATTATTTAATTTCTCAAAAGCATTTAAATTGCTTTTTATTATTTTCAAATGAAATTATTGCCGATTATTTGTTATCCACTTATCGTATTTCACAATGGAATGTTTTATTAAAATAACAAACAAAACAAAAATAAACAGCAAATACTCACCAAACTTGTATTGGCCTCCGAATAAAAATTATCATCCTCTACATTTGGATCTGTGTACTAAAAAGAAGAAGAAAAAAAAATGCAATAAATTTACGAGCTTGGAATGTTTCCAAATAATCATGTTATAAAGAATTTTTTTTCTGTAATTATTATTTAAAATAGAATAGTATTTAAAATAAAATAAATTTTATTATAATGAATATTTAATTAATACCATGTAAGTTGTTGGACGATTGCATTGATCTCGCCACGGTGGAAAGAAGCAAAAACCAAGAAGATACAATGTAAACATTGAAGATCTTACATAGGTACTGAAAAATGGTTTTTCGAATTCTGGTCCTCTATAAAGAGTCTGAAACAATAAATTTATCATTTTTTTTTTCTTTTAGTAAAACTTCATTTATATTAATAATTTTCAATTTTTTATATAAATAAATTGAATTATTTGCAGGAAATATACCTTTAGCACTTCGAGTTTAAAAACCCATATTATGTCGAATATAAGTAATGCAGCTAGTCCCAGGACGAATTTTTGTGATCTATTTAATTCCCCAGCGAGCTTCCGGGGATGTTCCGTCATCCATTGTTGTCTACGTTGTCGTAGTTCTCTGGCACGACTCATGATCCTATTTCTACGCTCTAGTCAATATTATTAACATCATGCCGCCATTAATAATCACTAAAAAAAAAAATATATATATATAATTTAATTTTTTAATTTTTAAAAATAATTGTCTTCTTACCAATAAATAAACAATAGATATTCTATTCTTGATTCTAGATATTCACGTCTAGCAAAAAAAAAAAAAAAAAAAGATTGGAAATATATTTCTTCATCAATTTGCAAACAATTACGAAAGAACAAAAAAAGGCGTTTACAATATTTTCTATGATTATAATTATAGAACAAAAATTGCATCTCTTACAAAAGTAAATACAAAAAGAAAGTCTATTGTCCTAATTTCTGCTATATTATTTAAATAAAATATCAAATTAATTAAATTTTCCATTAATTAAATTAATTTTCAAAAATTACGTTTTATATGGCAATTAAAAAATTACAGTGACTAATATAATTAATAAAGATGACTAATTAACAAAATTACTAGAAAATAATAAGATTTTAAAACTGATCATAAAAAGAGAGAATCAGATTAGATCACTAATTAACCAGTAGATATTTAATTACAAACTATAAAGATTTACACAGTAAAAAAAATTGTACATAGTAGTATTTTTTTTTTCTCTAAAATTGCAATTGTCGTGTCACGAATGATACAAGAATTTTACTCTAATCGTTCAATGTCAAAATGATAAAAAAAACATTTAATTTAAATTGAAAATCAATTGTGTGATTATTAAATTTAAAAAAAAAAAATAGAACACTGGGTGGGAGCGTACCTTTTGAATATATATATATACGACAAATGAATTTGATGATTAATTGAAAGAACTTTGTAAAAAGATTAATTAAGCACTAAAATTCAATTCTTAATTACAGTTTTTATTTGACATAATACATATACGAATAACGATATCTAATCATAAAAGTACTTACCGCACTGATAACACACCGAATGTCGTTTTTCAATATACAAGTTGATATCACATCACATTTGATTATGGCACTTTGACACTTGATAAATTACAAAACATAATAAAGTATTATAAAATGGAATTGTTAACGTTTATTATTGTAAATTAAATTTTTTCGCCGATCTTGTAAATACAGAGAAATAATTCAATATTTGTCTATCTTTTAATGAAAACAACAATCGTTGTCGGCCATCTTTAAATTTGCACCAGATGACGTATAATAGTACAATAATTATCCACCAGATGGCAATGCGAATTTAAATTTTTTTCCCGCGAAATTTAAAAAATTTCTTCATTTAAAGAGATCAAAAGAAGATATAAAAATTTAATATTTTCATAATAAAAATATTTCCAATTTTTTTTTTTATAACAAAAATGAGTAAAGTGAAAAAAATTTATTTTTTATATCATTAATTTTACAATTTCTTAAAAGTGATTATAGTGGTTGCTATGGTGACAGTTTATGTCAACAAACATTGTTTCTTGTTTTATAATCAATTCAAATTAAAAAAAAACAAAGAAATTTGAGCAAGTGAAAAATAAGAAAGGTTAATAAACAATTTATATAATTTGTAAACAATTGAAAAATGGATAATAATACAGTTAGTAATGGAAGAATACAACAGGGAAATACAACTGCCCAACGGACAAGGAGTAACATAACCAAAAAAGGTAATTTAAACTTTTAATAAATTATTTTTAAATAATAAAATTAATTTAATTAGAAGTAATTTGAATAATTATATTGTATAATAATTATAATTAGAGATTAAATATCGAAATAAATTTTCTTATAATAATAAATAAATAAATAAATATACTAAAATAGAATATAAATTAGCAGTTTCTACAAAAATTGAAAGTGGTTAATTATAACTGGAAATATTTTGTCTCTCTAATTAGTGCCAGATATACCAGCAATAGAAGTGAGAAACTGGCTACTTCACAGACACTACACAAGACATGAGTATCATATATGTAATGCACTAATTGAAGAAGAACTAATGAAATCTAATGGGAGAAATGAATACGCTAATTATTTGAAGGCATAATTGACTTAATTAATTTTCTAAATTTAATTTAGATATTAATTATTAAAAATGTTTTAAAATTATATTTCCGTTCTATTTTTTTTTATTTCATTTCTTTTCATTTTTCCATTTATTATTTTATTATTTTTTTTAATTATTTATTTTACTTTAACTAAAATTATTTCGAATCAAAATAGAATTAAACAATTTCTTAATTATTTTTTCTTTTTTCTAATTATATTTTCTTTAGTTCATATAATAATTTATCTTTTTTTTTTTTTTTTTTTTTAATTTTTTTCTAATTATTTTCCTTTACTTCTTAATTATCATTTTTTATTGTTTTTTTTTCCATCCTCTGAGAGTTTAATAAATGATTATTTCTCCCCCATTTGCCAGGGACTCATTTTAAGGGCAGATGGAAGGGTCCAGGACGCTTTGGAATGTTTTCAGAAATGCCTGGAAATCAATTCCACAAATGTCAATAATAAAAAGCAAATAGCAAAAACTTTGTAAGCAAGAAAAAAAAATTACTTTTTATTTAAAAAAAAAAAAAAATTTTTTTTTATATAAAGAAAATCTATTTTTTAATTTGGTTGAAAAAATTGAATAATAAATTCAGTAAAAATGAATTTAAAAAAAAGAAGATTAATTCTCTTTTTTGTTGTTATATTTTACGTTCATTAATTTATTTATATTTTTATTTTCTCTTTTTTCTGAAGATTTCTTCTTGGCCGTCATGAGCAAGCAGTGGAAAATTTTACCGAAGTAATTGAGAAAATGAGAAACCCAGATTGGGAAACTCATCATAATCTGGGCAAGTTTTTAATTTATTCTCTTTATTATTAATATTGTAGTTTTTTTTTAAATTAAATTCAGTCGTTCAGTGATTTACCTCATTAAAATTCTTAATTAAACCCCCAGTTTATTAAAATTTCCCCATATAAAAAGAATTTTTTAATAAGGAAATTATTTCGCAACATGAAAATTCAATTTAAAGTCTATATTATTTTTTTTTTAAATTCCTGTTTAATAATAATAATAATAATAATAATAATAATAATAATAAAGATAATAAAGAATAAATTTTCAAGATATTATTAAAATAAAAAAAATATTAAATAATAATTATTAGTTATTAAAATTTTATTTTAATCAAAAGAATAATAATTTCTCTATATTGTTTTCTGTAAAAATATATTTGAATTCATGTGGAAAAATTGTATAACAATTTCATTTTATTTTCTATACAGGAGAATGTTACATAAAACTAAATCATCCGGAAGACGCAATAAAGCATTTGAAGACAGCAATTGAACTGACAAAGAATGAAGTACCTTATTTAACATTGGCTAAGCTTTACGTCTCACAAAATCGAATTACAGATGCTGTTGGCATTTACCTAGCAGCTTCCAAGTTAGTTTCGCAAAAAAAAAAAAAAAAATTATTATCATATTCAATATCACAAATTTCCATTTATTAATTAGCCGAGGAAAAAATTATTTTTTCCCCTCAATTTTAGTGAATATTTATTTAAATTCCACAAATATCTTTTATTTATAAAAAAGGATTTAGCTTTAAAAAGATTTTTAAAAAATTTATTTTCGATTCGAACATTTGTAAAAAAAAAATTATAATATTGAAGATTAAATGATAAATTAAAGAAAAGAAGCTGAGCGCTTGAATATATTGAAATAAATTTGATGAAATTTCAATATTGAGGTATAAAGTTTGTTTTTGAAATTAATATACAGATTATAATTTCCATTAAGAAAATGGAGATCATTAATTTTGCTAAAAGGCAGCTAATTATAATGAACTGATTAAGTTTACTTTACTTAGTTTTCGTGACCTCCAAGTTTTTTCTTTTTTTTTGGAAAGATGTATATTAGATTGAAGTTGATAACCCACTTATAAAATTATAGTTAGTGAAGCGCACAAATTTCTTAATACTTGCTAATGATCGCAATTCCCATGATAAACAATATCAAATTATCCGTATTTCAGTCGCTCGAATTTCAATTAGAAAGTTAGATAACAGTAAATGTTTACCAGATAGTAAATCATACATACGTGTTACATTTTCTTCAATTAAAGTAAATTTTCTTCTTCTAATTTTGAATTGAAATTTATATTAAATTGATTTTATTATTCATTTATCTTCTGTAAATATCAAATATAAAAATCTTAAAATGTTTTTTTAATGAAAATAATTTTTAGAATTGTTCCCGAAAATGAAGAAATAATAACCGAATTGGGTCGTCTTTATTTAGAATTAGGAGAAACATCCCGTGCTGTTCAATATTTTGAATCGGCTTTATTGCATTCGTTTAGATTTCCAAAAGCACTTTTACCTTTGGGTTTTCTCAAACAGGTAATTCACGTAAAAAAGTATTTTTATTAAAGTATAGTAAATTATTAATTAATTTTTTAATTCTATCAAATTTATAAATAACTGGAAGAAAAAATAACAATGAAAAAGTAAATATTAAAAAAATAATTACCAAAATTAATTAAAAAAAAAAAAAAATTATGAACTCTAATAATTTTAAAGCATGACTTAATTAGAATCTAATTAAAAATTAATTTACTTTTCAGATGAATGAAGATTATGATGCTGCATTAACTCATTATAAAAATGCTTCACAATCAATTCCAGAATCATGGTCAGTGTGGAATAATATTGGCATGTGTTTTTTTGGAAAACAAAAATACGTTGCGGTAAGTATTAAATTAAAACGAAAAGAAATTTATTTCTCCAATTTTTTTTTTAATTGAAAAATTAAATAAATATAATAATAATAATTTAAAATAATTCTTTTATAAATATATAATATAAAAAAAAATTAATTTTTAATTTCTTTTTTGAAAAATTGAAATAAGATCAACTTTCTTTTGTTTCACTGAGGAATTTTTTTTTGTATTTATCACAAAGAGCTTAGTAATTTGCAAATAATTCCCTTATATATAAAGTTGGAATAAAAATGACTTTTTTTTTAAGTATGTACATTAGAGAAGTTGCGCGAGATAGAAACTGATGAGTATCTAAAGAGAGAACGACATTGGATATTCTATTTACAGTAAAACCCCTTTCCTCCCCTCTAATGACTCTCAGGAATGTAATTAGAACGGTGTCAGGAAAGTGACAAGGAATTAAGAGGGAATCAAGTCGAGTCATCTCACTTAAAGACAGACAATCGCGAGTATATTTTGATTTTATATCATATCATTTAATCAAAGTCATCAGAAGAATAGAGAGAAAAAAAAATCTTACAAATTACCCACAATTTAAAATAAACAAAAAATTTTAATTGATACATTTCGAAAAGCAACTTTTCAATACAAGAAAAATATATAATTTTTTTGTTTCGTTAAAAAAAAATGCAAATCCTCCTATTATTTGTTTATATAAAAAATTATTCTTTAATTTTTCCTTGCAAATTTATAAAAAAAGATTTTCTCTGTCTAAAAATTTTGATTTTTTTTTAAATTAAAAAAAATTCCTTGAAAACATAAAACTAAAAAAAAAAAATATTTTTAACTAATTTAAAAAAAAAAGAAAAAAGTTGTAAAGCATTTTCAGTGGTTTAATAAATTTTTAAGTAGAAGAGAAAAATTACAGTCAGACATTTTATAAATGACTAACAATAAATTTTATAAATAAAAGCTAAAAGTAACTAAGATTTATTGACTACAATTTTAAAGCAATTCCCATAGTAGTGATTTTAGAGTATTAAGTAGAAAAAGTAAGATTATAGTCAGATATTATTTAATGTCAATAAATTTTCTACATAAAACTATTATATATAAAAAAAAATATATATTCTCCTGACTAATTTTAGAGAAATAAATTAGAAATTGAGAAATTTGAAAATCTTTTTAAATAATAAATGATAAATAATAATCTGAATTTGGAGAAAAACAATCTTCTTAGTTTCAATGTTAAGAATGAATTGAGTTACTGAAATGGAATATTATCCCATTGTAAACAAGAATTTATAATAGAAATGTTGCATATTGACTTCAATTTTGATATCGTTTTTCCTATTGAGAAAAACTTACTTTATTCAGATTTTCTCTATAAAAAGGACACTTACGTACGTTTAAAAGGAAAGTTTCTTTTTTTATTCATAGATAAAGAAAAAAAAATTCCTCAGAAAAATTATTTCAATAGAAATATAAAATTTATATATATATTTAGAAATTTAATTACAATATTCTTTTTCTTTTTTTTTTTGGGCTTCGTTACGAGTGTAGGTGTTAACATTGTTTTCTTCTTTAGTTTATATAAAGAATTCTTTATTCGCGTGGGATTTAAGATTTTATCCAATTTCCTTAAATTTTACGTGAGGGTTAAAAAAAAACCGATATTTATTTAATTTTTTTTTGTCTTTCATTTTTTTTTAATTCTTTATATAGAATTATTATTTGTAATTATAAATACGTTTTTATTATTTTTCTTATTATTTATTATTTTTACTATTATTACTTATTGCTATTTCTTTTATTAGTATTTTTATTATTATACTTTTATTATTTTTAATTATTTTATTATTATTGTATATCACTCTAAACAACAAAATATAAAAAATAAAGCTATAAAAAAAAATTTACATAATATGAATAATATAATGTTCAATTTTCATTGTGAGAAAATTCTTGGAAGAAAATGATAATAGCTGCGATAAGTAAACAAAAGTAGAAATGAGTGGGACGTTGTGAGGGTAATATTGAAAAGACGCAGATATTATAAACGTAAGGGATGCTGGTTATGGACCAAAAAAGAACAATGGGTCTATTTAGAAAACAAAAATTTGCAATTTCTCCTTTTAATAGTTTATAAAGAAATAGATTGAAAACTGAATTGTCAATTTAAAATAAATAATTTAATGAGATTTTTAACAATAAAAATTGAAAATAAAAAAATCATTAATTTTACAATTTATTTTTATTTATTTATTTTTTAATTTATAAAAATAGATAATAATTAATTATAAAAAAATAATTATATATAATAATAAAATAATAATTAATTGTTTTTTTTAGGCAATTAGTTGTTTGAAAAGAGCTCATTATTTAAATCCATTGGCATTGCCACCTGCTTGTAATTTGGGGACAGTTTTTTTAACAACTGGACAACCAGCGTCTGCAGCTACATATTTATGCGCTGCAGTTTCCGCAAGTCCCAAAAATGCAATGCCCTACTTGTTACTTGGACGTGAGTAAACATTTTTTAAAAAAACAAAATTTAGTTCTTTTCAAATATTTTTTTAAACAAAATTTTATTATTATTATTATTATTATTATTATTAAATAATTAAAAATTAAAGTTCGCCCCAGGTAATAATTTAATAATAAAATTTTAAGGACTAAAATAAAAATACATAAACAATTAATTTAGAAAAAAGATTATCTTTTTATTTTAGCCCCAAAAAATGTCAATAATTTATTATTAAATTATTATTATCATTATTGTTATAATAGTAAAAATAATATTAATAATAATTTTTTAATTTTTGTGTTAATTAAAATTAAAAACGTTTTCTCCAATTTTTTTTTTGCAGAAAAGTAAAGATCTAAAAATTTAATTTTCATGTGCACAAATTTAACTTCTAATGTAATAGTGCAGTTATCATTTATGAAATTTCAGTACGTAGCTTAATTTCAATAGTATTATTATCGTCTGAGTAATTTTTTAAAAATTAGCATGCAAATTATACGTGTGCGAGAAATATATTCAACTTTTATATTATTATTATTATACTTTTGTATTATTCTTTTCGTGTGATTTTTTTTTTTTTTTTTTTTTTCAAAAACAACATTTTCTGCATATATATAATTTCCTACTTCTGCGAAAAGTCTAATGTGAACAAAAATCTTTTGTAATGCATTCAGATGGAAGTCAATGAAAAAAAAAAAAAAATTGGAAACAATCAAATGAAATAAATTTTGTTCTCTATAATTTAGATATTTAAATGAAAAATAGAAAGTTTTCCTCAATTTATCAGAGTTTTTTTTTAAATAAAAATTCAAATAATTGAAAATGAAAACAAAAAAATTGGAGAAAACTAAAAATTCATTAAATTAATTGAATTTTTGGATCGAGAATTAAAAAACGAATTTTTTTTATGTCACTCAAAAGAAATAAAAATTGAAATAATTATTATTTTGTTTTAGCTTTTTTTCACTACCCTGTATTAAATAAGCAGAAAAGAAAAAATTTTAATCAGAAATTAATATAAATTTTTTTTCTCCAATTTAGTGGCTTTAAAACAAATGAACGATTTGGAAGGATCTGTTGGTGCATTGAAAAAAGCACATTCTTTATCGCCTCAGGATCCATTAGTGCTTATTAATTATGCAGTTGTTTTACATTTACTTGATAAAGTAAAGGAGGTGAAAGATATTCTCACTGAACTTAATGACATAATGGCTGTTATCGACGTCGATTCTCAGGTTAGTGAAAAAAAAAAAAAATCTCGTAAATTCTATTTATTTTATAATTGAAAATTATTCCTTCTTTTTTTTTTTTATCTCATCAGCATACACACCAGTCTATTTTCGTTTTTATTCACTTTATTTATATTGAATATGTCTCTCAATTTACTAACTTGATAATTGGAAAATTATTGATTTCTATATTAAAAAAAAAAAAGAAATTATAATTTAAATTTTTATTCTCTTGTTCTATTAATATCTACACTGAAAAAAAGTCTAAATTAAATTCAAAAAAATATTATCTGTTTCAGGTAAATATTTATTTGATAATAGTCAAATTACCGAGTATTTGAACTAAATAAATTTTTTTTACAGTGTAATATTTAAAAAAATTATTTAACAAAAAAATTAAATTAAGAGTTAAAAATTGATATTAATATTTATATTATATAATTATTAATTAAAAAGTTAATTGTAAAAAACATTTTTTTCTTCTAGATTACAGGAACCGCGAAAAAATTGGAAATTAAAATACGTGAAGAGACACATTATGCAGAGGAGAGGAGAATTTTAGGAACCGATGAAGTTTAAAAACTAAGAAAATATATTTATTAATATTAAAATATATAATTAAATTCTATATATAAAAAAAAAATACGAAAACAAAAATCTGTGCAATTAAAAAATTTATTAACTTAAATTTTATTTATTCTAAAAATTGCAATAAAAAAAAGTAAAAAATAGAAATTATTTGCCAATATTTAATTAAACGAACACACGAAAATTATCTTTATTATTTTTGATTGTCCTGAATTATATATTATATGAAATATTCATCATCTAAGAGACAAAAATCTACTATTATTATAAAATCGAGTAACGAAAATATTTGCATGTTTCAAATAAATTGCTTTTTCATTTGGAAAATATATACCGTAATATTAAACATATATATATATATATATATATATATATATATAAGCTTTTTTGACGTATAATAAGGGGTGATTTTTCTACGCTTATTTAAATTTTATATGAGAGTAACTACATTAAAAAAAAAACTATAGATATTTTTCGTCTACTTGATATTTATCAACGAAAAAATACTTTTATACAAAATTAACTATTAAATATTCCCACTTATAAAGGAATATATTTATTATTTATTTTTATCGAATTTCAAGATAATTAAATAAATTTTTTATGTTAATATCTGTAAAAATAGATGATAATAATAAAAACAACAAAAAAAAAGTACTATTCATGCATTTAAGGCACGTTTTTAAATTCAAACAAATGATGAAGTTAATACTCCTGTTGCCTGTTGAAAATGTGTTTTCGTATTCGACACCATAAAGCTTTGCAAAATCCTTAAGGATTAAAGTGACGGTATAAGTGTTTTATGAAGCTTTTACAAAGTGGAAATTCTCGTTTGTCAATTGAATATATAGGAAAATTTCCAAAGCATATTCGCGTTAAATTTTTAAGGACGGTTCTTTATAACATTTTAGTGGGGGTGTCTTTTTTTTAAATTTAATTTTTTTTCTTGTTTTATTATAATTTAAAAAAATATTTTTACTGTAATATTATAATATAATAATTAATTTGTAATTTAATAATAATAATAATAACATTAACATAATACAAATAAAAATAAATTTATTTATTTATTATATTGTACAATATATATATTATACAATATTTAATTATAATTTATAAATTATTATAATTATAATCTAATCTAATCTAATCTAATCACCTCAAAAGTAAGTGTCGAAAACATTAGGATAAAATCAAAAGTTTTTAATAAATTTTTTATCCAAGATTTTTGGATAACATCAAATACCAAATATTGAGAGTACAAATTTGATAAATTTAAAATATTTACAATCAAAAATATCCATTTTTCTCTTCGTGAAAAAAAAGAATTCCTACTTTTTTAAAATTTGATTAATATATATTTTCATATAGCCACAAATAGAATCCAAGAACGCGGAAAAATAGAATAATTTATATATATGTATTGAACAATAACTTTTATGTATAAATTAAACATAATTATATATTATAATTTCCAACTAGTTTTGAATAAAATTTATTTAGAAAATTATAGGTAATTATTTTCCCCTTATATAATAATATTACAAGTTTTATTATTATTGACTTTTCTAATAGAAAAAATAAAATCTTGAAAAATATTCTCAAGATATATAGAAAAATATAGAAAATTGTGAAAATATGTGTGATTTAATAAAATTGTGATCTAAATTTAAGTAATTAAAATTATTTTCGCGTGATTAATTTAGAAAATAAAAAATAATAAATATTTAGTTAAATTTTTTTTAAAAAAACACAATGTCTTAATTTTGAAAATCAGTAGTAAAAGTCAATTTATAGTCAGCCTTTATAAATTTTTGTAATTCAATAATACAATAGAAATTAGAAAATATTTTCTTTTTTCACAGCAAATTATAGTAACTACTTTTTACTAATAATTAGTTATTTTTTATTATTTTTAATTAGTTATTTTAATTTTATTATTATTATTTATTTATTATTATATATTTATATATAAAATTATATTATATATTATATTTTTTATAATAACAATATAATATTATTATATTTACTATTATATAAAAATATAATATAAAATAATTGATTTTATAGATTTGATATACTTATAAAATTAGAAAAAATCAAGTCTTACTAAATATTGACTTTAACTACTGATTTTCTAATTTATCCATTATGTCTGACAAAAACCGACTTGTTCCACTAATAAAATTTCCGCAAGAAAAAAAAATTTATTTTTCTTTATATCCAAGGGAAAAACAAATGATATGCTTTTATATATTTTATTTAATACATATTTTTTTATTATTTTTTATATATAATATCCACTTAATGTTTTTTTTTTTTTTTTTTTTTTTTGCTTTCATCTCATTTATGATAATTGACGGACTGACAATAGCATTGTAAAGTAGGAGAATGACATTTTTATAATCTTCACATATAAAAATAACAAGATTTAATAAAAAAATCATTTTTTATTTTTCTAAAATGATATTTTTTTGGTATCTTATTTATATATATTCTTACGTTTGTTACAGTTTCCAAATTCATTATTGCAATTTTTCCAGCAGTCAAGTAAGATGGTATTTGACTTTTTACAATTATAAATGGTAGTAATTTTTGAATTTTAATTGGCAATTTATACCATTCACTGTCGTAACTGAAATTTTTAGTGATACAAATTTGAAATTTTTTATATATAATCATTGATAATTAAATTATAAAATTTAAAAAAAAAATTTTTTTTTCCTATCGGCTATTATCAAATAAATATTTATTTATATTAAATAGTTCAGATTAATAGTTTTAAGTTTATATATTTTATTTGAGTCAATTAAATTTTTTATTGTCTAAAATAAAAAAAAAAATTATTTGATAAAATAAAGATTCTTTAATTCAAATAAAAATTATTCACTTAAAAAAAATTATTTAATTATTAAATTAATTATTTACTCCAAAAAAAATTAATTATTTAATTGTCAAATTAACCGATTATTTGAATCAAATAAATTTTTTATAGCAAATAGAATTTTTAAATATTATAAATTTTTAATAAATATCAAACTCACATATCAAATGAAATAGCAGTACTTTGATTTATTAAATTTTGAGCAGGCATTCCAAGATAATATGCATGAACCAAAACTGCATTTACAATGAATATTTGTTTCACAATAAATAATGCGTCATCCAATGAAATTGCTATCTAGATAAAAAAAAAATTAATTACAAAATTATATTATTATTAATTAAAAAGGAATTTTTTTGTTGTTGTTTTTATTCAATTTTAATTAATTTATTATACCTGAAGTAATGTAAAACTTATTGTCAAAACATTACATCCAATTGAAAAAAATAGAAAAGGAGAGTAAAAATCTTCGAGCGCCTTTACATAACTTGAAAAAGTAAATTTTACTATGTAAACTAATATTTATTACTAATTCCTTTTTATATGTTTAAAAAAAAATTAATAACTTAAAAAAAGAGAATTATATTCTCAAAACTAATTTTTAGTCACTTATCACTAAAAATTTAATAAAGAAAAAATTACTAAATGAAATAGTAATATTATATACTTTTTAGTGAAAAATTTCTAATTTTTAGTTATTTTTCACTAAAATTTCTACTAATTTTTGGTTCTAATTTTTTTTTTTTACTAAAACTTAAGTACAAAAAAAATAAATTCTTAAATAAAATAGTAAAATTTTACCAAAAAAAATAAATGAAAATTTTTCACTAATTTAAATTTTGACTGTGTGTAAAAGAAAATTTTTAATATAAATTTTTCTTGAGCAGAAAAAATAACAAGAATTATATTAAATACCTAATAGTATAGTAATGATACTTAATAGAAAAAAATAATTCCTTTTGAAAAAATACATATCCCTTTACATTCTCATTACAAGTGGACTGAAATAAATTTGATATATTTTTCATTCGATACCTTAAATAATGTTACATCAATTATAATTAATAAAAATAAATTATTATAAATATTAATGACAAATACAATTGAATAAATAAATAAAAAAAAATTTTTTTCTTTAAATTATTATTTGTAATTTTTACCTGATAATTGCAAAAAGTCCACAAGCGTGTTGAGTTGTGACAGCAAACATTGAATCGACAGTACAAAAAACAAATACTGTATAAATACTAGATAAAATTTCATATATTAAAATATATGTATGATATTTCTCTTCGTTCAATGGAAATGTTGCCAAATACAATGGATGTAATGGACGTGATTCATTTAATGGAACAACAATGTCAATTAATTTTGGTACAAAAACTGTAAATATTACTGAAAAAATTCCACCAATATTTGTAACTGTAATTTAAAAAAAATAATAATAATTATTATATTAAATTATAAACTCATAAAAAAAATTACATTACTGTAAAATAGAAAATTACCAAACGATATAATTGTATAAATTCTTCCAATTTTTGCATGTTTTTCAAGTATATTTAATTCATGTGTCGATGATGACCACAATTTCCAATCATTTTCAATGTTATTAACAATAATCGATAGCTGAAAAAAAATAATACATCATTAATATTAATTAAATAATATTCAACAATATATATATGTATATATTGAAAATTTAAAAGAAATGATAAATTATTTATGTATTCAATTATTATATTCTTTGAAAAAATATTATAAAAATTAGTATACAAAATATTAATTATTTTAAATATGTATATTAATTATAATTAATCATTAAAAAAAAATTTTAAATATATATTAATTTTTTTAATTTACATTTATTTAATTTGACTCTATTAATTATTTATTAATTATTATAAATATTAATTGAAAATAATTACTTTCTTTGGAAAAATAACATAAGCGGAAAGTATAGCGAAACCCATTATAAAAACTAACATCAAAGATAAACATTCAAATGTAGCATCCATATCATATCTCCAATTATGTTGTAAAAATACAAACTAAATCAATTAAAAAAAAATTTTATATAATAAAAAAAAAAATTTCACCAACGATTATCCAGATAAAAAATTAAAAGTTTTCCATTAAAATCAAAAATTATCAAATAAATATTCATTTTTAAATAATTATTATTTTGCGCCAAATGGTATTTGTTTCAAATAGAGAAATTAATTTTAATTTATTTAATTTAATTTATTTACATCCAAATAAAAATTATTTGATTCAAGTAAATATTTATTTGATAATAAAACAGATTATTTTTAATCAATTATTAATTTTTTTTCACTATTTATTAACCTGAAAATAGACATTGGAAATAATGACAAAATAAATTGAAAATTTTAATAAAATTCTTTTCAAAAATTTTTGATTTATCCAAAGACCCAAAATTGAGAGGCTCATTTTATTTATTCTAAAATTTCTGAATCAAAAATTTTCATCTTATTAAATAAAAATTTTTTTTTGTTTTAATTTGCAAAAGAGATAGCTTTTGTTAATCACAATAATATTTATACGTTTGCCTTCCGAGTTTTGTTTTAATAGAAAAAAAAATGAAAAAAAAAATTAAAATAGTGATTCTACACCCTCTTTCAGATATAAATTGATCATTAATATATTATAAATATATACTTGGAAGAGGAAATATTGATGAAAATAAGACACGGAAGTGTTGAATATTTAAGAATTAGCAAGTGCAAAAAGGAGTTTTAACATTTACTGCATAAATATAAACGCATATATCGATTATTATATAGATGTTTGTTTTCTTTTTCATAAAAATAAATAACATAGTTATCAATATTTCCTCCGTATGTTTTATATCAGTATATATAAAATTATAAAAATTTTTAATTTTAATTTAATTTTTTTTTAATTAATATATATAAAATTACAATATAATTATATAGCATATATATAAATATCGATATATAACGTCCTCATCAAAATTTATTTATTTTCTAATGACCAAAAAGAATGCATTTTGAAAAAAATTAAAATTTTATTTTTTTAAAAATACATTGTCCTATAAAATAAATAATTTTTGTAAGTCAAAAATTCTTTTTTTTCAAAAACTTTTTTTTATTATATCTGTGTTGTATACCAGCGGATATTAATAATAATATTTTAATTTTTTAAATGTCAAATATCTTTTTCTTTAGATCTACATTCCCGGATAAATAAATGTTCCTAAAGTGGAGCTCCAGTGATATATAATGAAAAGGTATTTTTATTTTTTATTTTTACAAATACCTGTTAGCAAAAATTTCATTTTCTTTTTTTTTTTTTTTATATTTTTGATGATTGACGCACTGATGATAACATTGTAAAATATGAAAGCGCCATTTTTAGTACCTTAAAAATAAAAATTATAAAAAAATTTTATTAATAATATAAAATGTAAAAAAAAAATATTTTAAAAAATAGTAAAAAAAAAATAAAAATATTACTAAAAACAATAAGATAACACTAAAAAAAAAAAAAAAAAAAAAAAAATGAATCAAGAAAAACAATTTGTCCGCATTTAATTAAATGTTTTCTTGATCCAAGAAAATTTTTTTTCTAAATATTATTGGTACAAATGAATAAAAAAATAATTTTATTTTCTTATTCTTGATATATACTGACATTTATGTTATTTAATAGTAAAATTTTTATTCATACTTTTGATACAGTTTCCATGTTCATTGTTGCCAATTGACCAATGCTTAATTTACATGGTCTATTACTTTGCATAATTATCATCGGTATTAATTTTCGCGCTTCTATCGGCATTTCATACCAATTACAATCGTACCTGAATTTTCAGATTTAAAATATTAAATTATTATATTATTTCAAAATAATAATTTTAATTAATATTAATAGTTAATAGTAAATATGACAATATTAGAATAATAATAATAATTATTATTATTATTATTAATTATATTTATTTTTACTAAAAAAATTTCTATTTTCAAAAGTAAAAAAAAAATTTATCAATAATTTTTCTAATAAAATTCTTATAATTTTTCAAATATACATATTAAATCCAATTTCACTACTATATTGTAATAAATCTTGAGCTGGCAATCCTAAAACATAGACATGATAAATATTTGCCACGGCAAAAGCTCCATATTTCAAAATATACACAGTATTATCTATTGAATTTAAAGTCTGGAAAAAATATAACAAAAAAAGAAAAAGAAAGTAAAAATTAATAAATAATTCAATGAATGAAAAAAAAAATTTTTTTAAATAATAATTATATATTTATTTACCTGCATTAATGTAACACTTATTAAAATTAAGCTACAACCATTTGAAAAAAATAAAAATTGAGAATAAAAAGCCTCAAGTGTGGTAGCATATCTAAAAACAAAAAAAAAAAATTCTATTATACACGTTTAATATTAATTCTAACAAATAAAAATTATATGATACAAATATTATTTGATACAAGAAAAAAAAAACATCATCTGGAACAGCTAAAAATTTCACTGTAATATGTTTTACTAAAACAGCGAAAGTTTTCGCAATTCTAGAGAAACATATCGCTGTTTCAGATAAATATTTTTTTCCATATACCAATAAAAATTATTTGATACCAATAATTATATATTTATTTAATATATCAAGTAACCGATTAAATATATTTTCTCTAAAATTAGAATAAATACCGAATAGCATAATTATGATACTGAATTGAATAACATAAATCTTTATAATAATGCTTATTCTCCTTTTTATTGTGAATATAAGATGAGCGAGATATGCGAGACACGTTTTTCACTCGATAGCTTAAATATTAAAAATAATTATTTTAGTAATAAATAATAAAATTTTTAATTTATTAAAAAATTAATAATAATTAGAGTGATGAAAAATAATTTTACACCTGATAATTGAAAATAATCCACAAGCGTGTTGAACAGTGACAGCAAACATGGCATCACAACAAAATAGAACTAATAAATTATAACTCGCTGTCATACAACCATGAATTAATACAAAATTAAAATATTTATTTTCATCGAAAAAAAATTTCACTGGATACACTGGTTTTAATGGACGTGTTTCATTTAATGGTATAACAACATCAAGTAAACATGGTACAAATGTTGATACTATAAATACAATAACGGCACCAAAAATATATCCTGTAATTTACAAAAAAATTATCAATTATAGCAAAAATAAAATTTATCTAAAAAATTAAAACATTCAAACACTTCAACAAAAGAAACATATTTATATGTCTCCAGAGCCAAATAAATATTTATTTATTCCAAATAAATATTATTTCAGTTAAATAAAAATTTTATTTACTAAATACCTAAATTTTTGTATATTTTAAAACAAAATAAAAAAAATTATTTGGCTCTGAGAAAAATATATTTTTATTTGCTTCAAATATATATTTTTAATTTCTTCAAATAAATTTTATATTCGTCTCAAATATAAACACCATAATTCAAATAATTCTCGTCGATGTAATTGTTTATATTTATACAAAAATTTTTAAAAAACTATACTCACGAAAATATATAATTGTGTATTTTCTTCCAATTTCTGCATGATTACGAAGTATTTTTAATTCATTTGAAGATTCCCATAATTGCCAATCATTTCTAATGCAATTAACAAGAAATAATAGCTGAAAAAAAAAAAATTCTAATTAAATTCAAATTCTAATCAATTTTTAATTATTAACAAAATATTAAATAATGTTTGAAAAATAATTAACAAAAGTTATTTTCATTAAAATTTGATTTCCCTTTTTTATTTATTAATTAAATTTTTTTTTTTTCATTATTAAATTTGCAACATTTTTCAAACATTATTTTTTTTTATATTAAAAAATTTACTTTGTCTTCATTAAAAGTATAAACACAAAGTTCACTAAAAATTTGTACAACAATTGCAAGTGGTCCAAGACAATCAAGCACTGTTTCTTGATCTTGATTCCAGTTAGCAATTAGAAAATTAAACTAAATCAATGATAAAATTATTAATTTTTTTTTTTCTGTAAAAGCAAAAGAAAATGGGATTTTTTTTTTTGGAAATAATTTTTATTTATTTACTACTTTTTTTTCAAATTTTTTACCACCTTATTTGTAAAATATCAACTTTAATTTCTAATAATTAATATTTCAAATTTTCACCTGAAAAAAAAGAGTTGAAATAATTGAGGTGAAAATAATAAATTTTGTGAAAAATTTTTTTTTATAATTTTGATAAGACCATAAACCAAAGCATGAGAGGGAAATTTTATTAATTTTATAATAATGAGTATCAAATATTTCCATTTTTTGTTTTGTATTTAAAAAATTGAAAAATTTTTCACAAAAAAAAAGAAAAAAAAATTGAAAAAAAAACAATATAAGACTATTTCATTTTATAAAATAAGGAAATGATAAAGTTTTGAGAAACAATGTATACGATTGCTTCTATATAGAGAGTATTATATTATTATAAATTTTAATAAAAAATATAGGTACATATATATGTAATTATTCTATAGTATCCCTATTTTCTTGAAACGTACATATAATTTTCATGATTTCAAGAGAAAATAATGCGGAAATATTATTCAATAATTTCACCTCAAACAAGTATGCTTTCTAGTCTAAATTATTATTATTCGCTTATCAGATAAATTTTATTTCTATTAAAATATAAAATTATTATAGTTTAAAATAGAGGATAAGAGAGGAGAAATATATAGGATTATTGATAGTGGGAGTTTCTGAAAATTTTAAATAAATTATTTACATAGTACAAACAACACACAGTGTGGCTCAAAAAACAAAAGTTCTGCTTCAAATAAATTACATTTTTTTAATAATTTAAAAAAATTTTAAATATAATATTAAAAAACAATATTTTTTTTTACTAAAGATTATTTATTATTATTTAATTCAAAAAAATTTTAAATAATTTATAAATATTTATTTATTTGTATTTAATATAATTATTATTTCATATCAATTAAAAAATATTTATTTTAAATACATAAATTATTATTGATTGGAATAAAGTTTGTTGATTAATTGTTCATTTCCGTGATGAATATTCTAATTTCAAATATAAATATTATAAAATAATATCTAACAAGTAGCATTTATATTTTTTTCATTTCAGCAGTTAAGTGACAAGGTCTTTGACTTTTCATAATTATAAAAGGTATCAAATTTTGAATTTCATTCGGCAGCAAATACGCCATTCACTGTTAAGACTGAAATTATTTTTAAATTTAATCTTTTAATGAATTTTTTTAAAAATAATAATATAATCTCCACGAGAGAAGGGACCTTAATTCAAAAAAAAATAATTGTAGGTTATATTTACTGATAAAAAGTTTTTTTAATTAGGTAAAATCAAAATTAGTTTTTATTACATTTTTTGAATATATACCCAGATAGCACGTAAGCTTGCAGCAACCTTTCCGCGCAATATTGCCAACCTTGCACGGCAAGTTTGCCATAAGCTTGCAGCAAGCTTCAAATGTCCCACCTAACCCAAGCTTGCATGGTAAGCTTGCCGAAAGATTGTAGTGTAATGTTACTGCAAGATTGTGCAGTAAAATTATCGCAAGTTTGCTCAGTAAGCTTACACGGTAAGCTTGTCGCAAGGTTGGTGCAAGGTTGCCAAATAACCTTGCCAATTAGCACAGAAGGTTGCAGGAAACTTGCAGCAAGCTTGCCATGCAAGTTTGCTCGGCAACTTTATGGCAAGCTTGGTGCAAACTCACCGTGCAAGCTTACTATGAAAGCTTGCGATAATCTTATGATTCAATTTTGCAGTAACCTTACAATGCAATCTTTCGGCAAGTTTACAATGCAATCTTGCGATAATCAATCTTACTGTGTAATCTTGCAGTAAGTAAAACTGATATAATGGCATGAAAATTAATAACTAAAAAATAATTATATTATTATTTAAATTTATAGAACAAAAATTTAAAAACTTAAATTAGAAAAAAAAATGGTACTAAACTGTAAAATAAAATTTACCAAACGATATAACAGAATAAATTCTTCCCATTTTTCCATGTTTATTGAGTATGCTTAATTCGTGTATAGATATCCACAATTTCCAATCTTTCTCAATGCATTTCACAATAAAAGAAAGCTGAAATATAAAATCAAAATAATTCAAAAAAATTTTTTTTTTTATACCAAAGAAGTAGATGTATGATTATTCCATAAAAATAAATCAATTAGAATTTTTATAATTTCCTTTTAGCAAAATTTTCATTTTTTTTTTTTTTGAATAAAAAAATTTATTCTAAAAAAAATTCTAATTTATCCGAATATAAAAATTTCCAATTTACCGAATCTTAAATTTTTCCAAATTTTTATTTGTACAAATTTTTAATTAGTAGAATTATTAGAACGCCATTTTCATAGAATAATCATGCGCCTCTATTAAAGGTAAAATAAATATAAAAAAAAATTACTTTATTTAGAAAGAAAACATAGGCAGAAAATATATTGAAACCCATATAAAAAAAATTGTCAACATACTAATACATTCAAGTGTACCATTCAAATTAAACCTTCAATTATATAGTACAAATGCAATCTAAATTAAAAAAATTTATAATTATATGCAAAAATTATTGTACATAAGATTATAAATAATATATAAATTATACAAATAAAAAAAAAAATTCATTTTTAAACTTTTTTTTGTATAATATTCACCTGAAAATAGATGGTAGAAATAAGCACTAAATAAATTGAAAATTGTAATAAAATTTTTTTCCAAAATTTTTTATTTACCCACAAACCCACAAATGAGAGGCTCATTTTATTTCAATTTAAAATATTCAGAATCAAAAATTTCCATTTTTTTTTTTGGTATAATATATTTGTTTAAAAATTATATTCTACTGTTTCAATTTACAATAGAAATAGATAAACTGTTTATTACAACAAATGTTTATGATTGCTTTTCAAAGTTTAGTTCTAATAAAAATAATAAAAATTAAAAAAAAAAAAAAAAAAAAACTATAAGTTAGAATAAGAGATAAACCTACATCTTCTTTCAAACACGCATTTATCGTTAATATTAAGATTCAATTGAAATAAGACGGAAGTGTTGGATAATTAAAATTTAGCAAATGCGAAAGGGAATGATAACATCTGTTGCATATAATCGTTATCGATTGTATATGTTATAATAGAAAGTTTCTTTCCGTTACATAAAAAATAATGACGAAAAAATGTTATTTTTTCCATTTAGTTGAAGTTATTTTTTTTTTTATAAACAATTTTTTTTACAAAACTAATACAATCTAAAGTGTATCTATAATTCAAAATAACATACATTGAAAAACAAAATTTATTTAATAAAAATAATCGTTAACTTGACTATTATCAAATAAATATTTACTTGGACCAAGTAATTTTTATTTAAAATTAAATTTAAATCAACAATTTCTGTATTTGAAACAAATATATCATTTAATTGACTCAAATATTATAAATACTCAAATAATATTTATTAAAAAGAATTATTTATTTATATATATAATAGTCAAGTAAACGATTATTTGTATTAAATAAATTTTTTTGCAATTTAAGTGCGGTCTTATAAAATAAGACTTTTTTTTCATTAAAATAATTTTTTGTAGTTTAATAATTTAAGATTAATCTAAAAATTTATTTTTGATATTTTATAATAATAAAATGTGTAGCACATAAATAATGTGTATAACTGAATTCTCTCCTTATATTATTATTATTATTATTATTATTATTATTATTATTATTATCATAAATGAAAGTGCAAAAACCAATGCAGGTAATACCAAATTGTTGAATATAATTTTTCTCTTGAAATCTGAGAAATCTCCTAAATAACATTTTAAAAAATGATTATTTTTTTTTTTATAAAACTTGCAATAAATAAATTTAAAAATAACTGAGCCAAAGGATTTTTCAAAAAAAAAAAAAAAATTGTAAAAAAAGGCAATAATTTATTTACATAAGATAAATTTAAAAAATACTTCAGCCCAATTTATATTTTGCGAAATGTTCAATATGCAAAAATAAAAATTAACAAAACATTCATAATATACATTTTTTTCATAAATACCTATTAAAAATTTTGTTTTACTATTTAGATGTACTACTAACTGCTGATAACATTGTGAAATAAGAAAATGCCATTTTTAAAATCTTTAAATAAAAAATAAACTTCATTAATAAAAACATTTTCTATGCATATTAATTGATATTTTTTTTTAGTAATTAATTAAAAATTTTCAATTATAAAATAATTATTCCAAAAAAAATTTAAACATTTATAAAGGTATGCTTTTTACCGACTAATGGTAATGTAGATTCATACATTGCCAGCCGTCGGTAAAGTAGAAATTCGTTATTATTATTTTCTTACTTGTGAAACGGTTTCCATATTCAAAGTAGCAATTTTTCCAATGCTTAATTGACAATGTATATCACCTTGTCTAATTATAAAAGGTATTATTTTTTTTATTTTTATTGGCAACATATACCATTCGCTATTATACCTAAATTAATGAATGATTCATTTTAATACATGATAAAGTTTTAATATATACAAAGAAAAATAATTTTTATTTTTAATCTAACTTACATATTCCATGAAATATTAGTGCTCTGGTTTATTAAATTTTGTGAAGGTAAACCAAGAAAATAAACATGAGAAATAGTTGCTAATGCAAGAATAGCAGTTTCTATGAAACTTTCATTTTGTTCTATTTGAAGTGATGTCTAAATATAAAATTAATAAAATAATAAATTAATTTTTTCAAAATATATATTATTTTAAATTAATATGTCTCAAAAATGAAAACATGTTTAAATAATATTTTCTCCATTAATAAATTATATTTTTGTCTTACAAAATATAAAAGAAAATTAGGTTCCAAATGCACTGAAACAAAAATTCTAGTTAAAATAACCAGAATTCTGGTTATTCCAACTAGAATTCTGGTTAGGGTATATTTAACATTTTGATTCTAGTTAGGTTAACCAGAATTCTGGTTATTTTAACGTGAATTCTAGTTAATGCAACTAGAATTCTGATTAACTTAACTAAAAAGTAATGTTAAATATAGCCTAAGCAGAATTTTTTTTCAGTGTGAATTTTTTCGATTTCTATTTTTAAAATTTGAAAAGTTTTTTTTATTTAAGGAGACAAATTTTATTACCTGAACTAAAGAAAAACTTATTGTCAACACATTAATTCCGAGTGAAAAGAATAGAAAAGGAGAGTATACGGACTCGAGCACCTTTATATATCTTCAATGTAAATATAACATAGCGATTGAATTATTAAAAATAAAAAAAGTAATAATTAAATTGAGTATATAGTAATAAAAATTGTTGAAAAAATTTATTTGATTCAAATAATCAGTTATTTCACTATTATCAAATAAATATTTACTTGAATCAAATAAATTTTTGTAATTAATAGAAATTAATATTTTAATAATTAATAATTAATAATTAATAATTAATAATTAATAATTAATTTAAATTATTTAAATGTTACTGAATATATTTTTTTTCAGTATTATTATAGCATAAGAAAAATATAATTCCAATAAATACCTGAGAGCATAATTATGATATTTAATAAAATAAAACAAGTTTCTTTGAAAAAACTCTTTTTCCTTTCCTACATTTTCATTGGTAATAGATTGAAAATCAATTGAAATGTTTTTCAAACGATAGCTTGAATATAAAAAAAAAATATTTAAAAAAATATCATGGAGAAATGAACAATTTAAAAAAAAAAAAACTAATAATACCCGACAATGGCAAGTAATCCACAAGCGTGTTGTGTTGTGACGGCCAGCATTGAGTCACACGCACAAAATGCTGCCAATGTATACAAAGCTGTCATGTAATTATGTATTAAAATATATAAATAATATTTATCACTATCAATTGGATATACTGCGGGATAAAGTGGTTTCATTGTATAATTTAAAAAAATAGGAAAAATTCCACCAAGTAATAATGGTGAGGCAGAAAATAATACATAAGACCAAAACGCACTAAAATTATAACCTGTAATTAAATATAATTTATAGAAAAATTTAAATTTTAAACAATTTTATTACATATACAATTTATATTTCATAAACGAATTTTCATTTTTCGAATTATAAAATTTGATAGATTTTTTTTGTAACTTAACAAAATTTTTAGGTACCGAATTTTTATTTGATAGAATTTTTATTTTATATATAATTTCTCTAAAATTTTCACTTGCATTTAAAATAAAATTTAATTTACTCACTTCCATTAATTCAGAAAAAAGAAAATTCAATTTTAATATCACGCAATAATAGGAAAGAAAAAATATTTAATATTTAAAATTTTAAATGATTCAAATTATTAAATATGACAAAATTTTCAATTCACTAAATCTTAATTAGTTTCGAAATTGCAAATGACAGACAAAATTTCGGCGTGAATTTAAAATAATTAACCAATTATAGAAATGATAAAAAATTCGACGTTTTAAAAATTCTAGCAAATAAGAAAAAATTTTTATTTCACTGAACAAGATTTTAAGTTTTAAAATTGTTTTTTAGTTTGCAATTTTTTTTTTCAATAGCATTTTTAGAAATTTTTTTTTAAAAATATTATAAAACTACACACCAAAATACAAAAGTGTTAAATTTCTACCAGTTTCCGCATGTTCACGAAGTATTTTTAATTCATATGAAGATGACCATAATTTCCAGTCATTTCTTATACAATTGGCAAGATGCATAATCTGTCAAAAATGTAAATTAGTTTTTTTTTTTTTTTTTTTAAAAAAAAAAGAAAGAATGAAATTTGAAAACTGCAATTAAATTTTCAATAGGTATATTAATTATTAAATTGCAAATATTAATAATGATTTACTTTTTTTTGATTGATTGAATAAATACAAACTTCAACTAAGCCCATTTGAAAAAGAATTATTTGACCTAAACAATGTAGCACGTCATCTAAATTTTTCCCCCAATTATTAATTAGATCAAGACTCTAAACAAAAAAAAAAATTATATTAAATTAAAATTTTACATTTTATTTTTTTTCTTTCATATTAAAAATTATCACCTGAATATAATTAATCGAAATGACATTGGAAAAAATAAAAAATTGAAATAAAAATTTTTGCCAAGTTTTTTGATAACACCAAATTCCAAAGCATGAAAGGCCCTTTTTAGTAATTATAAAATATCGTGAATCAAAAATATCCATTTTGAAAAAAAAAAATATATATATATAAATTATTTCAATGATGTTTGCGAAAGGTTTTAAAGGAAAGTGTTTAATTCGAAAATAAGTGATTTTAATTGCTTTCAGAGAATATTCACTCTATGTAATAATTAAACTTATAGCATATATATACTTACCCCTCATTCGCACAACGTTTATCAATAATTATTATCTTAACACTTTGAAAAGAAATAAAGGGGTGAAAATAATACACACGTAATTCTTAAATAATTAAAAATATGCACGCGCGAAAGGGAATTATAACATCTGCTGTATATATATGCATTTTGAAAAGTTCTTAATATTGGTTTGTTTCATTTCTACAAAACCTATAAATAAAAACATATAATAAAAAGGTGTAAAAATGTGTGTTATTAAAATAACTTAGATTTTTAAAAATCTAAAACAAAATTAATCCAAAATATTTATGAGTAAATTAAATTATTTTTTAGAAAATTAAAAAAAAAATTTTTGATTTCATTCAATTAAAATTGCAAAAATAAAAAGGAAAATAATTTTACCTTACAAAAAAAAGTTTTCAAATTATATAAATTTTTGTTATAAATCAAATTAATAAATTAGTTTATTAAATATTAAAAAAAATAATTATTAAATAATTAAAATTAATTTATTAATTAATAACAAAATTATTTTATTAATTAATTAAAAAATTAATTAATTATATTTTAATTTAAAAATTCTTCGCTTCAATAATTTTCCACACAGATGAAACATTTTCGTTTATTTTGTAAGCATTTTTTGTTTTTTTTCTTTTTTTTTTGTTTGTTTACATGTAATTACATATGTACAATAAAATTAAAATGCTCGGATTTCCAGCTGGGCTCAATAGTTGGTAATCCTTGCATTTTTGTTTGGAAAAATAAAATACAATTTTCCCAAAAAAAAAATTTTTATACACTCAAAAAATCATATTGTTGCGTAAAAATTTTTTTTTTTTTTATCTATAATAAACTTACAATACCTAATTTCAGTCAATTAAATTTTAGACTATTTTCTGCGGTGAAATAGTATATTTTTTTTGTAATGTGTGTGAAACGCTTTGTGAAGAATAACGAGATAATTTACATTTTATATACAGTGTTTGTTTGTTTGTTTTTTTTTTCTTTGCAAAAAACAATTTGAATTTTAATTCATGTTTGGAACATTTTCACTAGAAAATTTGTGTAAAGGAAAATATTTGTGACTCTATAAATTTTAACACATTTACAAAATTTCATTAATTTTTTATTCACAAACACGCCCAACATTTAGAGATTAATATTCCTATATATATATATTTTATAGTTCGATTACAAGAGAAGTTGATAGATTTTAATTAAAATACACAACAATTTTTTTTCTTGAAAATAATTATTAAAAATTTTTATTTAAAATTTAAATATTAAAATTGAATAAAAGAAATTTCATTGTTGTGTTTTTTAAATAAAATTTACAAATAATTATCACCAACATTTCATAATTATTATTAGTACTGTCATTATTATTATTAATTATTAATAATCTAATAATACTTTTTGTATATCGAACATTATACATTACGTATTTTTAGAAATAAAAAAAATCCATTATTATTTATTTTATTAAATCATAAAAATAGGAATAATATGTAAACTCTAATTATTAAAAATTCCATTTAAAAAATTTGAAAATAATTAAAAAAATAAGAAATATTTTATATAATATTAAAACAAAACATTTGATTTAAATTGAAATGTATTTTGCATTTTAAAATATTTTATTTTAAAAAAATTCTTTATATCCATAAAAATATTTTGAGTTGAATAAAACAATATTGATTAATTTTCAGTGAATAATTTCGTAGAAAAAAAATCTTTTTTTTTTTTTAAATATTAAAAAGAAAGGTTAAAAATTTTTTTAAAATTAAATGATTGACATTTGAATAGATGACTATCGGGAAAAACAAACTAAATATTGTTCAGCGTAACTCGATATGAAAATTTTTCACTCATTTGCAAAAAATAAAAGTCTGGGTTTGTGTCCGTGTGTGTGTATTTTTTATTGAAAATAAAATATTATTCTCCTCTTTTCTCTCATTAAATTTACGAGTGTTTTGTCGCATCATGCAGAAAAACATTTTCGACAATGAAAATTCATGCATTATATTGTCACAACAAAAATTCTATACCTTATATATAGGTATATAGTCAATAGTATTTTTATTGCGCACAAGATTTCAAAAGTTATCATGGAAAATCTCAAAATGTAATTTCACGGTTATAGTTTATCTCTCTCTCTCATATAATGTCAAAGTCATAATAAGAAAATGTAATTTTCTCTTTAAATTAAAGTGCGAAAATAATATTTTGTCAAATTGAATAACATATTTTTTAAAGATAAATAAATTAATAATAATAATAATACTTGGATTATTATTATTATTATTTTTATAAAGGAGTTTATTTGAAACCCGTTTATGTCCAAATAAATAAATGAATAAATTATTATTATATTGAAAAAAATTTATTTGATTCATATAATCGATTATTTGATTATTATAAAAAAAAATATTTATTTGTATTAAATAATTATTATTTAAGTTAATAAAATGGTATTTGTTTCAAATACAAAAATTATTGGTTCAAATACAGTTTATTAAATTCAAATAAAAATTATTTGGTCCAAGTAAATATTTATTTGATTTTAATTAAGTAACCAATTATTTGAATCAAATAAATTTTTTCCAGTGTATTATTATTATTATATTATTCAATTATTTAAAATTAAAAAAAAAAAACATTTATAGATAAAGATTCAAAAAAGTAAAATGTATTTTTTAAAATGAAAACAATCACCTGACTTATTGAAATAAGCGAGAATTCAAGAGAAATATTGCTGCGGACAAAAAAAGTCATGAGATTTAAAATATATATATTGAAAAAAAGTTTTAATAAATTGCGCTCAGAGAAAAGCTGTGTTTTGCAAACAAGTTAAAATACAATCAACTTAAGCTGCTTTTCTTTCATTATCAATAATTGAAAAAAAGCATTTGCAAGCAATCAAATATATATACATTTATTTTTAATTTTTAATTTAATTTGAAAAAAAAAATTATAGAAAATTATTCCTTATTGTATATATGCATATATTATATTATAAAAAACGAAAATCGAAGAATTTATTCAATTATTTTGTCAGTTTTGTGTTTTTTTTCCATTTTGAAAAAAAAAAATAGAAAAAAATCTTGTTATATGTTTTAATATGAACTTTGCTTATTAATATATTTTGAGCAACTGTGATAAATTTACAATGGATCTTTTTCATTTTTTAATAAATAAATATTAAGTTTTTAATGAAATAACTAATATTTTTATTTTAGGAGACAATTTCTATATAGATTTTAATGTATTTTTTTTATTTTTTAAATAATTATAATGTATTATTTTTAATTTTATACCTTAATATATATATATTTTTTTTTATGAATTATTAAATTAAAAGAAAATAAAAATAATTTATTGATTATTTTTTACAATACCTAATAATTTTTTTTTTAATTGTTCTCTTTTTCTAAACGAAGTTAATATTATTATTTTTTATAACTAATATTCGTCATTACTATAACTTTAATATTTACTACAGATATTAATTACATTATTATTAATAATATAAACCCTGTATTTCAGATTGTTACATATTTACAAAGATAATATTTACATTAATCGTTGATTTTCCAATATATGTATAGCAATTTTATTGGCAGTTTTATTATATATATATTGCATTTATACGTAAAAATTCACAATTATACAAATAATAGCAATTGAAAATATAAAAAATAAATAAACAAAGTTTCATCTAAAACAAAGAATAAAATGTTAATAAAAAATATTGTAAAACTAAATAAATAAAATAATAAATAAATTAATAAATAAAATAATAAATAAATACAATATTATAAATTTTAATAAAATTTGTTACGTATGAATTTCGTAACTTCTTATTAATAAATTATTAACATTATTAATAATTCATTAATACAATACTCGAAAAAGAGGACACATTATGCAACACAAACAAGTAACACTTCATAAACATTACAAGAAATGCCTTTAGAATCTCTGAGAGATGTCCAAATAATTATATATTAAATATTAACTTTCAATTAATAACCTAAATTATAAAGAAGACCTATTTAAAATTCATGATAAAATTGAGAAACTAAGTGAACTAAATTAATTCAAGAAACAAAGGATGGCGCAATAAAGATTGCTGCATCCAACGTATGTCAGTACAAAATGAACTGGAATACTACCCCAATATTGCAAGGTTGCAATAAAGAACATTGGTAACAATAAATTACTAAATAAAACATACTTTTTCCCACCAAAAATCAGCTCAATAAAACCAGTAGACACAAGGAGTGTCAGTGAGTTAGGGAGTTAGGAGTTGAGAGTGAGAGAGGAGGTTGAGCTCAGAGTGGAGCTCGGAGTTATTAGAGAGTTTTGAGTTGGAGTTTGAGTCTCGGAGTTGAGAGACTTTTAGAACAAACCTCTGGTTCGAGGTTGTTCCTGTTTTGAGTTTATCACTGAGTTTTTATTTGAGTTGTGATTTTTGAAGTGAGATTATTTAAAGAGTATTAGAGTTTGAGTATTTTAAAGAGATAAAGATCTATTTATTTTAAAGAGTATTTAAAAGAGATATTGAATAATTGTGATTTTGAAAAAGAGAATATAATATTGAATTTGATTAAAAGGATACACGAAATGAGTTTTTGAGAATCACTTAGTTTTGAAATTGAGAGTGAAAATTAAATAGTAAATGAGAAAATAAAGTTTATAGTACATATTGAGTTTTGAGATTGTTTGAAAAAGAGAATATAAGATAATTGAAATAAATTGAAGAGTTAATTAAATACTTGATTTGAGATACGTCGATTATTTTGAAGGACATCAATCTGAGGAGATTCCAGAGGTAAATATACGTAAGAGTTCAGAAACTCTTAACATAACACACACACAACATTATTACACATACATTCATTCACACGTAAATTGTATTAGATTACAGAAGACTGTAATATTGTATTATTTGAGTTGTTACACAATATATATTTATATTCAATTAATTAAATATTTGTTTGATCTTTTATTTCAAATATTCCTAACCAATTGTTCTGATTAATATGGGATCTCAACCAACTCACTGAATAATAGTGAGGTAAGGAAGGGATCCACTACCTTTTACAATATAATTTGTCCGAAGGGCAACGTGTGTTAAAGTACCAAAGTCTTTTAGAGTTTTAGAAAATATCAATCTTTGATTGATATTGAATAAAAACTAATATTCAAAATTCTTCTTTAACAAAATTATATTATAAAAATATTATAAAAACTAAACAAAAAAAAAACAGTGAATAAATTCTGGAAAAAAATTTCATTTTTTTTGCTCGTAATTTGATTATAAAAATTAGTGAGGGAAAATTTATAGTTTTAATTTATAAAGATAACTTCAATATGAAATCAGTATATAATAAGAGTAAATATTTTCAGAAACTGAAGACTAAGAGATGGGGATGTTTTAAAACTTTCAAGTTTGACTTTAGAGAGGAAAGTAAAATATTAACACTAGAAACTTGTACCCGAAACTTCTCCATTACGACAAACACCTTTTAAAGTTGTCGAAAATTTTCTAAGTTGTCACAATAATAATAAATCTGTTGACATTTATTTTCATTTTTTTTTTTATTTTTTCATTATACGATAATTTATTAGTTTCTTTTAAATAATAAAAAAAGAACGCAAATAAAATAAAAAAAAAAATTAATAAAATAATTATAATAAAAATTTACCAAATGATTTGTATTCAAGAGGAAAAAGTTTCGTTGCAAGAAATTTTATCTCTTACATTTTAATTTCGAAGAGTTAAGCGAAAACATTTTTTTTTTTTTACACACCTTTTTCAAAATATTAACATATTTTTCCTTATTACTTCGTGTAAAAAAAACTATCACTTTTAATAGAAATTAATTTTAAATTAATAATTTTAATTATCAATTAATTAAAATTATTACAATTATTATCAATACGAAAAAAAACAGAGTAAATTTTAACATTTAAAAAAAAAAACACGAGAATGTGTAAAAAAATAAAATAAATTCATACAAAAGTACTATGAACTTCCGTTTGTTGTGATGTTGGATGCCATTTTTTAATAATTCGTGGTTTAAAAAGTTGACCGAATGTTGTACGAAATTGTCGTGACATTGAACAATATAAAATAAAATTAATTGCACCATTAATAAGAGCGAGTATATCCATTATTTCACCAAAATTATGATAACAATTTCTAAAGAAACAATCGCCTAATACACTAGACAAAAGTCCAAGAATACCTTGGGGAATTTCAGTAACTAAAAATAATAAAAGAACAGCGACCAACATTTTTGTCGTTCTGTCAGCTCTTCTTTCCGATTTACTTGCCCTACGCGAAGAAATACCATTCGTTGCTGCACATGGACTGTAGCCTCTCAAGACTTGCTTTCTGCCCTTTGCCCTGCGTTTATAACAACTTTTATTTATTTTTCTGTGAGAGAAAGACTTTCAAGTCTCATAGGATTTCATAAAATTTCATATATATATATAATATAAATTCACCAGACTGACAGGAAAAACACATTTTCTTTCAGTAGAAAATATCAAAAATCACTTTTTACATATATATTCATATTTAAAAAAAAAATATTAAAGATATATTTGTTGGTCTCAGAGACAAATATAAATATATATTTATTTATTTAAAAATTTTACAAATATTTATTTGTTTCAAATAAATTTTATTTGTGCTAAATAAAATTTTATTTGATCTAAACAATTTTCAAATTATTCTAAAAATGTTTTTTTAAATATATTCTTTATATATGTATATATATTGAATCAGTGTTCATATAATATGTTGATAAAATAAAATTTAACAAAGCCACAAAATAATTATTTTACATTTAATTTCTGTGGTTCATTGAGAAATGAAGGAAAATATAATTTTCCTGTGCGGCTGGTGATTAATTAAGTGTGGAGAGATAACATTCAATAATATACATATATGCAATCAATAAATATAAGGATTCATTTATCAAATGAAAATTGAACATGTAATTGATTTCCTGATTAAAAAATAATTATCAAATAGAAATAAAAAATTTTTCAATTAAATTACAAGTATTTTTTTTTAAACTCACATGTAGAGAAATTTTTTTTTTTTGTCTCATTAAATTAATTATATTTAATTGATCGAGAATTCAAATAGTAAAAACGATTTTAAGTCATACAGAATTATTTTCATTATTATAAGTAGATTAGAATATTAAGTAGTAAAAATTGTCTTTGGTCTGACATAATTATTTTTCTTTGAACAAGATTTTCGTATTTTAAGTAGTGCAAATATTTTTTAGTCAGACACAATTATTTCTATTAATAAGCAGCTAAGAATCTTGAGTAGTAAAAACTGTTTTTGGTCAGACACAATTATTTTCATAAATAAGTAGAAAATAATCTTAAGTAGTAATAACTGTTTTTGGTCAGACACAATTCGTTAACTTTAATTAATTATCGATTAATAGTAAGTGGTAAAAACCCGCTTTGAGTCAGACGTAAATTATTTTTCAATAACTTAAAAATATTTTCAAAAATATTTCTATTAAACTAATTAAAATATTGAGTAGTAAAAAATGTATTTGGGTCAAACACAAATTATTATTTTTAACCAATTAAATTAAGATTTTAAGTAGAAAAAACTGTTTTTAATCAGACACAACAATTTTTTTGTTTTAAAATACAATTAATTAATTTTTAAAAAAGAATTTTTAAATATAATTAACAAGATATTTGTCAAAAATTATTTTTATTAAATATACGAATTTGAGTAGTATAACCCGGATTTTTGTCAGACATCAATTACTGTTACTTAACTGTTAGTAGTAAAAATAATTATGTCTGACTAAATATAGATTTTACTACTTGAAATTCTTTATTATAATTGATAATAAGTAAGTCTGACTAAACATGGATTATACTACTTAAAGTTTTTTATTATAATTACAAACAATTATGTCTGACTAAGTACAGATTTTACTACTTAAAGTCCCTTATTACAATTAATGAAAAATAATTATGTCTGACTGAACATGGATTTTACTACTTAAAATTCCTCATTATCATTAAAAATAAGTATGTCTGACTAAATATGAATTTTACTACTTAAAATTTTTATATTACCATTGACAATAAGTAAGCCTGACTAAACATGGATTTTACTACTTAAAATTCCTTATTATCATTAAAAATAAGTATGTCTGACTAAATATGGATTTTACTACTTGAAATTTTTATATTACCATTGACAATAAGTAAGCCTGACTAAACATGGATTTTACTACTTAAAATTCCTTATTATCATTAAAAATAAGTATGTCTGACTAAATATGGATTTTACTACTTGAAATTTTTGTATTACCATTGACAACAAGTAAGTCTGACTAAACATGGATTTTACTACTAAAAATCATGTTCGGTAAGTAAAAAAATATTTTTCTGCCAAATAAAACCGCAAGTTTTTATTTGAAGTTTTGTTCAGTTAAAAAAATTGTCTGACCAAAAATGATTTTACTACTGAATAAACGTAATGCTAAATTACTTTATTTGAATACAAAAATAATTATAAATAATTTTATAACTTTATAAATAATTGTAATTAGAGCACGAAATTTTGTTCAGTTCATTTCTTTCTTTCTTTAAATATACATGTTGAGTTGAAAAAGAGAAAATTCAATCAATTAGTTAAAAAAATGGCAAAGAGACAAAAAAAAAAAAACTTTCGATATAATCATAGACAATGCTTTCGTTTTCACGTGCGTTATTGAAAACAGAGGATTTCAATGTTTGACATGATCAATTATCGATAAATTAAGAATAAACGAAGAAAAGGCTCCGCTATTTCAAAAGCATTATTCAAAACGAGAGAGGAAAATATCGAAATGAACTTATATATATAAAAAAAAGTCAAAGAAACGAGCGATAAATATTAATACAAAAGATAGAATCATAAAAATGCAATTCAAACATTTTTGCAAATGAAAAATAAAAAATTTTTGTCAGTCATTCTCTAATAGAGAGATTCTTCTCACGCCTCGTATATTTTCACAAAAAAGAGGGGTGGGAGTATTTTTTTCTTTTTGGAAACCTTATTGAAATTCTCGAGTCGCTCAATGTCCTTCTCATTTATATATATATATATATATATATATATATATATATATAGAATAAGATAGTCGCGACATATTCTCGTTTCAAATTCCTGATGCGTTGTACAAAAATATCAAGGGAATCGTTATATGCTAATATATGTACATTTTGGCCTTGACAAAAAAAGGACAAACCAACTGATAAATAAGATTTATTTCTTTTTTTATTTTTTTGATTTCTTACCTGTAGAGAGCTTTTACCAACCAACAACTGATAATGGTCATTATAACACAAGGCAAAAGTTTGACAAATACACTAATCACCCAGAAATTTAATTGATAGAGAAATCCATTTCTACCACCGGAATAATTTGCATCGACATGATAAAGAATTTCTTTTGTTCCTTGTTCACGTTGCCTTCTTATCTGAAATATTAAAAAAAAAAAAAAACAAGAAATTAATTTTTGAATATAATAAAAAAACTTTCTTTGCAATTAAAACAAATTTTTTTGCTCAAAATAATACTTTACTATTATTATTATTAAATTATTAATAAATTATTTTTTTTTTTTTATTATTAAGCAAAAAAAATGTATCAAACATTTATATGTAAATTTGAAAATTTTATTTTTAAAATAAATAAAAAATTTTTTTTTATTATTAATCTATTATCTAACATACTTACTCCAAAAATTAGATAAGCTGGAGAACAGACAATAATAGGAACCAAAAAACTACACCAGAGTGCCAAACGACATCGAGCAGCTGTGCACCAACAGTGATTATATTGTGGGAATCTGTAAACAAAAAAAAAAAAGAATTCTCTCAATTTCAACTCTTTTTTTTTCTTTATTTATAAAGTAGAACAGAAGAAAATTCCTTTTTTTAAATAAACATTATTATTAAAATAATAATAATAATTATGTAAACTACATTGTAAAAAATTTAGAGAATTAACAGCACTAGGAGTTGGGAGTTCGATTTTTCAAGTTAAAAATCAACTCGAAAAAGGAGTTAACCAAGAGTGGAAGGGAGTTTAGATTAGGGAGTTCAGTATCAACTCCCTTTGTAGTTATTTTATAATGGTGGATCATATTCTCCAACTCGTGTAAGGAGTTAAAGTTGAACTCCCTAATCTGAACTTCCTTTGCTTTAACTCCCCAATGGATGGGACTTTTATAGCATCCTCTGGGGAGTTAAAATTCAACTCCTTTTTTTTTACAGTGTAAAATAAGTATCGAATTGTATTTCATTTTTTTCTGTTCTTTAAAGAAATAATAAAATAATAATATAATAAATTTATCTAACGCGAACTATATAATTCTATAGATAGTCAATTTTTTTAAATATAAAATTGATTCCTATAAAATGTATTATAATATACACATGAGAAAAATTTTCATCCAGTACTTTTATAATTAATTCCAGTAAAGAATACGTTAAAGGAGAAATTAAAAAAAATTTACTTCATAAACTTCTTTAAAAGTAGAAGAAAGAACAATACAGTTAGCCAAGAATATAGAACTAAAAGAGCTTCTTCATTAACTTCCGCTTTGAGAATTATTATTAAATAATGCTTTTGTTTAAATTGCAATTAATTAAACTCGAATTACAATTCAAAGTTTCTCTATTTCTCTCTTTCTCTCTTTATATAGCTCTCATCGTTCTCACTTTAAGTAGAAAAAGTCATTATTAAGTCAGTCATTTTAAGCGAAATCTCAACAAAATTGTAATAAATATTAGAAAAAAAATATTTAGTAATTTTTATGTGGACAATATTTTTATTGAACTAATTATGAGGCAATAAAAAAAGTAATATATTAATATAATATATTATTTTATATAATATTATTCAATATATAATATTATTTAAAATAATATAAAATCTCTATAATGGAAATATATATTTACATTTAAATATTTATAATACAAAAGAAAAGCTTTTTCAATGAAAGATTATTTCAATTAGATTTTGTTCACAATTTTAGAATTTTGTTCAAAATTTAAATTGTCCATTGAGGACAGTTAAAGACGCTTTCGATGTTTCTTGATTAAAGACAGAGATCTCGAGTTTAACTGTTTCAAAGCAATTTGAGTTTCTGAATATCTCATTTATTAACAATTACTTCGTAATTTAATGAGAATTTTATAACTTTATAATGTCAAATTTAAAATAGTTTATAATAAAACAATAAAGGCATTTAAATATTTTTTTTATACAATTTAAAAATAAACAATTAAATTAAATAATTACATTAATAAATAATTAAATGGTATCTGATAATTAATAAATAATCCAAAGTAAATAATGAAAATATTTAAATATGGAATTAAAATTCAAAAAAACAACAAATTGATAATTAAAAAAAAAATAATTATGTAAAAAACAATTGAAAGTTATTAACGTTTTAAAAAGAGAAAAAGAAATCTTTTTATTTTTCATTAAAATACACTGATTTAAATAAAATGACTTTGTAAAGAATAATATTTGCTTGATGAAATTGACACAATTTTACTTTTCCAGATTGGATTTTAATTTGATTTTCAATGTCTTAACTTTATTTTCCATTGATTTGATTGGGAATGTGATAGAAACATTGATTTTTTTTTTCATATTGGTTTAGAGTCAATATTCTCTCTATCTATAAATGAAGGTCCTTGTAATAATTTTGTTGTTCCAGCTAAGCAAATATTCAACCTAGTTTTATATACGCAAATTTAATAGTGTTATCGTTCTTTTAATTAAAAAATAAGTTAGAAAAAACTTTTGCCAAGAGAAAAAAAAATATAATTACTGATCTATTTTGATAAGAAAATCATTTTTCTCATGACGCTCTCACTTTTTATATTTCCGCAAAACTGCAGATTAAAACTTTGATAAAACAGAGAGAAAGAGAGAGAAATGTAATATTCTCCCGGGAAAATTTATAAACATTTGTTACATGATGTATTAAAATGGGATTTTAATAATAAAAATTGACAAAGGGCCACATTTTATACTAAATAATTCATTTCATATTTAATTTATTTACATATATTTTTTTAAAAACAAAAAAAAATTTAATTTTACTTTTTACCGTAAATGGTTAAAAATCAAATTTTATTATTAAAAAGAGGATTTTTGTAATTTTCCGCTCCCAACAATGTATTCTAATTTATATATAGTCACTAACTATAGTAATTATAACTTTCCACATTCAACAAGATAATTATTTATATTCAATCCTTTACTAAACAAGACCATGTAATTTAAAATTTTAATTAATCTCTGATTATTTGGCTTTATTTAATTTTATTAAAAACCGAAAAAAAAACTTAAAAGAAAATTTTTTCATTTTTAAATAACATGAAAATCCTTTTAGAAACATAAAGTTTCTTTTTTTTATGGTAAAGTTTCGATATAAAACAAGTTTGTGTTTACAGTAAGTGAAGTTTAATCGATAAAATTTTTGCAGTTACTTCATGCGTGGAATAATTTTCTAAGGGAAAATCTAATAACGATACTTTAAGTTAACCATAACGTCAAAATTGTTATTTTTTTTTTTTTTTTTTGAATATCGCTCTAGAATTTTTTTTTGAAAGAATTTATTAAAGTATCCTTGCTATTTCTTTATAAAAATGCGCGCGAGAAAATGTAAAATAAATTTGATTTACGATAGTAATTAAAATTAAAAATATTCATTATAAATATAATGAGAATTAAAAAATTCAGTTTAAAACTTTATGGTTAGAACAAAAAAAAAAAAAAAAAATTTTCTACACAATATTTTTTATCAATATAAATATTTAATTGAACTACGTAAAATTTTTAATAGAATTAAATCAATTTTATTTGAATCAATAATTTCTGTATTTGAAACTAATATAATTTAATTGACTCAAATAAATAATATGGTACCCATTACTATGGTAACGGTTACTATGGTGCGGGTTATTATATGGTACCATATAGTAACCAGTATCATATAGAAACCGGTACCATAGTAACCGCTACCATATAGTAACTGGTACCGTATAGTAACCGCTACCATATAACTGGTACCGTATAGTAACCGCTACCATATAGTAACTGGTACAGTATAGTAACCGGTACCATAGCAACTGGTACCAGTTATTATATGGTACCGGTTACTATGGTACGGGTTACAATATTGTACCGGTTATTATGGTGCCGGTACCATATAGTAACTAGTAACATATAGTAACCAGTATCATATAGTAACCAGTATCATATAGTAACCAGTACCATAGTAACCGCTACCATATAGTAACCGGTACCATAGCAACTGCTACCATATAGTAACTGGTACCGTATAGCAACTGGTACCAGTTATTATATGGTACCGGCTACTATATGGTACTGGTCACTATATGGTACTGGTTACTAAATGGTACTAGTTACTATGGTACCGGTTACTATATGGTACCGGTTTCTATATGGTACCGGTTACTATATGGTACTAGTTACTATATGATACTGGTTACTGTAGAGTATTGGTTACTATATGGTACTGGTTACTATATGATACTGGTTACTATAGAGTAACGGTTACTATATGGTACCGGTTACTATGGTACCGGTTACTATATGGTACTGGTTACTATATGATACTGGTTACTGTATGATACTGGTTACTGTAGAGTAACGGTTACTATATGGTACCGGTTACTATGGTCTTGTTTACTATGGTAGCAGTTACTTTATGGTACCGGTTGTCATGAAAGCGGTTACTATGGTAATGGTTGCTATGGTAACTGTTACCATGGCAACCGTGCGAATGAACGACAGACGGACGGACGGACATCAAAGCGTAACTATAAGGCTTTCGGGCCTTGGCCACGATACCCTAAAAAACTATTTCTTTGTTGCAAAGAAATATTTTTTTTGAGTGTAAAATGTAGTCTATAAATCATAATAGGTGAAACGTAGGTTAAAGGTAAGTTAAATGGAGACTCAGATGTAAAATAAAAAAAAGGAAAAGAACCTTTTGAATAATAAAACCAAATGGAAAAATATCAAATACACACACGACATCAAAAATAATAAAACGAATATGTTTTATTAAAATATCAACTCACCGAATGGCAATATATCTCCAGACAGCCAATGTGAGAGTAAGAGCAATACTGATTGTATGTAAAACATGTGAGAAATGCATATGAAATAATACAAATACTGCCCAGCCATAAGGAAAAATTTTATTCTCCGGCAAAACAAGATAAACATAAATTGCAAATGGTATATATTCAACCATTACAAGCATATCTGCACTGGCAAGACCCGTTAGTATTCTGTTGATTGGTGCAACAACCATATCTTTTCGGGTCAGTACCATAATGTTCAAAATATTTGCCACTGTACCAAATACACAAACCACAAGTGCCACATAGCCATGATAAGCTTTATATGATATTGCTAAATCTCTTGCAACACCACTACAATAACAATCTGTTTGCGTTGTTGTTGTCACACTCATCTCATCATCATCATTTGTCTCATTTGGATAACCCATATTGCTTATATAGTCAATATCCTCATCAGTTATGTTAAATTTACGAAATATTTCCGTATAATTTTTTACACGATACATTTTGCTTATATTTTTTATTAACAGTCTCAATTGTACACTAGATGTTGTTGTTTCATTTTTATATTGATGATGATGATGATGATAAAAATCGTAATTTTCATTCATTGCATTTTTATTTCAAGAAATTTTATATATCAGTTATAACAATAAAAACAATTTTAAATTTTTCTCCAAAAAACGAATTTTATTGATTATTATTCCAAGTTTCCGTCGGTTAAAATTGTTCATTTCCTTCAAAAATCTGTGTATATAAAATCAATGTTTAGTTTAAGAATTTTATCATGGAAATTGTGTTATTGTATTCAGTTTTGTTTTTGTTCGGTATATATGTTTTGTTGGTTTTTATATTTGTTTTCAAATTATTCTACTTTTATTTGTTCTTTATTTTATTTTTTTTTTTAAATTCTCTTCATATAATAAGAAGGTATTTAATTCAGAAAATCTTGATAAAAAAAATCTCTTAATTGAGGATACAACAAATTTACCAATTTATTGTTAATTTAAATACACGGAGAGAAAGTGTTTTAAAAATAAAAATTATTATTTTAGAAATAAAAAAATAATACCAAAATATTACCAATAATAATAATTACGCATTTTAAAATTCCAACAAATAACTGAAAATTATAATCATTATAATAATAGTTGTAAAAATTGAATAAATAGAAAAAAAATTTTAATATCATGTGAAAAATTTGCCATAAATCTTTTGAAATGGATAACTCAAAGGACGTGATTTTTAAAGAAAGATTTCTATCCTTGTTAACCTACTTTTTTGATTTCCCTCAAATATTTGCTCAGTTTTTGCAGATATTTTTTTTTCCTTTCTTATTCTATACCTTTATCGACCTTTAGAAACTTTCTGCCCTTAGATAAATTTTATATATATATATATATATATATATATATATATATATATACTTTAATCGACTTTCTTTTCAAATCAGGACTTTTGACATCATTTATCTAAATTTTTTTTCGTTTTTTAAAGTTTTTAAATTACTTGTATTGCAAAATTTTTAATTTTTAAGTATAGTAAATTAAAAAATTTATTTTAAAAATAATACCTTAAATAATTATTTGAATTCTTAATTATTTATAAAAAATAAAGAAAACATTTATTAAAATTAATTTTTTATGAATTCATTTTATTTTTTTCTTTGAAAGAAAGGAAACCTTTTCTGAGTATCAAAAAGAAAAGTTCAGATAATTCAACTATGGTAACAATAAACTTAAAGCTCTAAAGCCAATCGCGAACCATTAAAAAGATTTATGAACTATCCAAGAAAATTTATATTTTCTTTTTAGAAACTTTTTAAGATACCGCAGTTATTAAATAATTAAAACAAAGTTTTGAAAATCAACTCTAATTGTGTACTAAAATATTTTATTTTTCTCTAAAAATTAAGTCTTAATTTTCAATATCCTTAAATCCTTTTAAATTAGTAAAATTTTTAAAATTAGAAAACAATTTTTGTAACGAAAAAAAAAATTATTGTAAATAAAAAAAAAACCGTTTAGTAAACCGGAAACGTAAATTTTGTACACTTCCGTGTCAGATAAAGAAAACGTTTTATTAAGCCTTTGTATGTTCTCTCGCGCAGTATAAAGGAGTGAATTTCGAAACTCAAGAAAGTAGAAAATTTGGAAACTTTTGATAAGTGATATTGGAGTTGTATCCGAGTTTTATTATAGTTACTTAACTTTGAATAGAAAAAAAAACTTTTCTAACTTTAATATTGGATATTCTTTACACGTTTCAGTAAACAAGCTCTTAAAATCATATTTCGAAAAAGATTTTCGATCGCATAGCTAGAATCGAGTTACACAAAAACAAGTGAAGAAAATTTTTTTTTTTTTATTTTTTAATATTTTTATATCTTTTAATTTTAATTATTAATAAAATGAGAAAATTGACATTTAATTAAATAAAAATTTAATTTAAAAAATATTTTACTATCTTTAAATAATAATAATAATAAAAAAAAAAATTTAATAAAATACTAATAAATTATTTTATAGTTTAATTTGAAATTCAGTTACTACTTCAGCCATATATTAATTCGTCATGAAAACTTTTCTCAAAGTTAAAGTTAATAATTAAATTTGCCGTAATTAAAAACTAGATTAATAGTACTTCAAATTGTTTGAATATTTTCATTGCTTTGAACTGGAAACATCAAAGCAGATTCCATACTAATTATTATATATATATAATAAAATTAAAAATTATTTTTATAAATTCTAATCGCATTTATTATTTATTATCAGTGTAACCTCGATTAAAACAAGTTCAAGAAAAAATTCATTAAATTTAATTAAGAAATTATAATACATACATTAGAACGCATTTTATTTAAAATTTTATATTTAAAATTTTATTTAAAATTTTATTTAAAATTTTATTTAAAATTTTATTTAAAATGAATTTTATTTAAATAAATTCTAAAAATTCTAAAATTAAAAAAAAAAAGTAATTACTTTTCGAGTGTGTGCTGACTGACTGAATGTAAAAAATTCCATTAATTATTTTCATTCAACTGGAATGTAAAGGAAGAAACAAAGCTTACACGCATTTGATAATAGAATTGAAACAAACGCGAACAAAATTCTATTATATCTGTAAAATTCATTCAAAAAGAAACACTATTTTTTTATATGCAACAATGAGAAAAAAACTCTCCTTTAATTAGGAAACATTTTTTTTTTTAATACAAAAAAAAAAAAAAATTTCACAATATGTTCTTGATTTAACAAAATATTTTTATTTAAAACAATCTTTTGTTAATATTATAACAAGAGATATTCAATTAATTATCTTGTAGTCAATATTTAAAATAATATTCACAATGTCAATAAAATTTACTTTATTCACATATAAATTTAAAAAAAGTAAAAAAAAATTGGTGTCTTGTTAGTTTTACAACATCATATATATAACATTTTTACGTCCTGGAGAAAAAAAATATTTCTTTCATAGATGCTAAATAAAAATTTATTTTTATTTCAAATAAAAATTTATTTATTTCAAATAAAAAAATTTTATTTACCGTTAAAAAGAAAAATTGAGATAATTGTTTAATATAAAATTAAAAAAAAAAAAAATCAGTTAAACCAAAATAAAATATGTCTCGAGTTTCAAAATAAACTTTTCTCTCTAAACAAAACGAGATTTCAGGAAAATAACCTACAAAAAGGATAGAGAAGTAACTCTATTGGAAGTACTTAAGGTACTTTGTTGATAAAATGTCAACAAAGTTGAGGATAACTCTCGTACATATGTAACTAAATCCGAATAAAAGGAAAGAGAGAGAGAATATATTTGGATAAGGCTAATTTTCCTAATGCCTTGCTAAAATCCAAAGGATTTTTGCGAGCTTAAAAGGATTCAGAGAGCAAAATATAAATGTGGAAAAAAAAATGTCAGAATATACGCGGAAATATAAATAAATATAAAATAGAGAAAAACCGTTGAATATAAATATATAGAGAGAAATATAAGAGGATCAGAGAGAGAAGAGAAAAATATACTGTCCAACGTGTGAGAATACAAATTGTCAGAATAAGAAACAAAGAAAAATAAATTCGTTCCATACATTGTGTATTTATATAATAATATAAAATAAGAGCGTCATATAAAAATAAACTAGGAAAAGACATATAATACTAAAAAGAACGCATTTTTTAAAATTAAGTTGAAAATAAAGTTATATATATTTTTTTCCCCCTTAAGGTCGCGAAAATGTTCAATACTTGTCTCAGAAAATAACGATATAGAGAACTTTTCAACGAGTTTATATTGTTCTCTTATGGCGTTATAAAATTTAGCTGGACTGCGACAACCGCGCTCACCAAAATGGAAATCTAGTATATACACTCTACAATATTTTATGCATTTATAGTGGTTGTAATGTACTTTGTCAAATTGTTGTTGATTCTTGATAAAATTACAATTATTTCTACTTTTTGTTTCTCAAAGCAAAAGAAAAAAATATATATTTAGAAAAAATTTCTCTCAATTTTGCTCAATATTATACTTTTACTATATAAATAATAATAAAATAAACTTAAATAAAAAATTTTATATCGACAATATTAAAATTAATCATATTTGTATAATTAAAAAAAAAAAAATCGAAAAACACTATAACATCCCCAAGTAATAATTTTTGTCTTAAAAATTTTTTTACACTAATTTTAAAAGTTTTATTATTATATTATTTTTTTAATTTTATATTATTATTGTTTTATTATTTTTATATTATTATTGTTTTATTATTTTTATTATTATATTATTATTATTAATATTTTATTATTATTATTTTATTATAAACTGTATTACCAAAAACGAAAATTCTTGTTAAAAAATTTTTAAAAATCTTTTTAATTTCCACAAAACACTTAATGTAATTATATACACGCTTTTAAAGATTAAATAGATTTTATAGTCGCTGATATTTATATGCAATTTTCTCGCGAGTTTTGAAATCGCAATAAGCAAGGAAACTAATTAACTTTTAGTGATTGCGGTATTATTTCTTGTTTTTGCTGTTTATGAATTTAAAGAGCACATTAACGTCAACTCTATTTTGCAATTGCAAATTTAGAATAAAAAAACAAAAAAAAAATATGTCCAGCAATAAAAAAGAAATATTTTCAAAAAAAAAAAAATATATATATATATACGTATATATTTATTTAACAACCCTTTTCTATTATTCAGTCGCAAAATCTCGTTCCACTAAGTTAATTTCTCAATTATTTCTAATTACGAGTGACATTAATGATAAAACGTACACGAGTCGCTCCGTGTTTTTTTTTTCTTTTTCTCATTTTGTAAATCAACATTTAAAATGGATATATTAATGAAAATTCAATTCGAAAACGTGTTCGAAACACTAGTAAATAATTTTAACATTTAATTAACAAATCTATTTCATTAAATTACTTACTACTTTTTACATTAATTATTTATAAAATTATTATGTTTAATATAAATAACGGTTTTAACAAAAAAATATTATTATTATTATTATTATTATTATTATTTAAAAAAGTGAACTTTTTATACGTGTGAAATAAAAAAAAAAATTTTTCTAATTTTCAGAATAAATTTCAAATTTTCCAAGAGACGCAATATCTACAAATATCTTTTGGCCAATTTAGTACAACGACGTCACGTGATTTTCTCGAGGACTCCAAAATATCAAGAACAATATTATCTTGGTGAAATTTCTTTTCCACATGTATTGAATTAAAGAAAAGACTATAATCTTTTTTTTCTTTTATTTTCACCAGGAGAAAATATAATTTTTTTCACAAAAGGTTTGAATTGATTTCATTCATTTTACTAAATAAAAATATGTATAGGTATATATATATATATATATAGTACATTTAATTCTACGATTCTTGAAAAATAAAATAAAAACCACAAAATTATTTTTCTAAAAAATAAACTTCTTTTCTTCTTCATTAAATTGTTTCATTTGAAAAAGAGCGCAAATGCATTTAAAATTAAAACAAATCCTTTTAAATTGGAAAACCACGTGAACCACAACATTGAACTTTTTTTCTTGTAGCACAAAAAATGGTTCTGGAAAATTTTTTTTTTAATAATTTACGCGTTATAGAAAATTGAATTAAAAAAAAAAGTTTTTGTTATTTACTTGCAACAGTGAATAAATAATTCTTTTTTTGTAAATATAATAATAATAATAATAATAATAATAATAATAATAATAATAATAATACTAACAATAATAATAATAATATGAGTAATAATAATAGTAGTAGTAATAATAGTAGTAATAATAATAGTAGTAATAATAATAGTAGAATTAAATTAATAAATAAAAAT